TTTCTATTCTCTCTCTCTATCTCTCTCTCTATCTCTATTCTCATCCTCTCTTTCTCAACTCTAAACTCTATTATAATAAGAAAAGTGTTATTTATAATCTTATGAGTGAATGAAGCATGTGCATATGTGTGCATGTGAATATGTATGAATCTAAACAAAAATAAACATGAATTCTGTTCTGTTTGAAGTATACCTTTTTTAATGCTGCCAAGAAAGATAGCACAATTAATTTTTTTTTATGATAGGCTGCAAAATTTCAGTAATTATTTCAATTTGTCACACCAATGTCTTTTATAACTGAGGTGTAAGTATTTATTATGATAAAGAAGTCAAATGAATATTAATAAAATGTATACTTCTATTGAGTTTGAAATGGACACTTGAAACTAGTCATTAACATCAAATTATTACGTTCAAAAGAAATGAAATAGATTTTGATGTAATTGTACTATCTGAAGTTGATATATGTAAAATTCAAGTTGATGCTTCCTTCATGTCTATGTATAAAAATTGTGTTCTGACCAAATTTCCTGGGCATTGATTCTCTTAATAACACATAGGTACCAGTAGGATACTTTGAAAATTAAGTATATGGGTTTCAAAAATCAATTTTTTTAGAGGTTTTTAAACAAAATTTATATTAATGGTATATATATTACCAAACTATTGACATATAATCAGTAATATATTTTAACAGCTCCTATTTGTTTAAGAATATCCTCATTAATATTCTTATTCACTGTCAATGAAAAGAAATAGCCAAAAACAAAAAATGATAAATATGAGTCTAGTGAGTCTAGTTGGATTAGGAAATATAGGTGAACAAATAGCTAATTTAAACAAAAAATATTTATTTGTAACATCCTAAACAATAAATTCTACAATCATGTAGTAGACAAGTTTTGCGTATTCACAATTACAAAACTCTCCTACCAAGGAAAGTCCTTCACAAGGTGCTGAACTCTGCTGCAATTACACGTGAAACACTAATGAAGGCAAATTATCTGAAGTTTTTGATAACATCAGAATACTGTAGGTAAAATGAGCTGTTCTGCCTTTTCCATATTGATAGCACCATATTTTGTCATTATATCTTATATTCGAAGGTGTGGGTTTGTGAATCGAACGTATTTCAGCAGAGAGTCACTTTCTTCGCAAACCCATGGTTTGCGGTGGTGACAAGCCACATCATGCCAGTGTACACCATCATTATAGAAGTTGTTGAGGATAGCAAGACAGTTTTCGGAAGCACCTCCTTGTAGAAATTCACGATTGTCAGGTTGAGGTTTGTTAAATCTGAACAAAGAAAATAAATTATAGGCAACCAAAAAAGAAAATAAGATAATTTAAATTTAATGCAAATTATGCTCACTAATGTCACAGAAAAATTTTCCATTAATTTGAAGTAAAAAATGTTTATAACAAGGTGAAAAATAAATTATCGTTCATTAGGGTGCACTTTACAAAATTTGCATTTAGAGCCAAAAAATGGGAGATATTTAAATAATCTTCAGAATCTTTATCAAATCTAGAAAAATATTGTTGTTATTATTATTATTATTATTATTATTATTATTATTATTATTATTATTATTATTATTTGCATGAATTACACAAATCAACTTCACTTGACCAATCTTAAAGCATGCATGATTTGAATCCTCAACCATGGAAAATGGGGTTATTTTTAAATATAATGAAATAGTTTCAAATTATTCTATAAATTGTATTATAAGTTACTTAATTTTAAGTAAGGTATTGTATATTTCAAAAATTGTTACGAAATTATTTTTCTATACAATTAATGACTCATAAACCAATTATTAATTTACATATAAAATTGAAATAAAAGTTCATACACTCCTTTTAATTGGGGTGGCTTTTCTTGTTCTAATTTTAATTGATTGAACACGAAAATCTTGTAAGTAAGTAATGGTATCTAGTAAAACAGATCTATAATGGAAGTAAAACTAACAATCATCTAAAAATTGACACAGCAATAATTTTTACTAAACAAATAGCTTTCGTTTCATTAGAATATTTCCGATTTGAATACAAACAAACCGCAGATCCTCTAAAGTTACATGCTTATTGCATAGATGCAGGTCTGTTTTAGGTTGGCGCGGCGGAATTCGAGAGACTTACCCGCCGGACGGGCTCCAATCATTCTGGCGACGGTCGGTGGTGGGCGGGAGCTTGGTGAGCTCGGCTGTCCAGAACCAGCCGTTGACGTTGCGAGGCTGCAGATCTGCTCGCTCGCAGCCCTTGAAGTCGCACAAGCGGCCGCTCGTCCAGATGTACCTCTGACGGCCTGTCCGAGGAAAACATCGAGTTGCACGTTGGAACTTACGTCACTCCAGGGAATACCCCTCTAATTCCTACCAGCACCGAGAGGGGAGGGATCCATGGAGCTTTAGATCCCCCCTCCCACAAACAAGTCCATGCCATATTCAAAACAGTTTTTCCTAATTTTGGATAGGAACGAAAGTAATTCATTGTCTCTATTTACTGCGTTTTACTTAACTATAAACCAACAAATAAAAATTAAATGTTAAATTCATCATACGGTAGATGAAAATGTCTTTGTAAGAAAGCGTCATGTCGGCTGATCACCATATCCATAACCTTCTCTCCCAAAGAAAAATCTTCTATTAGCAATACGATACGTGACCTTAAAAATTAATTTGACAAATATATTTCGTGTCTCAGTATAAATGCAGCAACATTTTTAAATATAAAATTAAACTTACAAGTTTACTTAATTTTTTCTAGTGAATAAAACTGTAATCATTTGGAAAGTAAATTAGTACCAGTTCAATAATTTTACCCATTTTTACAAATGGCTTTCTCAAACAATGAGCTATTTAAGATTGTAGTAGGTTCATTTTTCTAATTATCAAGAGGTAAGCAATATTTTATAAAATTAGTTTTGACTCTGTTTATACTTTAAATTAAACTTTAATACTAAACGATTCTACGTTTCTTGCCGCCTTAAATACTCAGGTACTTTCTTGCGCGAGAAGTTTATCCCTGTACCTTCGACGATGCGGCTTTTGACGAATTCGTTTTCAGCGTGCGTCTCGACGCTCACGAGGTCCATGCAGCGTTTGCGGCACCAGTTGCGGCCGCCCAGCCAGTCCTCCTCCTGCCCGGCCACCGACGGGTCCTTCCACGAGAAGAAGTAGCCTTTGCCGCCGAACGTCTCGTGGATTTTCCCTGCGAAACGAACGTTTGAATGATTTATTTATTGATTAGTGATTCCGGGCACGTCAACTGCTAAGTTCATTAGCCCCGTAAGTGTAGTGATTTCATTGCGGGAGGTGGTGCTGGGATCTCCCGCTGGCTCCGGCGCCGACCTACGTCACTTGAGGAGATTTTCCCTAACCAGGTATCTCCCACCAATGTGACACCGCCCCTGCTGGAACAAGCTCTAAACTCCCGACAAGTGTGGTAGTGTAATGTAATATGAGTGTAAGTATGTGTGTCAGTAAGAGGTGAGGAAAGGACAAGGAAGAGGAAAAAAAGATTGCGCGCGTCCTGTGGCCCGTTTGTTAGGGTACTGCTCCGGCATTCGTCGGGTATTGATCGGAGAAACCAAGAAAATCTCTCGATCAGAGCAGAATTCTTCTCCAGACAGCGGCTGAACTCAACTTAGCTGTCTAGATATTGTCGAAAATCCTGCCGCCGTCAGGACTCTAACCCAGGACCTCCCGGTCAGAGGCACTGCAGTGACGTCTATTGATGCCCTGAGCCACCTCAGCCGGTTTGAATCATATTGAGAGAAGTATTTCATATTACTGAACATAAGTAATGAATAATGTGCCAGACGAATATAATGCAGACTCGAGATTGCAAGTATTATGATGAAAATACGAACAAACGAGGATCAAGTCATCGAAAGTCAAAAGAAAATCGCTTAGGAAAGTTGATTGCAAAAATCAAGATATTGCTCATAGGTTCTTCTAGAAATATTTCTAAGAAATTAAAAGGTTTTCAAATCCATCCACTGAACGAAGGGGAAAAGATAGCCATGATCGGAGAACGTAGGGGTCTAGTTGGTGTTGGTGACACCTGCCCCATTTTAACAAAAATATTAATAAATACCAAAATGTTTATCATGCCTGTCAAAATTATTTCGTACTTACAATACTTAGGTAGTTACTAGTAGAGAATATCGAGTGGGGGCAATATAATATATTCAAGTACTACAGTAATACTACAGTAATAATATAAATTTATTTCAATTAAGTGAGTTGCTCGCTTTAAGGAAGAGAAAAATCTTCGAAAAAATATTTGGTCAGGTAGAAGAAAATGAAATATAGAAGTTGAACCAACGCAGAAGGAAGAACTATTAAATCAGCCAAAATAGTGGCAATATTGCAGTATTTAGGTGAAAAGACTGAAATGGTCGGGTCACCTAATTCGAATGGATGAAGGTCACATTAGAAAGATATATGTAGGGAGCATGGCCGAGAGATGAAAAAGAAGAAGCAGCAGAAGAATAAGTGGAAGAAGAAGCAGAGAAAAGAGAGCACCCTCCATCTTGAAAATAAATTAAATACTAGAAAAATCTTAAATTAAATTACGGTATTATAAAATTATCGAAAAAATTAACAAAATTCTTAATGGAATCGTGCAAATTATATAATTTTAAGTTCAAGTTTTCCGATGATGGTTTCACCCGGGAATGACTGTCCATGACTGCCTCCACCTGGCAATTGGAAATCACTCGGGAATCAATGTGGCGGTGTGAAGGAGATGTGAAGTAGCAAGAGGAGCTGCAGAGCACTTACTTTGGGCGCAGAGCGTTGGAACTGGTGGCTCCAGGATGCGGCCGGCTTGCTGGTGGAATTGCGCCATTGCCATCGCCACCAACGCCAACAGCGTCACCAAGCACAGCGAGATCTTCATGTCGGCAAGAGGATTCGGCTGCGAAAAAAACATCACTATCATTAGATGTGTTGATCTGACACGTCATTAACAGACTGAAGAGCAATTACCGATCTTTCAGCAAATCAACCTTTTTGCATAAAATAAGCAATGATTGGAATTTTCCCCCGTCGCAATAAGAAAGAACACTAGAACACTGACAAATTACTCTCAATGACACACAAAATGTGCATTATGTATTCGTCATCGACCTTCTCATTAATAGTTACTGTCATCTTTAGCATCCGAATATTGAATTAATAATGAGTTAAACAATAAGTCATTACGACAGGTCGAATTGAGATGTAATGGAGCACTCCTTCGCGGAGGCTGGGTGATGAGAGATGGGCGCGGCGCGGCGCGGCGCGTCAGTCGCGGCGCGGCGCCCGCCTCGGCCGTCGGTCTTGCCACTACTCACCGGAGAGCTTCCCAAGGCTACAGCGAAGGCCAAGTGCGGTGGGACGTCCTATGCCAAACCTTATATACCCGCAGGCGCCCGACTTCGACAGGGTGTCATCCAACGTTGTTGTCTGCGGGGACGACATGACGAAAATTCCTCGGAGGAGAAAGCTGGGCAGAAGGTAAACACTATTTCGTTTCTGCGGTATCTGGCAGCAGCCGGCGAGCGGAAGGGAATGTGGCCACAGCGGGAAGTTTTCGCTGACGCTCGACATTGCGGTGCTTTCTCGGAGGGTGGGTTTTGATTTGGAAGCAGGGGCGGCGTTTCTGGAATGCGGATGATCGCGCGCCCCGTCCCGCCTTATTTTGCTTGCCCGGACGCAGCGTCGGCCGCCGCTCGACGTGCTCCGCTCGCGTCGTTGCGCACGGTCCCACCAATTATCTTTTTAGTGCTCCCCCGTCGGGTTCGCGGTCCGCTCTCTGCTTAAGAGCGCCCTGCATACGGATGCAGTTGGTGCCTGTGGCCTACATGGAAACGGTAGCAGCCAGAGCGACTTAGACGCAACCCTGAAGTGCGCCGGTGAAAGTAGAGTAGTTCATAAACAAGTATTGAGAAACTGCTTTGAGGAGACCAATTCTCAATTCGACTCAGAAATGACAACACAGTCGCGAACCACTTCAGAATACAAATGTGAACTTTCAATTCCATTACACATACTTTCAAAAGAATATTATAATGACGAAAAACTAATAAACATTTAAAGATGAATTAATTGTCGAATGAATAGTACTTTCGCAATATCACAAAGACCATTTGAAAGAAGCGCCATCATTGTCAGTGTGTCCTAGCACTCCTAATTCGATTGATTCAATCTTCCCGAGTCCTTCCATTTTAGCTCTAATCTCCGTATAAAAATGGCGCAAGAACACTCACGCCATCTGCAATCGGCGTCTTTAAATGACAGACGAAAGCCTGTAAATAAGCAAAGTTATTTTTTAACCTGTAAGAATTAAATTATGTCCATTGCAGATCGTAATTTTATATATCTACACTAATGTGATATGTGTGTTTAAATGATATGGCGGAAGCCAATTTGTGCCGTTTGTGTGCTGTGCGAAACGACAGCTTCGTAGGTATTTATGAAGAGGAAGGATTGAAGTTAAATCTCGAACGTAAAATTATCAAATGCTTGCAAATTGAGGTGAGATTTTCTTTGTTGTACTTATCTGATCGGCATAATAAAAGCTTGTACTATTTTGAAGGTTTTATTTATGTTTTTCCTCTCACTGCCATCATGATACTTAGATCGAGCATGGTTTTGTTTGACATCCGCTATTTTGACATTTGACAAGCGGCTTAATATAACTAATGTAAACGGAGCGAATGACAGAAATTACCCTTCTTCCTTTCCCTCAAAGTGACATTTGTCTGTTCAAAGCGGGATATTTAAGCAACATCCCCCTTAAACATTTTATTTTTTTGAAGTATAATTGAATAAACAAACCGGCTAATATCTGATGGTTTCATTTCTTTTAAATTTAAGAAGTAAACCACAAATTAAAATTAACTTTGCTGCATTGTGAGTTGCTTGAAGGTAGTGGCATTTTCGGTTTGAACTTATTGCTGTCAACTTTTTTTTTTAACATAATGTAAGGTTCAATAAATAATTCATCAGTCTCCTAAGGCAAACACTTCTTGAATTAAACATGGAGATTTACAAACAAGATCACTAGCACTATTACAGATCTGGCTTACCTCTTTTCATAGCTGAGCCTGAAGGATGTACTTCCCAAGACAGTCTGTTTGGACTGCTGTGCAAAGTTGAACCAGTGCTCTGACTTTTTTGATGCAAGTGCAGAAGCCCAAGTGGCTCTGCATATGCTATTCCGAGAGCCTAAAGAGGAGGTAACTGCTACTAGTAGTGACCAGAATCTTGAGCCTCCTCAGGAAGACTATTTACATTCTCCAGTTCAAGAGAGTCATGCTCTTGAGGAGGAAAACTACAGTGATGAGGTACATACAGAGAGTTGCTAGAAAAACTACAGGCTCTTGAGATCACTTCCATGAATGGTGAACATATTTTGCAGGAAGCAGAATTGCCGTCTGAACAAGATCATGGGAATACTGCACTAACAAACATCTCTTCTGGCAGTAGGTATCTCAATGTGAAATTTACATTGATGATACAAAATTTTGATAGTATAAATATTAAAAAGAAGGCAACATTAAAGTAAACTAATTTCTGTCAATTTATATTGAAATGTAAATCAAACATTCATAAACGTGTTTGTAGGACAATTAAACAATTCTAAATTCTTTGAAATTACTTTGGTCTTATCTTGATTAAATAAGTTTTGAAAAGCAGCTAATTCAAATTCTTGAATATTTACAATTATTTGGATGAGAAAATAACGCTTTTGAACTTGAGGATTGTTGATGATGACTTAATTATGAATGTAATAGATGAAGACTAGAAATTAATGTTTATTAAAAGAAACATTGAGGGTTGAGCATTTGTTGCATTTGCTTTTGTAATTTAGTTACAGTATCTTTGTGATCTAATGACGTATTAAATAGATTTTAATATTAATTCTTTGTTCAGATGTTGAAACATAATTTGATTAGTACATACATGGTCTTCATCTGCCAAAGTATATTTCTGCTACAATGTTTTATTTTGACAGGTGATGATGCAAAGATGGAGGTAATGAGAAAACGTTTGAAAATTGTTGACAGAAAGCTGTCACTTTTTGTTGTGAGTTAAGCTTTAATGATTCTGTGGAAAACATTATGAACCATTAAGACACATTAAGACATGTAATCAAAGGCAGACTTCCAATATGCCTACATATCTATGTTTATAATGATTGTTAAATTATTATTATTCAGTATACACTTTAGCAACTTCTTTTACTTTTAGTTTTTATTTTTAAGTGGCATTGACAGCTCTGGTCATTAGTGATTACATTAATTTTCAATTATTAATTACATTTAGAATTTATGCATATTTATCTTACATATCATTATATTGCAATATCTACATTCACAATACATCATGATTAATAATAAAAGTATGTTGTATGAATTACAATACACTAGATATCATTACATTACATTTTTTGAATCAAATGTAATAGTAATTGATAATTTTTTTGTACTAATGTTGTCCATTTTTACTCTCTTTATCACAATATGTACATGCTTTAAATTTTATTGCAAAGTTTTTCTAAGTTTCTTAATCCCTACTTTTTTTTTAAAACTTTTATAATAAGGAAAGAATTACATAACCATTCTTTTTGTTTCTATGATATAAGAAAATACTTGTATTCCAATATTTACAAAAATTTTGGAATATCTTAATGGGAAATTTCAATTTTAGGAAATTGAAAGTTTACTTGTCAGCTGATCAAAAGTAAGAAGCTGGAACACATTAATATAACTATGAATTAAGGTGCAATGAATATGAAGAATTAGTCATTTTATTAATTATTATCTGAAGTATGAACTCTTGAGCAAATTTGTTTTACTTCATCAGGACCAGAGGATGACCAGGACACTGGACCTGGCTCCAAGCGGAAGCGTCGTGTCCCCATACGTTGGGCTTTGGAGCTGAAGTCTGGTGAAGAAGCAAGTGGAGTAGTGCTTCAGACATCATCCTCAAATTCCAGTTATCTTCACTTGGAAACTGCTCGACACAGCATCAAGGCAAAAATGGAGGCAGCTTCTGAAGAGAGGTCTTCATCAGACATTGTACCAAACGTGCCAGATACAGGTCAAACAACATCACCTGCTGAAGTAGCAAGCAGTGTTGATACAGTGCCATTGGAGCCCCAGGGTCCAAATCCCAGGAAACGCAGGGATGGCTGGGAGCTGTATCCTTGGATGTGTACAGATTGTTCTCAGGTATTTCCAATTGATGATATATTTCTGATCCATAAATTCAAACTATTAAAAGTTATTTGAAATGTGGAGATATTCATGAAAATGATTTCAAAGAAACTGCATCATATTGTTGAAATATTGAAGATTGCTATTTATTACTAAGAATTGTTTTAAATTCTGCTGGTGTCAATATGTCTAGATAAAGAATAAATGTGGAACAACATTTTGTTAGCAAAGAAATAAATGTGAAAATTCTCATGTATTTCTGAGGATAAAATCACCAAACTGATAGCCAACTTAAATATTATTAAACATTGTTGTATTATTATAAGAATACAATAAAAATAAAAGAAGTTTTTTTCTTTATGTTGGAGATGTTGAATTGAAGCCCATTATCCATTCGATAAATTAGGACTAATACAGTGTTTCAAGATATTCCAAAAGTAAATGGTAGTTTCAAGATTTTTAATGTAAATGTGTCAATTACAACAATTATAGGTCATGTAATAAAAACAGTGGGTAGTGTAGTAAAAGTTGCAGAAATAAAATATTTCCTTAAAATGTTGGGCACTGACCATAAATTGCATTTATATGTATATTGTTTATAATCATTTTGAAAATCTGTGTGAGCTAGAATAGTTTGGGACCTAAAGACATTCCCATTTATAATGATTTCAGTTTTGTGTAGTTTTTACTTGTTTTTTGTACTTTTGTAATATTACTGAAATTTTCATAATATTATGTAATTTTATTACAAAGATTAAAATACACCTTTATATTAACGAACTTATGGAGGAAGACACCAATAATGAAGTGTTTCCAACATCAATATAGTTTTCTGCTCTTGAATTTTCCCACTTACTGACATGTTTTCAGGTTTGTTTTTTTTAGTGTTAAAATAGTCTGAAGTAGTAAGTGCAAACATTTTTAGCTACAGAACAAATTGAAAGAGATCAGAATATGTGTGTACATAGGGAATGGTTTTGTTTACAATGTCTTCTTCAGTATGCGATCCAAGAATGATATTGTTACTTTCATTGCCAACGACTCCTTCTGTAAACTTTAAGACAGGGCAGGGAAAGGTGACCAACAACCTTGCCCAGAGCCATTCACACTCTCAGAGTGCTTGAAGAAGCACCATTTTCCTAAGCCTTGAAAGACAAGTTCCCTCCCGCCCCCTCAAGGTTGTTGAGCCTAACACTGTCTTTCAGATGTGCAGTTGCCACTTCAAAATCACATATCACAGACACAGAATATAACTTAAAATTGACCTGTGATCCATTCCATTAAGATGACACCTCACCACTATCCCCCTGCCAATTGTATTTCATTTACAGGAATTTCTTTTTTAAAGGGTTTTTCTCTTGCGTAATATGAAAAACCTTGAAGGATATAAATTATGCAGGTTCTGATTTTGGCTTTGTAAAAGCCAATTATCTTCTCAGGCTGAAGAAAGTTTCTGATTAGGGCAGGTGTTATTGAGTGTGTGGATCTATATTAAAATTGTATTGTAGCAGTCAGTGTTACAAATCAAAATTGTAGGTAAAAAAATAGTAGGAGTGGCACTGTGTTTTGCCTTCTCTCTGAGTTTGGTATCCCAACTAATTCAAACTGATGGAATGTAATAGGTTGACCAACATTTTTATGAAATGCTAAATACTTATGAAAACCCTATTGTCATGGATTTTTAAAGATGACTTTCCTTTCGGTGTCTGACAAATTAAAAATTATTTATATCTGACAGATGGTTCCCTTGTAACTCATGTTCTGTAACTTATTCAATTGTGTAAAGACATACTGGATTACAATACAATTTACACTTTATCACTCACATAAAACATCAAAAATATATTAAAAGGAAAAAGAAAACTACCAAAGATTAGCATTATCATTCAAACCTATACAATAAGCTTGTAACATTCCTCAAAAACACTGCACTCATACTTTCAATTATTTCCACTTCACTACTATTAGCTGCTCTGCATATTCTGTTATTTGTAGTGTTTGCAAAGTATAAGTTCTTCCCCTGATGACAAAAAAGTAGATCAGTTGATCTTGAATGAAATAATGAAACCTGATGAATACTGGAGTTCTAAATTGAGCACATCAGGATTTTCAGTGTTGACTAGTGCAATAATAATATACATATCACAGTAACAGAATAATAGTATAATATAATAATCACAGAATAATGAATATAATTTTTCTTTGTAAATATTTTAAAATTATCTTTCAAACAAAATGAGAATGAATATTTATAAAGGAGGCACAGGTTTTTTAAAATTAATTTTGCTGAGTTTTGGTTTAAAAAATGCTTAAACAATGAAAATTAATTGCAAATAGACAGTACTTTTTAAGTGCTAAATACCAGTGAATTTGATGTAATTTTTTTCTTTTGCTTTTAATGAAGGAATTGCCTAGTATGCAGGCACTACGCACACATCACCAAGCAGTTCACAATCAAGCTCCCCGCTTTATGTGTGCTCAGTGTTCTAAAGTTTACACCAAATACTATGGGTTTGTTAGTCATGTCCGACGTCACCGGAATCACATGAAATTTTGGTGAGTTGTATTTGCTGCTCCATTGTAACTTTAAATTTTGGAATCCAAAATATTAATTCACAATCTCAAGGTTTTTATTTGTTATTGACTATTGCCTTCTTTGTAAAGTAGTTTACTGTTGTAAAAAGTTCAGTGATTAATATTCTATTTACTATACTTACCACTTACTACTCACTATAGTAAATTTTATAATGTACAATAATCCTAAACAATTAAGTAAATAAAATAAGGAACAGTCAAGGACAATTAACTATGTTAAAAAGATTGATTGATGAATCTGAGGTGTTCAAATTGTTGTAAGTTCATCATTAATATTGTATTACGCGTTACATGTTCTTAATTATTGCAGACTAGTGATTCTGACTACCAATTTAAAAATTTTTTTTTTTTCCTTTCCTTCTCCTATCTGTTTAGAGGTCCTTCAAATGATAAGTTTTTGGGTACATTTCATTTATAATAAAAATGTTAAATGAATATTGTAAATAAATAACACTTTTAATATTTTTATGATGCATTTTCAAAAGAGTACAGAAGCACAACTCTCCAGATTTAAATGAAATTTTAATCATTGCTCTGTATCCTTGAGATAAAGTTCTGCAAATGAAAATTCAACCTTAATTAATTTGAAAGATAATGTACAATTGGAAATATATGTTACATTCTGAAAATTTAATTTTGAACTCATCCCAAACTTCAATATTTTTATAATATTATCTATCTATTAAATACAAACTACCCTATAGCCCTTCATGGGCATTGAGCGTATCTGGAGTAATCCTCTATGATGATTTTGTCTTTTTGACTCGTCACATCGCTGTCAATGCCTTTTATCCCCTTGGGCAGGGGCTCAGCGACCTTAGTAACCAGGATTCCCAGATGGTCACCTGTCCAGGAATTCATGGTGTCTTGAATTGCTTAACTTCCATGATTTCCAGATGCATAATTAAACAATTTAGCTAATGGCATTCATTACCTTCTATTGGGATTTTAGAGCCCAATTACATATTTTTTCAAAGAAATGTTTGTCAGGAATTTTGATTGAAATGTGGAAAAATGTCACGTTATGTGAATTTATACATTTAAATTATCTTAATTAATATTATATATTAATTAAATGTGTTTTATAATATAATATGGTTATAAAATATGTTCTCAAACAAAAAAATAAGTTTTTTATGCTAATTTGATTATATTTCTTCATAGTTGTGAAGAGTGTGGAAAGTGTTTCTCAAATAAAAAAGTCTTGGAATCTCACCGTGCTACCCATTCTGATGCACGCCCCTTTGTGTGCACAGAATGTGGAAAGAGCTTTCGTCAGCAGAGTGCTCTGTATGTTCATAATCGCTCCCATATGCCTGAGAGTGTCAAGAACAGGTACCCTTGTGACCAGTGTGACAAGCGGTAAGTGAAATGTTTCAGGTCAGTAGATATTCAGTATCACTTATGAAAACTGTAATATTGAAAGAGGAAATTAGTCACTCCTTGCAAATCAATATATAAACACTTATTTCCCGGTTTGATATCTGATACAGTGAGAAATTCATTAATTTTGGACTTTTACCTTGTTTTTGATACAAAGCTTTGCTAGGTGAAAGTTTTAATTGAAAAGGTGATAAAAAATTAAGGTGCTTGGTGCAACGATATTTAAAAGCCTCTTATTGCTTGTTTTTAATTAGATTTTTTCTTGTTTTAAAATAATTGTAAATTTCATTTTGATATCTTTAATAAAAAGCACTTGATGCATTCCTATTTGTATTCTCCAATGAATTACCTGACTAATCATCTTAGTTCACAATTTTCTCTTTATTTTACAGTTTTGTGTATGTTATAGTTATTGCTGCTTTTGCAATAAATTCCATTTTGTAATAGTAGTAATCATCATCATCATCATCATCATCATCATCAGTGTCCTTGGATTAGGGGTTGTGTTCCAGACCTTGTGAGTTAAAAAGCACTATTCCTTCACACTGAAGTGTTCCTGTTGGCGGCATCTTTTTGATCTTCTTTACCACATAATGCTAGGATTTTTGTTTTTTGGTTAGATATTTTCATTTGGTATTTTGGGGATATTTTACTTAATTTCAAGGCAGCTCTCTGAGTGTATCTTCTGAGTCTGGTATTAAGATGTGGTCATATGGAAAATATATTGATAATTTCTGTTTGCTTCCTTCTTTTTTCTTTTCATTTGAGTTCTCCATTTCCATTAATTTAACATGGAATTTCTGTACAAGTTTAAGAGTAGTGGTAACATGTGTATCCTTGGTGTAGACCAGACTAATCTGGTGTGTTGTGCCTTTGTTACTTTTTATTACTAACATGGAATCCAGGTGTGATATCTCATTATTTTTGACTAAATGTTCTAGTACTGTTTCTTCTCTCAAAATATCTCACACTTTCTTCCTATTTACATTGTTATACGTTTCTTTTGCAATTGATGAACATTGGTAAGTTAGTTTTTTGTACAATCTGTTGGGGTGTATGCATAGAATTTATTGTACTACTCTTCTTGAGGAATCCACATTGTTCTTCCACAATTATTTTTTCTTCTTTTGTTATCAGTCTTTGTCCAATTATGAGTGTGTAAAAAGGTTTGCTACCTCTGGTAACATTCTTACAGCCCTCTTTTTCCTGTTTCCATTTTTAAACATGTTGCACTCTATTGAAGCCTTTCATTCTTGGGGAAGGTCTTCTAGTTGGCTTGAAGGACGTGAAGCAGTGAGAACATCAGGAACATAAAATCAACATTGGAGCTTCTTTGGATTAATGCTTTGAGAGTTTTCTGCAAGAAAGGGCTGAATTACATTATTGTAATTGATGCACTTGTAGAATTTTTTAAAGTATTTTTGTTTTGTTACTTAAGTTTTCATTTTTGTTTCTCATTTGACACATTGACTTTTTAAATTTGGAATAGATACAGTTAAATGTCAAGCAGATATTGTGCAAAATACTTGTTTAATAGGCATCATGATGCTCAACATAAGGTAGATCATCACACCGTAAAAAATAAAACTCTTGTTCGACTCCTTCTGTCCAAGTAAATTTATCCATCACTCTCTGCTTAATTGACGCTAGATTTTAAAATATTGATAATGTGATGCATAATCTAACATGGTAAACTTGGACAAAAAGGTATAACTTCAAAATGACTTTGTATTTAGAAAATCTAAAACATCATAAAATCCTAGTAAATATATTAGGAATAATATATGATTCTATATGTATAAAAAAATGATAATGAAAATGAAAAGTTTTGCAACATTTAAATTCTGAATGAATTATTTTGTGACCAGGGAAGAAGTATTAAAAAAATTTTGAATAAGAAAGCAGTAAGAAACAAATTATTATTTATGGGCAGCTTATCGTATTAGATACCTCTGATACCACAGTAAAATGTTTGCATGCATAAAACTGGCATAAACGTGAAGCTATTTTCTTTGCCATTATTGCCAAAATTGTTGTCCATTGAACAATAGACAACGAAAAGGGATGAGTTGCCATCTGAGACAAAATTCTGCCTCTATATACAAGTAGTAAAATGGATTTGAGATGAAAAAAAAAGTTGTCAACTTTGTCAGCGTAAATTAATGATAGTCTCTTTTCAATGGTTTTGCCATAATCATCAGTTTATTGAAGTACTCAAATTAGAATAATTAGAAATTAGAAAATTTAGCTGAGCACTTCGATCCACTATTACCCGGCTTGATGTGTATACGTTACATGCTCCATTATGCAGCAGTCCCTGCAACCGTGATGACAGATTAATATTAACTGGAGCATGTAAGAGAAAAGGAAGAAGAAGAAGTAAAAGAAGAAAGAGGAAAATAATAATCAGTAGTAAAAAAGAAAAAGATGATAGAGGAGAAAAGACAGAAGGAAATAGGAGACGAAGAAAGAGAAAGATAAAATTATTGATAAGACAATTCTGTGCTCTGCATTCACATAATAAATCTTGCTTAAGAATTCTTGGTGCAGCAGGTTTACGACAGCTAGTATAAAAGAAAATTAAAAATGCTAAATAGGTAAACAAATAAAATTCAATAATATAATCAAAGTAAAAGTTGAGTTGCTTACTTTGCAAAGAGGTAGGTAGAGTCCGGAGAAGGTAAAACACCATTCTAAGCCCTCTTTCTGCACACTGACTCCTAAGTCTTGCCACCTTCTTGCACAGTAAAGGACTTAACCTTTTCTTTGTATTTATTTGTAATTATTTTGATATGTTTACTTATTTGTCATATTCAATTTTAATTTATATATAGTGTTTTAATAGAAGTCTTAATATTTCATTTTCAATAGATGATGTCAGTAAAGTCAAAAGGCAACTATCATATGAATTCATGTTGACGAAGATGACATCTTTCATTCCATCTATTCATTCTGTCAACTACTCATTAATACTTGCCCCAAATAGGATTTGGCCAATGTTTCAAGTCCTCGCCTTATTTTTGGTAAATTTGTTGCTTGCCTTATTATTGCTCTAATTTCTTCAGTTACTATTGATTACATACATTATAAAAGGAATTTGAAGTGTTACTGATCTATCTAGAATTTTAAATTTTAGAATACATATGCAATTATAAATTTATAAATTAAAATCTAAGTATTTATTTATAAAAGTTGGAAAATTCTTAATTTTCCTTTTATTTTTTGTGAGCAAATAATTTTCCCTTTTTTAAGATAAACAAAGTACTTTCAAACAGTTATAGAAAAGTAGATTTTGGTTTTTTAAACCAATCAGAATGATAATTACAATCTACTTCTAACTAGAATTAGAAAATATTTTCTGACGTTACACAAAAAGAAAGCTACCTCCCAAGAGATAAAGCTATATTAACATATTTGAGTAATATAATGTTACATTGTAGAATTTTGAATCGCAATTTAACCTTCTCTACATCCCTGCAATTAAATTAACATTGATGTTAATAACATTCTGTAGGTTTTCAACAAAGCCCAACCTTGTCACTCATAAACGAATCCATACTGGCATTCGCAACTTCACATGTGATCAATGTGGGAAGAGCTTCATCCAAAAGGGCAATCTGGATGCACACTTGCTGACACATTCTGTGGACAAACCACATATTTGTCCCATCTGCAACAAAGGGTAAGAGAATAGTTAATTGATATCCATTGTTTTTAAACTGAAAACTTATAAAAACTTAGCAGCATGCAGCAGCAAGTATTCTGCTGAACAAAACCACATTAATTATTTTCCAAAAAGTAGCACACAAAAGAATAAATACAATTCTCTCATATAACACTGCAATAAATTAAATATTTTAACAAAAATGAATACTGCAATAACATGTAGAGTACCTCTGAGATTTACATAACAAGAAGATAATAATTTTGCTGTTTAATGACGCAACACTCTAATAGCAAATATTCAATGGTCCTTTCCTTAGAACCTTGGTGTTGCATGCAGTCAGTGGTGTCATAAGTGGTAACACATTAAGTAGGAGAAAAGATGGAAAAACACAGTCAAAAATTTGCATTTTCAAGTCAAAATTGAAACTGTTCCACTGTTTTTGGATTTTCCTGAGTTCTGGTGTATCTCATAAAACCAAACACCTTTCATGTGGCTCACATAACTTTCTTTCAGCTTCTGTGTGCATTGAAAATTAGTAATACAGGTAGACCTTAAATTTGCACTACTTATTTGAACAATACAAGAAAGATTGTGGAATTAAAAACATATTTTTATATGTTAGATATTCTTCCATAATTCTCCAAATAACAAATTAGTTGTTAGTTGTAATACATTTTTTAAGCCCAATTAACTTACAACTTGTAAAGAAATAAAATGATCTAGGGTCAATGAAGATAAAGCAAAATAGTATATTTTTAGTCATTTTATGTTAGCTTATTATCTCTCCTTTTATGTACAAATCTGTATTCAATTCTTTCTATGTAGATTCAAGACTCCACTGCAGCTTCGAAAGCATCAAACTGTTCACACAGGTGCCAAGCCTCATCAGTGTGATGTTTGTGGACGCCAATTCCGAGAACGTGGAACACTTCGAGAGCATCATCGAATCCATACAGGAGCTATGCCTTTCACATGCGAATTTTGTGGCAAAAGCTTTCGCTTCAAGGGCATTCTTACAGTGAGTTATCTACTAGTTTACTCTACATCTTGTCCCCTTCTCCAATTTATGGATTGTTTCAAATTAAATGTCCAGTGTAGAAAGAGACATAATACATATCATGATTAGTAGTTCTTATTAAGTATACAATTTTATGAGTAAGAATAAAAAATTTCCAAATATTGAAGGTTATGTAGTATATGTTTTAAGTTGCTATTGTAATGTAAATGTTTTGTTTCTCAAAAATCTTTTTTCACTTGTTGAAACTATATCAATATTTAAATCATTTATACATTTTCTATTTTTAGAGAGTAGATCATTACTTGTGTAGACTTTATTCAAGCCAAAAGATAACTTAAATATTAGAACTCTGCATTTTGATGAAAACAACCACTTGAGTATTATGAGATTCTATGCTGATGCTTCATGGGAAGGGGGAACCTCGTTTTGTGGTATGATCCATGATACAATGTCGCTGCATGATCCTTGTTTAACGGACATTTTGACTGGCCTTCTTTCACCTCTTGGTTATGAGCTGAACAGCAGAGCATCGCTGAGTACTCGACTGTTGATCGGCCCTCAGCCACCTCAGGATTGGGAGTGACCGCTCATAGTGATGGCAAAACTCTCAATGATATGTACAGATAGCAGATATAATTAATAATAATCAAAAGAAAAACAAAATAGTCAATTGATTAATTAGTTGAAAACTACCAATTAACTGATTAATTGGACATGGTATAACGAAAAAAATACACATTTTTGAATAATTAAAAAAAACAGTTTGAAAAGTAATATAAAGTAAACTTTTTAGCTACATCTGTGAAATAGATCGACAATAAAAAACCAAATAATTATCATAAGTCTTTTAACATTGTTAATTTTTATGATTATACAATATTCAAATACTAGGTTGAAATATCTCTTGACCAAACACTTGCTGTCAAGCAATATATCCTGTTGAAATCAAACAAGGTGGATTACTTCTTATTGATTTATCATAATTTCGTAAGTATTTTGCACTTACGTCATTACTAATCAGCTGTTACTCCATTAAATTCTATGTTGTAGATGCGTGGAAAAGCACTAAAAATTAAAATTAAGCCGCAGAGAGACAAAAACACACAATTGATTGGAAAAAGCACTACTATAGTTCATTGCCCTTGTACCTAATTTTAGCAGAACTTCTTTATTTAAAAAAAATAAAATGTAAGGAAATAAATGAATTTATAACACTCTTCATTGGTACATTGTTTTTTGCCATTTTTACTTTCTCGTGTATGTACGTATATATGGAATAATATACATAGTATAGAGAAAGTTATGTACTGCTGCGGAAAATCGATTTTGAGATTTCAACAGATATACGTTTACAAAAAATATGATCCCCCTGACATCAAAAAAGTGTTGTTTTTTTCCCCCCAAAACATCTGGCTATCCATCTGTTTGTGAACAACACGATGGCCTAAATTGTGGGTAGGATTTTTTCCGATTTTGAAACACTTTCTTTCAATTTAGGGGAGTACATTTCCTCTGAGACATTTTCAAAATTTTCTCAAAAATTTCTCAAATTTTTTCTTTAAATTTCTTGTAGAATAGAATTAACTACTCTTATAAAGGTGGCTGATTTTCACCATTTGCTCTTAATTTTCAGAAATTTTCAAATTTTTAAATTTTTTTGGTGTCTTACTACAACTACAGAATTGAAAATAAAAATTTTTCCATCCAATAAAATTCGTTATCCTTAATTAGTTCTTTCGTTAAGATCATGTACGTTTTCTTGAAAATTTGAGTAGTTTTCACGCAATAGTGAAAAATAAGAAAAAAACTTAATTTCGCAGAAACAACCCTAATTTTTTGTTTCAACTTTTGGTTGGGGTAGTGCCAAATGTAGTGTATCAGATGGCATAAATGTCATTTTGCTCTTTGTTGTTGTTTTTCTTCTAAAAAACATTGCAATTGTAATTTTATTGATATCTCGCTCACGCTGTTAGAATTCATAGTAACTGTGATTAGTAACCATTGCATTTACAAGTATATGTGCTTCAAATGATATCTCATAAAGTCATTTTCTGTAAAAGTGAGCTAAAATATTATTCTAAAATGCTCAAACACCATTTTCTCAAAAACAGCTCCGAATTTTTTCTTTTAACTTTTTGTAACAATGCTCTCTATAAGATAACATAAAAGCCATTTTGCTGTATTTTGTTTTTTCAAGAATCATGCAAATGTTGTATTACATATATCTTACGCTGTTAATATGCACATTTTCAGCAATTTGTAATTATTGCATTTGTGAGTGGAAGTGCGTCATATGACTTCCAATAAAGTTTCTTAGCTAGGTTCTATAATGACATCACTGAGGTTAAGCAAGTTTGAGACTGGTTCTTGGTTGAGTGATCATTTGGGAATGCCACGTATCACCTGCCCAACTTTTCATGAACGATGGATTGAAGAAATGCGGGTAGAGAGGGGGTATTAGTCACAAAATCCTCCACTAGATTTTACAAAGCAATGCCAAACTCTGGAGAATCAGTCATGTCTACGCAACTTTCTCAATAATTTGCATTCTAACTTTCTCAGGAGTTCAATGTATCTCCTGAGATGCATCTTCACCTTTGGTCATTTCTTTAGATTTTGTGGAGAAAATCACAGACTCTAGTTCTTGTCTTCAACAGAAAATAGTTTCTATGTTGTGCCAGTGAAGATGTGTTTGGAATGTTGTCATCAGTACTCGCTGTGAGCTTTTGCCTTCAACTGTTTATTGTGCCAGAGAGGGGAAAGCAAGGTCATTGTTCAAGAAAAGTTGCCTAATTAAAATTAACACCTCTGAGCTCCTGACTGAAGGGATAAAAGCAAAATAAACTGAACAAATGAAAACATTGATCAGGAAATAATGCCTGCTTGTCTCATTTTTTCTCATTTGAAATTTAAAAAAGGCAATATACTTTCAAAAATTGAATGAGTAAATTTAATGAAAACTATTTCTTGTGCAATTGATAAACCATATACTTTTATGACATTTTCAGTTTCTGTTTAGTTCCACTGGAAATAAAACTATGTTGGGGTAAAACATTTAGAAACTTGGATTAATAGGTGTGATTTGCCTTGGTACAGACTCATCGGAGACAGCACACAGGGGAACGACCTTACAGCTGTTTGGAGTGTCAGCATCATTTTACCAACTGGCCTAACTACAACAAACACATGAAGAGGCGTCATGGTATCAATACCAGTCACCAGCCAGATCCTAACAAGATTGCTTTGGCCAACCTAGCCAGTGCTGGAAACAGTGCAAATGTTGGACCAACTAATACCACTCCTGCAACAACTACTTTGTTAGTGATGCGCCAGCAGCAAGAACAACATCAACATCCACATCCACAACATCAGTCACAACCTCAAACTCCTGGAACTCCTGCAGAGCACTGCCAAGCTATTTTAGGTTTAGCTTCAGATTTGCTGGATCACCCGACTCTTCCAACAGGAGCACCACCTGTACAGTACAATCATCATCCAGGTATGCATTAACATTACTATTGATATTACTATTCAAGAGAACTATTATTACCTACCAAGGGTCTGTTTGTTAAGTGCTTCTAAACACCAACAACACTTCTTTCAGAAAAATATGTTTCATATATTTAATTGAGTATCACATTATACAACTAAGTAAAAAATAAAATTACTTTATTAACTTTTAACCTCATGAATAAAATAACAATTTGAATTAAATTAAATATCCTCCCTTTTTCAGGTGACTTTAGTCAGAGCCAATTTTCTAAATTCTGGCAAGCAGTGTTATTTTGGAACTCTTTGAGTTGCCACTATGTGGTAATTTATGCAATTTAATCTGAATGTTGTGATTAGTGAACTTATAATCTTATTAGGAAAAAAACATAAATAAATAAAAACTAATTTCTTATTTTTATTTACATTTTACAGCAGCAATGGTAATATGCAAACCTCACCCCTTTTTAGAATGTTTTATTCTACACTAACACATTTAAATGCGTATGATATAATGAGTGCCATACTTATTTTAGAGCAGAGATGTGGAATAAGGTTTTGTCTTTGTGATTTCCCTTCCTCTGGGCAGTTGATCAGTGGTCACAGTAGTGGATGCCTTTGCTCTCCACTGAATTAATGATGGTAGGGGTGAATGATGACAATAGATGATTATGGATTGAGTGATAGTTCGATGTGCAGGAAGTCAATCTCTCATTAATCACATGGTAAAAACCATTATGCCTTACATAGGATTGAAAACCTGCTTGGGCAAAGCTCCAAGCCTTTGTGACACTAAGGCTGGAAAATACACAATGTAATATTTATTTATTTATATTAATCTGTTCCAATAGAGCCCTTGCATGTAGAGAAATAACAAATTGGATGTTTAATACAGTTATTGCAGCAAGTTGACGTAAAGGTAAACTGAATGGTGTCATATTATAAGGAATTTGTGTGAAGGCTAGTTTAAGTGAGATTGAGATTTTGCTGTGAATATTGTTAATTGAGGTAAATAGTTATTACCACAATTTAGATCAAATTGTACAATTTTTTTGTTTAGTAAATAATAATTATTTATTACCAATATATGAACAGTTTGCCCATTTTTAGAAAATGTATTTTCATAACTCGTTCAGTTTTTCCCAAAAGTCCAACTGTTCTAACAAAAATGGGTAGTCAGTGTTGCTCTTGTTGAGTAATTACCTGAGATAAATCATATCTACAATGTCCCTTCATGATCTGAGAGATGGAATATTCAAATGCATCAATATTTCTTTGTATTTATGACTAATAAAGAGGTCTACAAGTTCCATGCTATAGTGCATGCAGCAATTCCAAAAAACTTGTGTTGTAAAGTGGTATTATGGAGGACGATTTTCATTCTGCAAGAAATGAACCTTTCTCAAGAGATAAATCAAAAAGGAATTACAAGATTTGTGAGAAGACAAATTTATAGTTTTTAAGAAACAGTACAGAGATATCATCAGGGCTTGTGTACAACTTCAAATAAGGATTATCACCAGGGCCTTTTGACTCCCTTATAATGTAGTGGACACCATTACAGTGATGCACTCTCCTGCAATACCTTCTTACAGGAACTAAAATACGAACTGCCGCCAACAATACTTAAAATGTGCACGACTGCTGTGAGGCACTAGCAGGTGTGAAATGTTACAAAACATAGCGTCCATGTTCGCGTTTCTTCAACATTTAAAAGATATTTTTTGTAGTTCTCAAAATTAGCCAATTTTTATGGGTGAAAGTTGGCGAGCCTAACTTGCAGTTGCATTTGGCGACACTAGCGCCTCGTATCGTAGCACCCTCCAGCTTTGTCCCCGGTTTCGATGGAGAGTTGCAAGTCCCTGATTATTACTCTTTTAGAGAATATCTATGAGTTAAATGTAATATGATAAATCAATATGCTTTAAATTGAAAGTCCTGAGAAACACTCCAGCACCGCAGGACAATTTGTATTTGCAACAACAAAAAAAACTCCAAAATTGAATTTTAAATACTTAAATACAACATTATTCAACCTCCTCAGAGATAAAATTTCTGCAAGTAATTTTTACTTCCTTGCCACTTGCATAGTAAACAGAAAGTATAATTTTTAGAACAGATTTTGTTTTAGACAAAAATCTCTATCTTCAATTTTGTAGATTTGAAATGTTAAAATATGAACTTGAACTTATTTCAAGGTCTGCCTTTAAAGAACACATTTCATTGACGAAAAAAATCTCCCTCTTCAATATTGTGGTTGTAGGAAGACCGTGAACAAAACTTTGAATTTTTGCAATTTTCAAAAAATGAGGAATTTCAAGGAAAATGAGTCCTGCACCAATTAAGGGTTTGTTTCCACTAACCAAGGAAAAGGTTTAATCAAAACATTTGGAAATGTTGAGACTTCTTGTAAAGTACCTTCAAAAATCAAATGATCCATTTCAAACTAATAAAGCCATCTGTTTGGTCAGATCTATCCAGAAATATCCATTTCATACATTTCAAATACGTATTGAACTCGTAAATTCATTTGCTTGTCATGGAGTCAGCTGTGATTACTGTGAAGAAGTGTCTGTTCTGTTCTGCCGAATTGTTTGGAGATTCAATTCAATTGATATTCAGCAAATGTAAGAAACAACAACAGAGGATCAAACAATAGAAGTCTTCCACTACCAAAAGGGTAGTTCTTTAAAACATATCAGCGAAATACTAAACAGGCCAGATGATACAGTGAAGAGTATAATATACAGGTACAAGACTTCTCAGGCTGTAAAATACAGAGTTAAGTTAAGTCAAGAGAAACCCTCCACTGAGTGCTCCAAATATTAGGGATGGCAGGTGGCAAGTGACAGGGGAAATAGCAAAGCAAGTGAGTGCAAAAACAATTCAAAACGTCTTTCATGAAGCTGGGTAGCATGATCGTACTGCCCAATAGGCTTTGCGAAAGAACTTAGAAATAAAACGTATGAATTTTGGGAGAAGGTTCTTTTCACTGATGAAAGTAAATCTAATTTATTCAAGTCGGGATGGCATGTGATTGTTAGGTGGCAGAAGAAGTACGCACTTAAAAGAAATCTCTCATATACTACCAAACACGGTGGAGGGCCCAGTAATGGTGTGGGGCAGCATGAGTGCCAAAGGTGTTGGGGATTTGTGTCATTAATGGTGAATCTAGACCAACAGAACAAATATTTTGGGGTTTACTGTTGACCGCAAGGCAATGACCTGCCTCAATACTTAACTCTGGTTGTTGAATAACACTCCTCGCTGGATGAAGACACATCTCCAATTCCCTTTGGGAAGGTTTGGCATATCCTCTAACAAAGAATTACAAAAAACATCTCCAATAAAAATGTTCTCAAAAACTCTTTGATGAATGACTGATTAACCAAGAAATTACAGAACCCATGGTGAGATCAAACCGAAGGTGGTTACAGAAAATAAGAATAAAGGACGCTCCACCTAGAATTAAGAATGTCATCAACCTCTAATATTTTATTCTGCATGTTTTGCAGTTGAATACTTATTTGAGCTCAAAATTCACATTGTCTTTTCTCTCTGAGTACATTTAATTTCAGTTACCAAAGTATATCCATTTTTGTTTCTCTTGTAGATATGCTAAATAAATATTTATGTACAATGAGCTAGTCATCTTTCCATTTTTTTTGTTAATAATACCCTTTTAAGTCAGGACTATTATCACTCAAATACTTTTTGTCACTATGCTACGCAGAAGGGCACCCCAGAAGAGCTAAATATCCAAAAATGTCTTCTTTTGTATACTACTTAAAGGTTCATTCAGTAGATAAATGGTTTATCATTTATATCCGATATAATACAGGATACAGCCAAAGTCAATATAAAACAATTATTCATGTATGCGTAATGTTAGAAAATACATTAAAATTGTGGAAATATTGGATGTGATAAAACATTTATTTAATTAAAGATCTTAAAGCTGAAATATTCTAAAATCAAGTCTTACTAAGAAAAATGCAGAAATTTAATTGTACTATGTACTAGCAAACTTACACATTAAATTTCATAAACAGTTAAATGAAAAAAGAAATTGTTTCTCTATGATGTAGTGTCTTGCCAACAACAAATGTCCAGAAATCAACTCCATTACTATGGAGAGCTGTTGTTAGCTGCGCAAAATGTGTGTCTATTTAGATTTGTGGTAAATGTTCTGATTTCATACATGTTAATGTAATATCCTAAGCAACTTTTAGCAGTGCGTAAAGAGTATCAATAATAAAATCTGGTCTAGACTTAACACATTCAGGTTGCTGCCCGTAAAATCTGTGGGCACTGACAGCTCACCTTAAATTACAAGGCCTGAAGAGTCTATGAACGTGCGATTCATACCATATATCTGCTTAAATCATGTCATTTTCCAGTCATGAACTATTCATGGTTGTTTCAACATCAATAAAGTACCTAAAATCACAGCTAGATTTTATTTGCTGCCTTGTAAGTGTTATAGTTTTGGAATACACAGATGTGCATGCCCTCTGCAGTGATGCCCAAGGAGTGTTCTTCAAAATTATCATAGCAAACGCAATTATTGTGAATAAAAAGTAATGTTTTCTTCACTTTTGCAATAGACACTAATGTTATGTTCTGTATAATGTTCTAATATTAACAGAATTTGTAAAAATTGAATTAAAATAAACAAGTTGAACTTTTTTTTTAAACTCCTTGTTATTTCTATTGAAAAATCTTTTAAACTATTAATGGTAACATAAAAGTTGGAATATCATATAAAAGTACAAGATTATTTCTTTAAAATAAAAAATAGTTCTGTGTTGTTGAGCTGAGGCTACGACCCAAATGTGTTAACAATTACTGTTAAAAGGTATATTACACATGGCTATAAGACAAGCCGTGTTCGTTAATAATAATACTTGCAGCTGTAATGGATAAATGATTCAAATTAGGTTCAATCAAAAGAAATGCTCTGTATACTATTTATTTACAATTTACATTATCAGAATCCTGATGGTCATGAAAAAGGAATTTGCAGTGCCAATTACTGAGTCTAATGGAAATTTCTTTTCAGTTAGAAATGTTTTAATGAAAATTTAAAACTTCTCTTGGGGTTTAAGTTACTTCTCAATGAAGAAATGTTCATTACGTTATTGAAAGATAAATTTAATGCAGTCACTTCTTTCAGGCATTTCCATTTCAATCAATATATCATATTTAGGTGCAATAGTTTGCCTTCTAGAACATTAATAAAACTATTTTTATTAATGTTTTTAGAAACTGATGTACAACCATTTCCTGCTTCTTTTCACACAGTTCCTGAGCCAGTGTCATGTGTGAGCTCTGGCACAATGGTAACACACAGTGGAGTGTGTGTTTCTAGTGGAGAAGCTGAACCTGATCAACATTTGTATCAAAACACCACAAAAAGTATTGGACCAACCGCTCATTTTTACAATCCTACATCCGGTGTACATGTAGGACCTTATGTTGGAGCCACAGCAGTTCCTGCTAATGTACTGGGCTTCTATAATTTGCCACAGATCACAGGATTGGAGGGCGCAGGACCAATGGATATACTACCTTCAGTGCAACAGAGGTAGCCCTTCTAGGGAAATACCATACTCTAAAGTTCATTGAAACCATCAATAAACAGAATATACTAAGGATAGTTCCTTTTTAATTAATATTGAAAACATCCTTCTCTCCTTAATAAGGTATGTTGTGTGTTAGTGTGCCATCAATGGTTAACAGCCATTTCATTTGCTTGTGTTCACAATAATATGTTCAATTATGAAGTAGAATTGGTATGAGAAACAAAGTGAATATATTTCTTCACTAGTAGGCCTACAATAAGAGTTTTTATTACATTTATGATATGTATGTGTAATCTTTTAGACTATTTGATATCATAAAATTTCAATGTTGTGGAAATACTGTTACTGTACTCTGCAAGAAAATGATAGTTTCATTCTTCATGATAGCATAAAAAATACTACATAAATCTAGTAACAAAATTTGATATGTACAATTTTTTTTAAATTAATATTTTTGTTTTGTATAGGAAACTTTCCTAAGTTGAATCATGAAGGACCCAATGTTTCTATTGATTTAAAATATTATTCAAATGTAAAACAACTATTTTCTCAAGATAAATCTACCTTCAGTAATTTGATCTAATAAAAAATAAATTACATGTAAATAAGAGACACTGCCATTCAGGTTATCAACAATTTAGTGTGTGGGTAAAGAGAAATATTTGCTACTGACAATTTTTAAAATTCTAAATTTGTAGAGGTATCGTCAATATTGAAGATATTTATTGTACCCAATTTTCTTCACTGAAATATTTACAAATCTGGAAGCAAAGTGTAACACAGCAATTTTTAACCACACACCTATTTGAAAAACAAACAAAAAAGAACCAACCAACCATTAGTGCACTATTTCTAATTTTAAAGATATTATTTGTTATTGGCATGATAATAATGTGTATATTATGGTTGAAAATAAATGATCATTTATTAAATTATTTTGAAACAGCTTCCAACGTTTTTGATATTTCAGTGAGAAATTGATAACATGTTATGTTATTGAATTTTCTACTTCACGAAATTTAATTTTTGTGGATAAGTGTGGAAATACATTCCATTTCATTTCATATTGCACTTTCATTTTCATTTGCACTTTCACTTATTTTTGTGATCAAAATTGCAGGATATTGGTCCAGTGGTTAATATTAGTGTTAAAGCACAGATTGAGAAGCACAGTTATTGAAATAGTTCTGGTTATTAAAAATAACAAGAAAAAAATGACATATTAAATATTGCAAACATGACATATCCTCTTTCTGTAATTGTCCGTGCGTATTTTAATAAATTTGTTGGCACGGCTAACTTAAGAAAGTTCTAAAATCTGATAAGTAGAAGGCAGATTTTGACGACCTAATATATTGCCAAACGTGATCAATACAATGCTCTGAAAGTAAAGAAAAATTACATAGAAAATTTTATCAAAACCAGTTTAGATGAACAACTCAAGCTGTTGGATATGTTACTGAGTAATCCTTCTGTCTTCCTTTTACTGAAGCTTCTTCCTTTTGTTCAAGTGACATCAGCTTGCTAACTTTTAATTTGGACTTTTACCAGAAAATCTCTGTCCTTAGTTATCCCAAAATCAGCTGACCCAACAATGTCGCTGATAGGCTCACAGGAACAGATTACATACTCATAATGGTTGACATTACAATTTACAAGCAAAGAAATTGAATAAGCTACTGAGTAATTCTGTGGAAAACATTTATTGCATCTTGTAAATATTATTTGTAGTAAGTACCATTAAAATGAAATTAAAATAAATGAAAACAGTGAAAATGCAAAATAAATGCTATAAAGTGGTTGTCATAACACAAAATTAATGTCTGTACAAACAGGAATTGTTCTAAAGTGAAAAGAAAAAAAATTCCATTTTATTAACATATGCCCCCTACTTTTAAGATTGTTTACAAATTGCAAATGGAAGAGAAATCAATAAAAATACTGTTAGATTTTTACCTCAAAAGAATCAATTACTTTTTATGCTCATATCTATTACATATTAGAAAGAACAATAAGTATGGGGCATTGTATCACATCAAGTTCCCAGAATAGTAAGGTGATTTTGGTTACATGCCATACACTTTTCACATTCTTTGCATGAGTAAATAAGACAACTATTACATTTCTCTTAGCTCCAGAATTTTCTTAACCTCTTACTTTCAATTACAAATCATGAATTATATCCAGGAGTCCAATGTTAATGAGGGACAGCATGAGGGGAGACAGTTGATAGTTTACACAAGGAAAAGATAAACAATTAAAATGTAATATAAAAATTATAAATATTTATATAGGAGATATTTTTATTTAATTCTAAGACTGACAAAACTAAAAGACAAGAGGCCCACACACTGAGTCAGTGCCGTGCCAGCAAGGAGACAAGAAACCCAAATACCTCAGAAGGGGAAATCGCAAGGTATTATTTCCTTTATTTGTATAAATCAAGAATTATAATTCAAAAATGTATACAGGAGGCGTGAATTGGGAATACTTTTTACTATCGAACCTGAATAGTGTAATTTTTAAGTATTAAACAAATAAATAAATGTTAAACCATATAATCAATGTCTAAGTACAATAAAAACACTGAAATAAAAAGTATAGTTATTTGGCAAAATTAAATTAAAAAGTCGGTGAAAAAGTCTGGTGTGTATAGATGTGCATTCACACTTTCTTATTTAATAGGTTTCAATACTGGCTTACATCTTCCTAGACAGGACTCCACAACAAAAAGTTTTATAATACTTTATCCACTTTGGTTAGGGAAACCCAAATTTTATGACATACTTGTATTCAGTTTTGTATTGAAGTTCTTTACTGTGCTAGTGCAGTAAAGTTTTTCTTTACAACCCCAAGTAATGACGAGTACTACTAAAAATGTTGTACGTCTTCTTTTGAAAATATTCTACCATTTTTGCCTTGTAATCTTCACTTTTTCACTTCAAAAACACTAACAACTCCATTAACTTATAACATTGTCATTCAATGAAATAGTTATTGTTACCTTCCATATGTCTAAAGATTCTTTCTCAGCTTTACCAGAGAAGCCACCATAATTTGTTCCGATATGCATTTAATTTGTTTTTTAAAAACAGCAATCTTTAAATATAACATAATCGCAATCATGTTTGTAATTTGTGTGTTCCTATTTCAGGTATCTCAATCACAGCTATCACTTATTTTGAAAAGAATACAGTACGTGTATTTCAACACTTCTCTTTGAGAACAGTGCACATTCCGAACGAAACTCATGAATGCATAGTGTGAAATTTCAAATTACATCTAATTTTAACAAAGTGGATAAAATATTGTATGATAACATCCTATTGCAGAACTCAATTGGTAACCAAACTCAGCCTAATCACTTTCTCTGGGAATTTTCGTATCTCGTATTGTAATATGATGCATTACAACACAAAAAACATACACACCATGCAAACACCTCTTAAGAGTAAACTCTGGTATTCTCCATCATAGCCCTTTGCCACCAAAATTAATTGTCCAATAAATTTGAACTGAAAAAGTTAAAAGTATGCATATTCATTAATATCATATTGCATTCTACAAATACCCATCTCTCTTTGCACAGTAACTTAACTTATCAAGTCTATGACACTTGTATGTAATGACTGCTCTATCCTCTGCCAAAACTACCACAACTCAAGGGTCCTGGCAGCAGGAAGATGCATAGTTGCCTGCAGAGCTTCTCTGGTAGGAAGTCTCATGGGATGCTTCTAAGATGGATTAATAAAATAGAAGTAGGAGCTCTTTCAAAATATTATTTTTATATATTTTCTTTTGTTTAAATTATTCATAACACTTATTGTCCATTTTTCATTCATGTACTTTTAAATATTTGAAAAAGTAGGAGGCAGTCTCCCTAAAAAGAGAGAACTATGAATGGAAATCACTTTGAGGTGCCTGTTGACCCATTTGATTTTATGAAACCACACCGATGAAGGAATATATTTTATTAATATGCAATGGACTTATTCCCCCACCTACTGAATCTGCGAATTCATTCCTGAAAATATATGTTGAAGAGATGTATTGTTACATATGTATCACATTTTGTGTTGAAAACCTGTTTAAGTGTTTGCTCATGAATAAATGGAAATTAAGGATTTTCTGGCACCAAATTGCTACTGTAATCAATCCTAATCAACAAGCATTATGACAAGTCTCGATGTTTGTAAGAACTTATCAAGCATTGTGCTGTGTCCCGTTTGTGCTTGGTTGCTGATATATATGGTATATATTTTTTTAACAAATTGTGCACTTGTCACACATTAAACTGCAAAATCTGTAATGTTAAAAAAAAAAAGAAAAACAGTTTAAAGTATGTCCTTCAAATATTTTCCTCTGAGCCAAGTATAAATCAAGACCACTTTAGAATAATTAATATACAGATTTTCAGTTATTCAAAACCAAAGGCTAATTCTAATTGATTTGGCTGCTTGTGTTAATACTGTAATACTCATTCTTAGAAGAAAAACTAAATCGTTTTAATTTTGAGGTTGATTTGCATATTTGTTTTTGAGATATTTTTCAGAGATTTATATACATACTATATATACTACATAAACATTTGTACACATTAGATTTTTTATTTTTTAGCAAAGATGACATAATAAAACATGTTCTCTTATATTCTGTGTTTTATTTACCAACCATTTCTTAGGCTTGAAGCTTCCTATGAAAATAAGTTTTCTACAACTCAGGAATGAAATTTTTTTTCAAATATTGCTAATCTCACGCTTTTTAAAATTTAAATTTTTTAATAATTTTAAACTTTTACTCATGTCAACTATTTATAGTTAAAATGACAGGAAGGGATTCTGGAACTCAAGAAAACATGCACCCCATCTAAATCCTTCTATTTAAGACCAAGTATGTTTTCTCATGCTGCAATTATTACTCTAGTTGCGTGATGGATTTACTTTTTGATTATTTATTTTGTGTGCTGTAGATCACTTAATTACACATCAAAAATTAATTGGATCATAGATATAATTGTGGCCTCACTGCTATGATCCTTGGCACTCAGGATTAGGAATGGGAAGGTAAGATCCCGTGTGATTTACGTGTTGAAGGGCCACAATTATTTTAATTTGGAATTATTTACAACCATAAATATATTTACCAGTGTGTAGATCTAGAAAATATTCTAAATCTAAAACTTACAACACACTATAAATGCGTGAGAAGAGTTTTGTCATCCAAATGCTTAATTAAATTCCAAAAATCCACTGCTTTATTGTGGTTTTCATAGTTGTAAGTTTTCCAAGCTCATTTTGACAACTTACAATTGCATATTTTTGCTCCCACACTGCTTTACACTTTTGAGATAATTGTTTCTATAAATAATCTTAGTATTTAAATAACTTTTTCAGTTCATTCTAATGAAAATTTACAGATTCGAAAGCTTGAAGTTAAATGCAGTGGATCTTATTAATTACTAATTAATTATTTTGGAGTCTTTATAGAAGGCAATTTATTTTATTCACAAAATAATCAATATGAATTTCCCTCCTGATTTAAATTTGCATAGTTTCTCATCTCGCTCCATGTGAACATTCCTTCCCTATTACCAGATTTTCTTCTTGAGATGCATTTGTCAGTGATCTCTGATTCTTCAACCACTATCATTAAATTCGCATGATCCAGTTGTGAACTGCATGTCTGTACATCTCAGTCTCTGCAACATGGGACAGAGGAAACTTACCAAGTTTGGAAGTTTTGTTTTGCTAAGACATTCATTACTTCATATCTCTGATCAGATACAGAAACTGTATTTCAACCTATGTGAATTTCTTCTTTTCCAACTCTTGCAAAATGCATTTTCACACTTGCTGGGCATCCACATGGTGGTAGCAAAGAGGCCTTGCTGTACATTGTGTAACAAACTCTCGGACCCCTTTCATTTTCAGTTTAACTTATTACATTGCCATTCATTCGAGATTGCTTTACCAGGCCAATCAAAAATGCTAGTCTGAAACGCCCCACAAATCATTGCTGGATGCCCAAGAATACAATTAGATATGTTAAAATTACTTAAGCTGCGAAGGTGATAACTATCATCTATTATTGTTTGTTACATTAGCATTAGTGTTTCTTGATATAAAGTCTGTGAAAAGAGAGATCCAACCCACTAAGCTTAATCTACGAATATTACAACCACCTTCTAATTTTCAAATATTTAGGGAGGATAATCTTTGTCTTGTGTTCAGTTAAATACAGTATTTGTTATAACTGCATTTCTATTAAAATATCTAAAGGCTTTAGAACCATATATAGAACACCATTTACTTGATTTAAGAGGAGCAGCTTCCCACAATGGAGACAAAAGCAAGTCAGGAGGGTGTGGGGATTTGAGTTCAACTCAGAAGGGGATCAAAACAGTATTCATTACAAGGATGTGGAAGTCACATGTAGTTACAGAAAAAAGGTAGAAAAAGCAACTTTTTGAATATCTTATCAGTATGAACTAAATGAAAAACCTACATGGGTCTGTGTTAAATAAGGTGACATCAATACATCCATTCTCTACAATTGTTTTTATTGTGGAACAGCAATAACAAGATAGTATACACATCACAGGAAAAATGTTCGAATTTTGATTCGTGATCTGTGTAGTACAGGAATGCAATCCTTAATTCATGCAGTACCTACAAAAATAAAAAAATCTCACACAAATTGTGACAATATCAGATAACACACAACAAAAGGCAATAATACATTTGCTTTAAAATCTTAACATTTGATGACTATTAACAAGTACAGGACATGCTTGTAAAACTGATAATGTATGTATATAAATATGTGAAAGTTTCAGGACGGTAATGTATGCACCTATCCTGTAAAGCACTATACAGTTCATGATTTGCTAATCCAAAATTGGTCTTGCATCTAAGCTAACATTTTACCCTTATTCATTTATTTAAAATTTAGGAATAGAACAAATCAAATTTCTTCATAGCACTGAATCCAGTCTCCCATGTCTACAGGATGCAAGAATGATGCATAATATTTTTTTAAGGTTTTATAACAGGTTGGGTAGTTGGAATGGATCTTGATAGCAACTGTAAAGAAAAAAGAAAAAACTTTAAACATACTGTTTAATTAAATAAGGACTCTGCTACCTGTGAAGAGTTTTGTTTCTTGACGAAGGAAGAAAAAGACAACACTCCAACAAAATTCTGTCAAGGTTGAAAGTCATTTCTAAGCAATTATGATGCAATTTATCCCATTTCTTCTCAACGTTATGTGAACGCAATGCTAGGTTCATGATTATTTTCCTACGATACTATTTTAACACTGCATTTGTGAATTTTTACACCATACATTCAATTCATTGTGATTTGTAAATATATTTTTATTTTAGTATACCATATATTAATACTGACTTATTAATGTTTTTTCTTCAGGTTGTACAGCATAATTTACTAAACGAGGTTACTAATTTTTTTCTTTTAAAATTGATGAACTGTGAAGCAGTTTATAATGATACTGGGAAGTATGTGTTATATAAAGACAAGTTTAAAAGTTTGAATGAGAAGTGAAACGGATGTTGTAGGTAAATAAATATCGTGATGCGTTCACGCAACGTTGGGAGTTTCCCAGTAGGCCGGTGATGCGCACACGGGCTTAGTATCCGATACTCGCCAGTTCCCAGAACCCTATAATTGGAAGGGAATTTGACAGCAATATTCTGCCACCTTAGAAGTTTCTGTCACTGAAATTTTAAGAAAAGCATGTGTCCAATCTATTCGAAGATTCTTCTGGAAATTGAAAACAAAACGGATCGTCTACGAAAGCTTCTCTCTTTTGCTTTGAGACAGTAGTGCGTGCTTTCACATTCACAGTTTTTTCTCTATTGTAATAAAGTGCTCGAGACTAAATTTCTTTTTTTTGTGGATTTACAAGGGAACAACTATATTAAAGGTATGTATTATCTGTGTAACAAGGAAAACAATTAAACATTGCACTTATAATAATATTAATTTTGTTCCATAAGAGACTATCATAAGTAAAGAAACATATGACTACATGATGGACAACTAGATTTTCTTAGTTAGATGGTACGACAATTCAGTTGTCACAGTGGCAACAAATGTTGATACTTTGGAACCTCTTGTGAACACGAAATGGTATAACCGCGAGGAAAAAAACATGAAATGGTTCACATTTCAGTACAATCAGGGAATGGGCGGTGTATGACAATGCTATTGCAAATTACAGGATATGACTAAAAGGCAAAAAATGGTGGTGGCCCCTTTTTACAAATGATATAGATAGTGCTTTTGTAAATGCCTGGAAATTCGCACCTTAGCAAGTGGAGCAAAGACAAGTCAAATTGATTTCAGATCAGAAATTGAATTCGCCATTCTCTGAAGGGAAGAAGTAAATAGAATTAAAAATTTCAATCTGGGGCGTTGTAGCAAAAAAAGTTAGTCTGAAGATATAAATAAAGACCTTGTTGGTCACGTAATAATTCATGACGTAGATGTAAAATCAAAATATTTATAAATGTAAAAAGTGTCAAGTTCATTTGCATAATAAATGTTGCCCACTATATCTTAAATAAACTTACTTTCAAATTTTTCCATGGGTTTTTATTGTGTATTACATTGAGAAAATATAATATTTTTGAGAATGTTGATATAACTCATTCTTACCGGAGAACTCCCGATGTTGCGTGAACACAACGTTCCATTCCGGCAACACCAAAAATCGCAAAAATATTTGGAGCGCATATTTACTCTTTGGAGATGATTTATTAATATTACAGTCAGAAGTTTCAAAAAAAGTAGGTATTTCAAAGCTTGGGAAGAAATGGGTTATTGGAATATTAGATACAACATTCTCTGACATTTCAAGAAACTTGAAAAAGGAAGGTCAGAAAGGGATAAAGATGTTACTCAAATTAGAAGAAGAAAAACCATTAAATATTTTCCCCCTTAAAATACAAAAAAATAAATCCTGGCAATAGACAACTACTAGAATATTTTGATGTTTTTGCTTATTTTCCTACATCATTGTTAGTTGATTGTTGAATTTTGCTCTTTCATGGTTTTTCCATAATTTTTTAAGTATCTTTAGCTTTTACAAGTCATTGTTTTTCATTTCACTATACTTCTACGTGAATACATACCCAAACAACTTGCTTACATTTTCAAAAAACAAAAAAAAAAAAAAAAAAAAAGAGAGAGAGGAGATGAGAGAGAGAGGAGGGCGAGAGAGAGGAGAGGGGGAGAAGAGAAGTAGGAGAAGAGAGAGAGGGAGAGAGAAGAGGCGGGAGAGATTAGGAGAGAGGAGAGGGTAGAGGGGGCAGAATGAACGAGAGGGACAGAGAAGAGAAGCGGGGGAAGAGGGGGAGAGAGAGAGAGGGAGAGATGAGAAACGAGAGAAATTGTTAGTAAAGACGAACGGGTAGAAATCGTTGGAGAGAGATGAGGAGAGAGAGAGAGTAGGGGGAGAGAGAGAGAGGGGTGAGATGAGGAGAGGGAGAGAGCGGGAGAGGAGGGTGAGAGAGGAGGAGAGAAGAGGTCAAGAGAGAGAGAGAGGAGACGAAGAAAGAGAGGGAGAGAGAGAGAAAGAGAGGAGAGGCAGAGAGAGAGAGAGAGAGAAGGAGAGAGAGTAAGAAAGAGACGAGAAATAGAGGGAGAGAGAGAAGGGAGAAAGAGAGGAGAGGAAGAGAGAAGAGAAAGAAAGAGAGAGAGAGAGAAGAGAGAGAGGAGAGAGAGGAGAGGAAGAGAGAGGGGAGAGAAAGACGAGAGAAGGGAAGAGAGAGAGAAGAAAGAGAGAGAGATAAGGGAAGAGGAGATCAGGGAGGAAGAGAGAGACGAGAGGAGTAGAGAAGAGAAGGAGAGAGAGAGGCTAGGAGAGAGGAAGGTGTGATAGAGATTCCCCGTATGAGATAGAGAGGAGAGAGGAGAGCAGAGAGAGAAGGAGAGAGACGAGAGAGACAGAGAGGAGGACCAGAGAGAGGGAGATTAGAGAGAGGAGAGAGAGAGAGAGAGAGGAGAGAGAAGAGAAGGACCGGAGAGAGAGTCAAGAGAGAGAGCGCGATGAGAGAGAGCAGTGAGAGAGAGGAGAATGAGACAGAAGAGAGCAGGAAGAGATGAGAGAGGAGACGAGAGAGAAGTGCTAGAGTGAGAGAGGAGGAGAGAGAGAATGAGAAGACGAGAGAGAGAAAGAAGAAAGAGCAGAGAGAGAAGAGAGAGAGAGAGAGAGAGAGAAGAGAAGCGCCTTGACTTCATTGCCCTTCATATATAAATCTCCAGTGCAAAAAGATATGTGCAAACTTTTTCATTTGTGTTTTTCCTGCAGTTAACACTGTCATCCTCTAGTGTACTTTCATAACATAAATTGAAAAGTAGACCTGGCTGCATTGGATAAACTGCTTACCTCTTGGGGGTATGGAGTTCTGAAATATGGGTGAAACAGGTTTCAAAGGGATAAGGATTTTCATTTTACTTCCCGCAGTACAGTAATAGCAAGAAATTATATAAAAATGTATATACTGTATTTTTTTGCAACATTTTATCATGAGAAAATATTTTAAAGTCAGATGTAATTATTCACATCCGGCACTATAGGGCATCAAAACACAAGGCGTTCTCGAGTCAATTCATTTGTTAAATAAAAAATTGAATATTTCAATTTTCAACTAGATTGTAAGAACAAATATTTACCATTCCACTGAATTAAGATTCCAAGGTCTCTGAAGGTTGTTCCATTTCCCTTCCCTGCAAAGAAAGAATGTTTGCTACATTACGGCAATTTCAAAGAAACAACAACCACAACAACCACTGTCACCGATTCACCGATTTACACACACATATGCACTGAACAATACAGAAGATCTGTCCCTCACCTCGACTGATGTTTGGAGATTTACTCCCGAGAGGCACCTGTCCAAACTAGCAAGGCAAGTTATTTTCTGGCATTATTTGTAACTTTTACAATTTTTAACAATGCAGTATGCTTAACGAAAAAAGACCAGTGACATTTAAGTGTCCTTAGCTTAAAATTTGTCTATATCTCATGCAAAATTATGCAAAAAGTACTAATATCTTTTAAACCGTATAGAACTTATTTAAAGATTTATTTTTGAAGAACATATTTCATTCACAAAAAATATCCCTATATAAAATCAGAAAGAAGCAATTTACAAAAATTCGGAGGGTTCAAAAATGTGGAACTTGCACCACTGATGTGTCCTTTGCTCTGCCCAGGGAAAAAAATTAACTCAAATATTTGGAGCTATTTTTGAAAAAAATTTGAAAGATAAATCATGCAAGAGAAAACAAAGAAAGTACCTCAGCAAAGATAGTACTGAACTCTTGTGCTGACTTTTCAGAACTGAAACAAGCTTTGAATGTACGAGTTACAGGAGGTTCCTCAGAATGGTCTTTGGCCATCCAAATGCAATCTTTATGAATAACCTGAAAAAATAAAACAAAATAACCCCTTAGAAAAGTAATAAAAAAATTAATTAAAAACTATACAATAATGACAAGGAGGGGTCACGGCTTTAGTGGGGAAGAGGTGATGGCTGAGGGAAAAAAGATAGGTAAGAAGAGGTAGAAAGGTAAAAGCTTGTACACATAGAGCAAAATGCATAAGGAAGGGGAAATAAAGAGGAATACAAGGAAATGACAAAAAGAGAGTGGAGGAAAATATTGAAATTGAGTGGAAGGATCAGTATAAAATGGGTAACGAGAGCAAGAAAAGAATGAAGTACCCAACACAATATATGAACACATGAAAAATACTCTGCTGAAAAAACACTGGATGGTATGAATAAAAATGAACATATACTACTTACCATTTCATTGCAATTGAGAATATTGCCACAACAGTTAATTACCTTTCTTGAGAAAACACTATTTCTTAGGCTCAATAGATCATTTGCTCACAAGAACATAAATAAAAACCAAAAAAACACTCAGATTCAGCATTTTCTCAGGGAGGAGAGAAGAGGAGAGGAGTGCAGAGGGGGGAGGATGGGAGAAGTGCAGAGGAGGGAGGAGTGGAGAGAAGAGAGGAGTGGAGAGAAGAGAGGAGTGGAGAGAAGAGAGGAGTGGAGAGAGGGGAGGAGTGGAGAGAGGGGAGGAGTGGAGAGAGGGGAGGAGTGGAGAGAGGGGAGGAAGTATGTGCCTGACTTTTCTTCTATTCCGTGCAGTGAATTCTCTACTATGGATACAACTCATTAAAGCTTGCAAACATTTAACAAGCTCACAATGAAAACTATGAAGAAAGGAATGGTAATGTCCACATATTGGCAGGCATTTTTGGTGCTGTAATATATCATATTTCGAAGTGATTAAAAAATTATTTAATCGCTATGAAAAACTCAATATTATTGTATCTATACATCAAATTTTTTTATTGTTAATATTTATCATTTATCAACCAAATAAAAAATTAAAATACTAAGTAAACCCAAAATAATCAATGAAACCATGACAATCTGTGAATGGATTTGTCCACACAACTTCGAAGTTTTTTTACATCATTTTGTCATCATAAAATTGTTTACAGCAAATTTAGTTCATTTAATACTCGCCTTTAAATCAGTGTTTGTAGCAATGAGTGTGTTGCACAATTCATCTCCAGAATTATCAGCTACCATGTACACACGTGCCGATAAGTTGTCATGATCAAACAGTATTTGTAAAACACCCATTCCAAGGTGTACCCAGGATTCTTTCCCAGGTTCCTGAGCATGGAGTGTAGCTCGCTTCTCAAACATAATGTTATGATCTTCATCTTCATCATCCTCTTCATCATCGTCCTCCTCCTCCTCCACATCGTCTTCATCATCTTCCTCAGTTTCATTTTCCTCCTCTTTCTCTCTGTCACTATAATCCTCTTCCTCTTCCTCATCCTCTCCTGCAGATTGTGTACTAGAATGTGGTTTCTGACCTACATTTTGTACGGGCTCTGGTAACACAGCTATAAAGAAAATGTAATGCATGATACGAAATCCTACAGCAACCTTGTATAAAGAAATGATGTAAAATAAAATATTTGTTCACAACTCCTTAAGGAATACATTTTGCTTCAAAACACTTTAGCATACCAATTTTACTATTCATCAATAATACTAAAATTTAAATGATTCAAACCAAGACACTCACAAGGGACTGCAGATCTAATTTTCAGTTCTGCAACACATTCGTGTACACATGCAGAAAATTTTTTCGCCAGTTCCACATTCTTGAACTTTACAGCAAGTTTCTCTAGTTTGGGGTCAGTACATACTTCCCCTGTAGCGTCATCTTCTGCAAAGTTCACTCCACCCCAGCACCAGGCCATTTCAGAACCAGATAATGCACTGAGTTCAAGGTCTGGTGTCACAAGCTGATTCAACACCACCTTGTGTACCTGGATAAATATTCTCTAATGAAAAATTTGTTCATACTTAATGTTAGAAGAACATTTAATTTCACAACAATCAGTACATAGATTTTCCAACATCTTTTTCAGAAGATATATACTTACATCATTCTGTGCTAATTTTACAGATTTTTACCTCCTTCCCCATGCAATGAACACATGAAAGTTTCACACCATATTAATTTTATTCTCACTAACGATAAGTAAATAACTTACTTGCTCTCGTCTGAGAAGTAGTCTGAAAGTTCCTCGTACAGGATGCTTCAACAGTTTCATTTCACCCACACCCCGTTCTTTCCATTGTCTTAGTTCGACTTCATATCTGTACAGTTTTGCTCGCTCACAAAAAACTAAAAGAAAATCAGTCACAGGAATTAGTATGCTGAGTTGTAAATTACTATATACCCAGATTACTGTCAACTATCATAAAATAAAATAAAACAAAATTTTTGCAAGAATAATGCAATTCTAAAAAGATGATGTGATGGGTCATTTGAGAACCATACCTGATAGGATTTAAAAAATGTTATTCAATTGTTCAATGTTGTTCAATGACAAAAACGGGAATGAGCATTATCCATATATTAAATATACAAACAAACCAAAATTAATGGGAGCATTACTGATCAAAAGGTTGGGGGAAATAGTGCGAATTTTTTAGTAATGAAACGTTTACAGACACGCAAGGAATTTCCATGAAAATAATTAAAATTAGAAAATTACAAGGAGACCGGATGATTCAGAGTAAAGTGTCACAAAGGTTAATTCCATTACAATAAATTTAAGAAAATAGTATTGCACATTCTTTATGATATTTGTAACATAACAAAATGTTATAATGCCAGCTGAACCTGCAAAAGTTCCCCCCTGCAAAAATATTTGGTGATGGGATCTGAACTTGAGTGCATAGCCAATGATTAATTGCCTTATCTGTTACACTACAGGTGCTGGATAAAAATATCAATGGCCCTGACATATTATCACCATCGACAAACAAACCAATTAAAAACAAAAAAGAACTTTCTTTGCCATTTTTAAAATTTTAGAAGCTTTAATGAAAATCAGAACTTTACTTTAATTGAGCAAACAATTTGAAGCAGTTTGAAAGAAAATTTTGTTCATGAATTTGTTTTTCTTACCTATCCCAACTCAAGTATGCTAACCAATTGTTTTAATATAAACATATTTAACCAAATCACATCCTCAATATTGCATAAATAACTAATTATTTTGCTTTAAAAATTAACTATATATGAAGGCTTGAAACTCAAATAATTTTATTAACAAAAGAACATGAGAACTAGTGTGTACAGGAACCCAAAACAACAGGGGAAGTAAATGAAAAGGAGGGAAAAGACATGCCATTTGGAAAACAAATGAAGGGCTTGAGACAGTAACAATACAAGCCAAATCAGACACGTGCACATATTTGTAAATGACAATTTCTTGATTTTTGTCACGGTGGACATATCTTGTAACTTAACCTTCACCCACATTTTCACAAAAAAAAAAGAGATAATATTTACAAAAAGAGAGTAGCTGTGGCTATATATGTTACCCCTCCCCCCTCTTTCAAATGAATTATAAGGCTTGCCTTTTCTTCTATAAATTATCATAGGTCCATAAGGATGGTGGCGTCTCCAGAATTGTCATTTTGAAGTAGAAGAGTTTTAACCTGAGTAGACTGAGTATTCTATACCCAAAGACAAAGCAATTTACTACGTACAACATACTAGCTGGTGAGTTTTCCCTTTTTTTCAGTGCCCTAATAGTAGTATTGAAATGTATCTTTAAGAATGAACAGAATAGTAAAACATAGTCCTGTATGAAAATTTTTGTTGTATAATTTGCAGCAATCGTTGAGAAAATATCGTTTGAGTGTTTCTGAAAATGCACAATTTTGGCATTGTTTTCACTCAAAACTCTTAGTGTTCGAGAAATTTTGTAAGAAACTATTTGAAGTACTTATACACACAAATACAGTAATGTTTAAAAAGATCAAAATGTAAACATTAATGATAAATAAAGAAAATTACATTACAACAATTTTTGACATTTGTGTCATTTTACCTTTACTCTTAATGAATGAAAACTGTATTTTGAAAAGAATTAAATGTGATTTAAAGATACAATTTTGAAGAAATCATTTTTTAAATTTCATTCTGAGGAAAACTTTATTTTTTTAATACTGCAGGTGCGGGAAGACCTTGAAAAAATGTATAACTTTTGCAATGAAACTGTGACTTGTGCCGTTTCTTTAAACACTTTTTATGCTACGCAAGGACAAAAGTAAATAAAAAAATTTAGAGCCATTTTTGAGAAAAATTTGAAAATGTCTTTGAGGAATCATGAAAAATACCCCTGAAAATTAAAATATCTGTTTTGAATTAAAGGGGTCTCAACATCAGTCAGATTGACTGAGAAATATTAATTTTGGTGAAAAGCCAGCTTATGGTTTAGCTGCTAGCATTGTTCATGGTTGGAAGGGCAGTTGTTTTGCCAAGAACCAATTATTCAGTATCAAGGACACTCAAAACATCAATTCTAATAACACAATGTGTTAAGAGGAAGTAATTTACTACATATAGGAACAAGATTTATCCACCAGGGTCGGACAATAGGTTTTTTCTGTTGAAAAATCACAAAAGTCACAATTTCTGCTGCGCAATTGCGATACTTTTTGTTTACTACACAGCAAGATGAGTATGCAAACATTAGAACTTCATAACCTTTTTGCAACATCCATTTGTGTATAAATTGACTAGGCTATAGCTATCCCAGAAAGAAACAATCTGTAGTGATTCATTTTTATCTTCACTGTTTAAGTGCTTTGAAATCCACACCACAAATCTGCAGGAACTGGATTATCATCAATGACCCTACATTTTAATGTTAATTATCATTCAAGTTTAAGGATCCTTCTTCAATAAATGTTTATTTTTCGTGTAATTCAACAAGCTAGAATATACTACATCCTCAGAGAAATATGTTGAGTCAAGCTCGCAAAAACATATTTTACTACAATACTAATAGTACTCAAAAATAGAAAAACTATACTGTTCCATTATAAAACTGTAAACATGTATAGCTTTAGTAACCTTTTTCCTCATCTTCTTCTCCTGTTCGCACCTCTATGGCATCGGGTAAAGCCACAATAGGTTCAAAATGAGGATCATGGTTGTCCTCTCCTTCTACTGCTCCCTCTTCCTCATCACTTGAACCTTCAGCATTGCCACTTTTTTTAGGGGATTCCTTCACTTTGGTTGAGCTTGTCTTCGGCAGTGAAGCTCCGAACACCTGAGCTCCAGCTCCAGCCCAAGTAAAAGGCTTTGTTTTGGATTCCTCTGCTGAAAGGGAACAACCCATTTAAAACATTTAAATCACCTTTTCTAACTCATCAAAACTAGAAATGTCCTTTTAAGAGATATTACTACTACTTACACACTACAAAAAAAAAAAATAAAAAAAAAAAAAATAAAAAGCTTAACTAACACACAAGTATTATTGTAAGTAAAACTTACAATTTTCATGTAAAACTAACACACTAATTTCAATTAGGGTGATTACATTCTTCATATTTTCAGAGACGCTTTATGTCTTGCTCCTTTTAATGCAAGTCTGCTCTTATGAGCTATATTTAGGGAATCACAAGTGCTACTTTATTTTTATTTATTTATTTACGGCAAAAACAGTTATAAACTGTGTGTGATGAGCTATGGGGAGAAGTTAATATGAAGTTACATTTATGTCCAGAAGTAAAACAAGGGGTCATCTCAGCATTTGCTCAAGGATCAGAGAAACTAGACGAAAATCAGCTTCTGGGTCAATGACCCCCCTTTCAATCAGAAGTACAATACACATTACTGGTTCTTTACAATTAAACAATTCAAATTATACATTAAATATCATTGTTAAAATTAATATAACTTTCCTTTGAGATGCTCGGTATATTCTCTAATTGTATAGAAACAACTGTGCAGCAGGAAAGATTTTACTTGGGACAAACTTCTGAATCGAATTTAACCGTTTGAAGTCATCTGGCAAGGTGTTGTAAAATAATGAAAATGTATTTTACGTGATTTTTTGTAGTGAGCTGTTGATACTGTCACCTGATGAATATGACTACTACGTCGAGTGTTGTAGTTATAGTGTTTGCTGAAAACATTCTTGCCCTTAAGCAAGTCATTTTTTAAAAAAACACTGATTCATATATGAATGAGGCAAAGTAATGGTAAAATACCTAGATGAATAAAGAGAGGCTTAAAAGAATCACATGGGTGGGATTTACTTATTATTCGTACAATTGGTTTTTGTAATCTAAAAGTCTGGGAACTATAAGATGTATTTCCCTAGAATATTATGCCACATCTCAGGCGGCAATGAACATTCGCGAAATATACACAACGAGCAGTCTGGAGGCTGACTGAATTTGAAAGAATTCTGAAAGCATAGCATAAAGAACTTAATTCAGTGTTCAATTCATTTAAATGCACGTTCCATTTAAGGTTTGACTGAATTGAAAGACCTAAAAATTTTGTTACTTTAACATCAGTCAATGGCACTCCGTTCATTCTCGATGAAGTGCAAAGCTGTTTATTTGAAGTGGAAAACTGCATTGAAACAGTTTTATTTTTATTTACTATTAATTAGTTATTACGGAACCAATTTGAAATATCTGCTATTGTACTATTTACAGTTTCTTTATCGCAAAGAATATTCGTATCATCCGCAAAGAGAACTGTTCTTCCGTTTCTAATCCTCGAGGTCATATCGTTAACGTACAGTAGGAAGAGAATAGGACCTAAAATCGATCCCTGCGGGACTCCACATGCAATTGGCAAATAATCAGAAAAGTGTGTACATAATGTTCTTATTCCAATATGTAATGTTCTAGTACTCTCTTCCCCTTGTCTCTTTCCCCTAAGCAGTCAGTCCTCTCATTTCTACCACTCTTGTGATTCTAAAAGCATTCATCGTGTATCCCAGGAACAAGTTGAAAAATCTAATAAAAATCGAGAATCCTGCATACGACAAGCAGGAAAAAAGAGAAAAAAAAAGTGTTTATTGACCAGAAACCTTGGCAGGCCTCTCACGTCAGTAGAGACCAGGAAAATATGTAGTACGAAACATCAAAATATGTACTAAGTACATAAATAAAACCATAAGCAAATGTAATAAATATGTATAATCAGATAAATTACACAATGTTAAAATACACTAATTGTATTTGTAAAAAAACATTTATGTAAAGAAAATTATGATAATCAAAAATACCATACACAAATTTTTATAAACTTATTTGGAGAGTAGAAGTTGATGCACAGTTTGTGCCATACAACTTTCCCATTATTAATAAAAGCTTTATCTATTGCTATCAAGGACAATAGTTTAGCAGCCAGGCTAGATGCAATAGATGCTATTGTACTATCTGGCGATATCTACAGCACGCAAAACAATCACTGCAGCGTGCAGCATTCTCTAAGTGTTGCACAGAAGCAGTCACCAAAGTTTCTTGGAAAATAAGGTTAAAGGTCACAAGACATGGTATCAGTTAAATTTTTCACACCTAAAGGTAACAATGATCTGCCTCAGATGTGCATCTCCCGCCACTAAGATAATTGAAGCAGGCTTGCCAGACTGTGAGAACATCTGGCTGTATCTTCTAGATGCAGTACAGTACCTGGAGTAGACATCACGCAGTAACAGGGAAGGAAAATTGCCTTTTATTTAAAAATACTGATTTTCATAAAAAAATGTAACAAAATTGATAGACATTTTTTTTGTGAAAATAGTGAAGTACAATTGTAAAATATGTAACACTACTAAATAAGTAATGAAAGAATTGGATAGTGTGTTAGGATGGCAACAATTAGCCAAGATTGAGAACAGTAACTAGAAAGACCAAAAATATATAATTACATAAAAATAGTGGAGCTACAAAGTGGCACAGACTTTCTTGTACTAGTTCGTTTTCTAATCACGCTTCCATTCATCTTCAGGCCAATTTGCGTGGCTTCTTTCTCATTGAAGATAAATTTTTGTTTTATCAGTAAAAAGTTTTTTATTTCCAGGACCACGCACCATAAAAAACACATGTTTTCATAGTTGCACTACTAGCTTTTACCCCACAATGTTCCTCTCATTCTATTTTTAGATCTATGGATGATGATCAGTGATTTTTCAAACACTCGCTTCAACATACTGTCTTGAGATAAGGTTGGAAGACTCTTCCACTCCTGCCAGAAACCAGTTTTCACAATTTTTGTCAACAAACATGGAATTTTCGACCAAGCACAACATATGCAAGACGTTATTTATGGGTCAAATAACCTTCTTTCATCAAAGCAACACTATACTCTTCTTCCTGGGTACTCCACATACATCACTATTGAGCACACTGCACGAGCTGAATGAAAAAAAACTAAGGGTGACAAACAGTCCCTTTATACTTGAAGAGAGAGCGGATTCAATCCTTAAAATTCCTTTTGCAAACTGTAGAAATGTTGAAAGGTTTTCGAATGAAAGAGAAAATGGTTTTAGTAGTGGTGGTAGGAGGTTTTTGAGAGGATATTATATATGTACACCCTTGCCAGAAATATTTGATTTTCAAGAAACATTGTTCAGGGTTCTACAAGTGAAGGAGGTCATCAGATGTTTCATATCTTCCAGATGTCTCTAATTGAAGAAAATGTACAGAAAATATTTTTACATTGCATTGTAAATACTTTTGTTAGAGATTGAATTATTTTGCGTTTAAACTGCAGGTTAATTGGTGGGAAATTAAAATAGGTTTGTAAAACCGAGATGGTTTGTTATATTGGTTTTGGTACATTTATGTACATAACAAATATACCGAGTCTAATGGAACGGAAAAGAACACTCCCCTCTCAAAGAGGAAGAAAGAAAAGAATGAAAACAAACAAATAACACAACAGGGCAAAGATATCAACTGAGCCTTTTTCTTAATTGTTTGGAACAATTTTACACCTTCTAGATTATTTCCAGTTAGCAAATATACAAAGCATAAGTTGCTTTAACCTCTCAGAGACTAAACGTACAATAAATAAGTTTTAAATATTTTATCTCTCAAAATAAATCTAATAACACTGAATAACATGATTTCCATTGACACAATGATATAATAATAATTTTAAAAAATATATAATGGCGACACTGAGTTGACATTGGACACTGTGAATTCAGGTTACCTGAAAATCAGTTCTGTTTTAGAAAGAAAGTACTAAAACGAAAATCTTAAATTTGTGAGAGATAATCAAACCATCCATGCCCATGTAAACCCACATTGCATTGGGTAGTATGAATAGTAAGCAATTACTCTTTGCTCCAAATTCCGGAGATCCTTCTCAATTTCGTATAAATAAAGTGGGTAAGCAATTGCTCAGTCTCTGAGAGAACTCGCAACTGGCGAACAAATGCTCAGAATTGATATGAATAAAGTGAAGCATTTACTCTTTAGATTGAGCACTTGCTCCAAAATTTTTGAGAGACCTTAGTTGCAGACTCGCGTTAAGTAGGTAAAATTTGCCAAGTTTTTACCGTGTGGTGATGTGCATATGCAACGGACTAAAAAAAATTACACGATAAAGCAAGATTTGTGATGTAGACTAAGAATCTTCAGAAATGCGAAAAGTACAGAGGTGTATGGTTGGTACAATTTTTATTGGAGCTTGCTTTCATAATGCCTATCTTCTATGTTAATAGGCCATCATTCATTTCTACTCTTAATTTTTTGTGTGTACAATTTTTTCAAACTTTGTAATGTTTGGATTTGGCCACAGCGGAAGCTGGCTCTTTTCAAAAATTATTTTATATTCACTTGGCAATTCAGCAAAAACCAGCTGAGTATCTGACCCCTTCTGTTTTCCGTTACTGCTACTCATATTCGAATTTAAAGAACAAAACATTGCTCTTTGCTTCATACAAATGATGTGCGTAATACACACAACATTGGTTTCCTGAGTAACAAAGAGGTTACAATTTTCAAAACTTCGGCTGCACTATCACTTGTTTACAATGAGCAAATGCTTGCGAGACACAAGCAAATTCTTTGGAGATATACATAGTTTTTATTCACACGAAATGCTTTGAAGTGCTCATTTTTAATAATATGTCCCATTGTTTCTACATATATCTTGTGTGCAGATGAGACTTCACTCACAGCCTCTGAGTACAGCATTCCTTTTCATGTGCACCTGCCGCAGCTACTAATCGCAATCAGTTGGAATTTTTGATGAACCCGATCCACACACTTACAACAATAAGCTCGCACAATATTTCTTGGAAATTCATATCAAGTCGAGTTTATTTTTTGTGCAATTTTTTGTAGACAATAGTTGGGCATTTTGGCATACTGTGTCTAGTCTAGGCAAAATTATTTGAATAATGTAGATATTGATGTTTTTCTAGAAAATTGTTTTTGAATTTTATTGACCTTTCACATACTGTGATAGGTCATTTTGCACATCTGAGTTGATTTCCCAAACTATTCTTAAAATCTTGTGGAGTAATATTCCGTCAGTAGTACAGTATACCTCACCTCATCTGTATCAATGCCATGAACATGATTCCTCTGCATAGCTCATAGTTTGCTCAGCTTACTTATCTCCATTTATTGTATCCTCATTGTACAGAAATTCAAAATTCTGATTCAGTGTGAGCACATCACCATATTTTCCAATAATTTAATGTTTGTCACCACACACTGAATGTGGGAGAAAAAAAGGTATTCATCATCATATTATTTCCTAGTACAACTTATTTGAATATTTCAATTTCTTAGTTTTTACAGAACGATTATTTTGTTCTTTCATTGAGAGACCTGGCTGATTTGGTTCATCAGGTGCAGAGGTCAGATTTAAGTCTTCTCTCGATCTCAACATCATATCTGAATGAAGATTCATGAGTATTCTCATCCTCATTTCCTTTGCCCATGAGAAGTTCATGTTCAGAAGAAAAAATCGTGATGTCTATCAACTCACTATTACATCAAAGTGCACGTCAAGTTATTGCAAAATGCAAAGTAAAGTTATAAATTAAAAGGAATTATTTTGATATAATATTTCAGAAAGTTCAAACTCACGATCGTTACTTTAGAAGCACATAAATACACACACATTGCACTCATATGCAGCAAATTCATGAAATTGACAATATGAATTGTTTAATTGATATTTCACAAAGAGATAAAAGTGAAATATACAATTGTTTTGATTTTTCCGCACCACAAGTAATTATCTTGCACAAGATCACTTTCTGCCAGAACTGCTTCCACAATATTGATAATTTTATTGCTCTACTGAGAGAGCACTTTTATTGCTCTACTCTCTCATTCTCATTACCGTATTAAAATATCTGCAATGGAAACCTAGTTTAAAAGTACAGACTGAACAAAAGGAAAGTAAAATTATTATGTGTCACCTGAATGTGGGATTCCACGGGTTAAAATATCTAGGAATTATAATGCATTCAATGATTCAATAATGTATTTCTCAACTGATGTATGAGAAGTAGAATTAGTATTACAACAAATATTTTTAATATTGATATTCTTATAAGGACCAAAAATTATTATGAACAAACACAATCAGTTCCTAAATAGGTTTATTTAAGTAATGTTAATGCAGTTGTAGCAAATACATTTTTAATTTTTATGTACTTTCTTTCCCTTTCTATTCAGGTTTTTTCATTTTATTGTAAAATTGGGTGGCACTTTAAGTACATCATTTAATTAATATTTTTGAACATTTATTGCTACCTCGTAATAAAATATCCCCATAAGATTAAAATGAATTATGTCCACATAATCTTTCTTCCTAGATCTGTGCAAAGACTGTTTACAAATAAGAACTTTCAAATTTGTGATCTCCATCTGTTGAGTCCTGGATTGTGGTGGTGTTGCATCAGTAAACAATATGACTAAACAACAGGTTTGCTTTGTTGGGTAATACTTTACAGTCTTGAATGTAAATTACAGGTCTTATCGGCATACATTAAATTAAAGGTATGCCGATAATTTGCTGAACATTTGAATTTTACATAAACATTTCAGAGTACAATACTTACTTTGCAAGAAAGGTGCTTTCTCCCCTTTAGATGCCAATGATGAAAAGGTCAGACTTGAATCTGTGGGAAGGAAAGGCACACCCTCCTCAGTCTGTTCCTTGACACTTGTCTTGTCCATTTTCACAGCCTCATCTGCAGAAGTTGAAGTTACACTGAAGGAAAAGGGCTTCTCATGCTTATCATCTACTTTTCCAGATTTACTGTCAGTAGCTGTTACACTAAAGAAGAAAGGCTTATCAGACTGATTACTTGTCTTAACTGTAAATTGGGGACTGAAGGTGACATTAGTACTAGGAATCGGTGTGTTTTGTCCAAACACTGGTGTTGCTGATGGCATGTTGCCTAAACTTCCACTGCTGCCAAAGATGGAAAGTGTGCTTTCCTTTCCTTCTGATGCAGTAGAAGGTAGGCCAAAGAAGGGTTGACTACTGGATTGTCCAAATGATGCCTGAGGTGAACCAAAAATTGAAGTTTTGAAACTTGAAGCAGAAGAGCTAAAAAGTGAAGGGCTTTGTGCTCCTGAACCAAACACAGAAGTTGCAGTAGTCACTGATGTTGTAGGAGTGGACACAGTAGCATTTCCAAAAATTGAACTACCAGTAGAATTTTGGCCAAAAATTGTTTCAGAACTTTTACCAAAAACAGGCTTAATATCCTTGTTTTCACTGGGAGAAAAACTAAAAGAAGCTAATGCTTTAGTGGTAGCTGATGGAGTTGATGTCAGTGCACCAAAGACTGATGTCTGAGAAGCAGTTCCAGATGAAGCAATTCTTTCTTGATTATTAGAACCGAAGATGTTCACATCTGGAGGCTGCTCAGAACCAGAAGTAGTGACTCCTGGAGTGCTTGCATGAGAAATGCTAAAGACAAATGAAGAAGGTTGTGTAGTAGGAGGAAGCATAGTTGAGTTGGAGAACGATGTCGCAGCAGGTGAAGAAAAGGGTAGAGACTGTGATATCTTTTCACCATGTAACTCTCCTGAACGGTTAACTCTGCTTGATGTAATTGTAGCAGGTTTTGTGAACTTGCTATCCTGCAATATAAAAAACAAATTTTAAGATCAATTTTTCTGTAAATAATTAATGACCAGAGCAATAGCTATTATTTCAAGCTTCACAAATTCCTCATAATTACTGAATCTTTATCTGCAGTCCAAACATTTTTCTTTGGAATTTGACAGTGAGAATAAATGCACAAGCTCTGGCTTTAAATTAAAGAGTTTCTGAGATATATAGGTTACCTTCTACAAAATCTCAATTGTTTTTGGCCTAGAAAGCATATTCATTTTATTAGAATTCAGGTGCACAGCAGCTCATTACCTTGCTTACACATTGAACTTAATTTTGCTTTTGGTGAAGAATGTGGATTACAAGCAAGTCAGCAGACTGAAAACCTCCAAATGTTATAGCTCTGTGTGTGCCATCACTATGGAAATGTCCAGACACCATCCAACAGTCAATCCCAACATATGATATCCATAAATAAAAACTCAAGTATTCATTTGAAATATATAACATTTCCAAATACTTTTTTTTTTTAAAGCTACGGAATAAGAAGCATTCTTCATGCATAGAAATAGTCGTAATCTGCTTCCAAAAACTGTATTTTGACAATGATTACACTTATGGTTATGGACGATTCTTGATATTTTTAAATATATTTTTATGACGAGATGTAAATCTTCATTCTCATTCTTTAATCTATCATGCAACCCACACCAGGTTGGACACTAAAGGTTTTCACGAGACATTAGTAGAAGGTAGTGTATAACTGAAAACACAGTGTTAATATTGAAGTGCTTTTGACAATTGGAAGAAAACTTATGAACAAAAAAAGTAAGTTTCATACGGATTGGTGACGATTGGTCATTATTGGTGAGTTTATTATTGAACAAGCAAGAGGTGGAAGCTGTAAGCAGTTTTATCTTCCTAGGTGAAGGGTCAACCAAGATCACCAGCAGCCTTCTTAGCTCAGGTGCAAAAATCAGTCTTCAGATTAGCTGAGATTTAGGTGTAGCTTATTTAAATGTATTTTCCATGTAAGTACTGAGTGAAAATGCTTACCAATAACCTGCTAGTATTTCCTCACTTGGTGAAAATCAATCAATATGAAATTGTGAAATTTTGTATTTGCTTTCAAGTCACCTTTAACTAGAGTTTTTTAGGCAATTTGTATACATAGGGTCATCCCAATGGCCTTCATTGCCAATGTTGTAATAATTCTATTTCACAAAAACTTCATTGCAAACTTCTCTTTTAAAACATTCATTATTGAAGTTTGTTTCCACTGAGAGTGAAAACTTCCACAAAGAATCTGATATTTGCTCATTTATATTACACAAAACGTACAACATAATGATACCAGTTATATACAATACTACGTTAAGGGTTCAGCACAGTGTTCCCATTCATTTTTGTACTGATAGTTTGGGAGCAGAGTGGCAAGTAAAAGGTGTTTTAATGTTTATTGAGAGACTGCAAATTTTCAAAAATACATTGTTTATAGTATTAATAAAGGTTACAGAGCACATAGCTCATTTCATAGAAATTAGCACAATTAGATTTGATTTATTCTTCCAGTAATCTCATAACATGCATTAAGCAGCCACAAACTTTAATTTTTCACAGAACCATTGATGATCGCTTAAGCCAGGTTTCCCTCAATATTACATATTTGCTAAAAGCACATATGCATTTGGTAATTATCTGGGCATTATACCAGAAACGTAATATGAAGCTTCACAAATCAAGTTGTGATAATTTAAACTGTGGTTGTCCAAATATAGTGAGTTATAAATTATTTATGGTGAGTTTAAATTATTTTTAAAAACTTAGGAGTACTTATTGACCAAAATTAGAAATTGAAATACCATGTGTTGCAACTGACACAGAAGGGTAGAAGTCTTAATTATGTTTTCAGGAAAAACTGATAGATTCGACAAAGTAAACAATTATTGATAATACACTATGCTTTATTCTGGACAGTCGCAATTTACGGTATATTACCTTGGGGTGGAGTTTAAGATTGAACTTCAGTATCACAAAAACTAACATACAAACTAGGAGCTACAACGGCACCTACTCACTCGAATGACTGAAAATAGTTAAGTAATACTGAAAAATTCTAATTTCTACTATACTCACTTATAACTTTAAAGTAATTCAAATGAATTGCCTCTTGTGCTTATCTGCATTTATTTCCATTGTAACGACAAGTTTGTTCTTACTTTTAGAAATGAAACAAACATGAATAAATATAAGGGTTACAGTATTTACAAAACATAACGCAGAAAAGCAAAAATAATTTCACACAAGCCTATCTTGATTACATTTGTAGTGAGCTTTCAATACCATAATCCGTGATAAAAACTTCTTGAAGTATAGAAGTGTATTTGTTCGTTCTAAGTTAAAATGTGTTACCTTTCTTCGATCTATTTCCTTTCATAATATTATATACATCATATAACCATCTTGGCCAACAACAATGGGATCAATTCGAAGAATTTTGGGACTTGTGTTGCTATTTTCCAAACTGGCAACATCTGAAACGAGGCTTTTATAGCAGTCCCATCTTCAATCCTTTCATTGACTAGCCCTAAATCATTCTATTGACCTTATTTTTTTTTCAAATTTCTTCACCTAGTCAACTTGTTTAAAATGTGTCCTTTTTGTAATTTAAAATTCTAGACGTTTTCAGATTCCTAATTTTCTGCTTGAAAAGCAGTCAATTTTAAATCTGTTTATGACTACCCCTTCTACTCTTCTGGTTCCCCTCCCATCTCACACAATTGGTAAGCTTTCTCTTCTCTCCATTCCAAAAGATGTCTGCCACTTGGCTGTACCCAGCATGTTTTTCAATTTTCATATTTTTTCTGACCATGTTGTGAACATTTGTAAGAGATCCACGTTGCTAGGGCAGTAAGTATTTTTAATTTTATTTATTATTTATTTCATATTATTTTGTTAAATTTTTTCACATCAATTCACTGCATTTCTTTTTGCTCCTTGTAAAGTGTTTTCCTGAAAGTTAACTCTGGGTAATAATTAATAAAATTATTATCCTTTTTATGGAAGATTTCCTTCTCCCGTTACAGAAGAGGAAAAAAGAAAGAAAGAAAGAAAGAAAGAAAGGAAAGAAGGAAAGAAGGAAAGAAAGAAAGAAAGAATATATAATTGTCCCCCATATATAATTGTCATAGCGATTCTACCCTTACTTGCTACTGACTCCTCAATGTATAATTCTGCGACACTAGTTGAACGCCATTCATAATTATCTCTTCCATCCAAATTACAAATTTATCATATTGTTTTCATAATTTTCAGCTGATTTTCTAGGTATTAACGATAATTCTGCTTTACCAATTTCATTAATTATTGTCTCTGGTAAATCCATTTCACAATGAACAATAAACACCCCGTCTGACCATGGTCTACACTGTAAATAAAATACCATTCTACTTCCAGGTTCAGTAACATTTTACCCTTGTAATAATTTTATAAGGATGTTTTACAAATAAATAGCAAATGCAATTCATTTATAATGTTACTTTTCTGCACTCCTAAGAATAGCCGTATGCACTCCTTGATTTTTCATACGGCTATTCTCATTCATGTAAAAAAGAACAACATTATAAACTAATGGAATAATATACTATTATCAAATTACTGATAAAAGTTGTATAATGAAAGATCTTTTGTGCCTTCCCAGAAGCAGTATTTTCTGTATTTTAAAACTGAATAAAAAATCGTGGCATCTGCATTTTATTTGTACATAAATTCCATGCCCCCTGTGGGTGGGACCATGTAGTGAACAGTCTGGATTGATCCAAGGTTGCACTGTGCATCAAAAAACATACCATCTCACAGCCTACTCAGTCGTAGCTCCAGTGTGCCTAATAGAGATTTTACCACCTAATATTTTTGCTCATAACACTTCTGCTCATTGACAAGAGCACTTCACAGTGAATACTCTGATTGTACAGTGAAATTTTGTTGACATTATTCTAAGGATTGAAAATTTTGGAATTCTGTAAGTGGAAAAATGTTATATCAAAATATTTTCAATTTGTCATTGTCATATTTTTTTTATAAGAATAAAACCTAATTTACACAGTAATAACATACATGACAGATGATAAGTGCTGACAAATTAAATTACTTGCGAATACAAATTCTAAAAAGAATGTTAATTAACACAGTGTTTTTGTTGTATCAAATTCAAAGCAAAGTGTCATAAGCAACACAAAAATACGAAGTACGAAGACGGTGGAGACACATCAGAACACTTTGTTCTAGCTCTGAGTTCATGGACTGAAAAATATTTTCAATACTCCTATATAACTCATGGGATACTCTTGAGTACCCCAAAATACCCTCAAATTGCATTCACTTTGCCGCATTTTTTAGGCCATTCTGAACGTCATTCCAAACCTTTTCGAAAAAATCTTTACTACTTCTCAACTCTTTTATGAAATGTTATATCAACAAAACAACATTGTTTTATGAAGGAAAGGTCAGTTACCATGAATTTAGGTATAATGAAGACTTACATTTGTTAATAGCTTAGAAGGGATGCTCTGGTGGATGTTGCCTCTCCAGATTTCAGTATTTGGCATTTTTTTCAGGCATTTGATAAGGTTAACCAGGATATCATAATTTCAAAATTGGAGAATTGTAGTTTTTTTAGTTCTGTATTAGACAGTTCTAGTGGTCATCTACACAACCGTTACCATTTGTGTGGATAAGACAAGCACATCACTGGTTCCCAACCTCTTCAAAAGTGCCTCATGGCTCTCACTTCTTTTCATGGTTTTCATTGAACATTTAACGACTGTAATTTGGAATGTGAATATGTGAATATTTAATTATTCACAGCTGATATGAAACTATCTTGAGGTTTCTACCAAGTGTGTTGCTCTTTGATTACAGCTAGATGTTATCAACCTCCTCATTGGTGCCAGGTGAACAAAGTTTAAAATATTAGAAAAGGTTAACAATAACTTTTTCGAGAAGGAGGTATCCAATACTTTCCGACTATACTATCAATGGTATTCCATTTAAGATGAACATTATTCATAACCATGGCATTATTTTCAATTAAAAATATGCCTTTCGAGAATCACGTAAATGCTATTGTGGCTAACAATACTTATGTGGGAGTAGTTACAAAGGGTAACTGTGGATTTCAAGTGAATATCAAGATCGTGAGATTCTATAATGCCTTGGTCAGACTAATTTTGAAATATGCCACTGCTGTCTAGACTCCATGTGTGTGAGAGGCTAAGACGAAGTTGGAGAGAACACAGCACAAGTTTATAAGACTTTTGATGCTAAAATCCAGTAATTGTATGCCCAACTTTTATCAAGAATACAAACAAATTTCAATTAAATTTAATTTAAACACCTTAGAACAAAGATTTAACTGTTTGATGAACATGATAATTTTGTTTGGAGCTTTTAAATAATCATGTCAACATGACCTAAACTTTTGGCAAAAATCAACCTTAAGTACCCTCTAAAAACTTTTGCTCATCTGATCTATTTAGTGCTGCTCCATTCTCCAAAAACTACCTAGCTAATGATACTTTTAGTCACATAACACAAAGCACACATGTAAGCATTCAAACAATGGTTAGTCATATATGAAAATAATGTGAAAACTCTAAATTTATAATTTTTTCTGATATTTCTTTTTCTTTTTTACAATTTATATTTTGTAAGTTACATTGTTATATGCGTTACAACTGAAAGAATTATATTGTATTTTTATCAATTGTAAAAAGGAAGGATCCCTTTGTCTAAATTGTACGATGATATTGTATACTTCTTTCATTTGTATCAACAAAAAAAAATAATTCTTTTTTAGACGGGGCATTTTTGTATTTTCCTTGAGCTATATAGGCCTTTAAACCATTTGTATCAAATAATTTTTTTAACTTCGTTTTGTTTCTTCTCAATGCCATTCTTTGTAAAAACTTTGTAAGTGATATATTGTAAAGGGTCAGTATAAATGAATAAATTATAATAATAACCCATTGAAAACCATGCTGCTGTCAGAAAAACCATAAATCACAGATGCTGCAAACACTTTAAATGTGGTAAGCAGGATTGTTAAACATGCTAATGAATAAATTAACAGAATTCGTAAGGGAACTTTAAAAAACAGAATTGCTGTGCAGGGATGATGGCTGGGTAATGGAGAACGTGCTAGCAAGATTCCACTGAATGTTTTCATTTATACACTACTGCTGGTGAAGCATGGCAAGCATTTCACTTTAAGTAGTATAAAACTCTTCAAAATACTTCAAAAATCTCCATGATGACAAAGGAAAACAAATGCATTAAAATACCTCAGTGTCACTTTCTGGTTCACAACCACAACAGCCTGGACATGGAGGACGGTTCTTGTACGAGTAGAAATTAGGAGGAAGTTTCAATCTTTCAGCAGCTGCTTTCTCTTCAGGCGTGACGGTAAGTTCATATACAACTTGCACATCGTCTGCAAAAACGAAATTAAAGTTAAAATAATCAGGAAAAATTATATTACCACTACATATTTTCAACTAGTTAGGTCTAGTGATATTCCCATTTCTGGACCTATGATATAAAAAAAAGCAACAATTTGCAACACTAATGGTTGTCAATGCATTTTCAGAGAAGTCCTGGCTGGCTGTTTTCATGAGAAATGAGGCATACCTTGGAAGATTATTGTTGGAGAGACAAAGATATTGTCCAAGAGTGGAAGGAACATTTGAAAAATCTAATTTAAAAGAGTAATAAATATATTTTCAATGCAGATAAAACAGCATTTTTTAATTATATGTTGCCATATAAAACTATCTTAAAAGGGAGAGAAGTGGGTAGGTGGGAAACAGCCAAAATAAAGATTAACAACATTATTTTGTTATAATGCCACCAGTACTGAAAAATTGAAGCCTATGGTTTGAGGACATTCCATAAAGCCTAGATGTTTCAACGGCATGGTATCTCTGCCAGTAAAATATACAGCCAACTAGCAAGCATGGATGACCAAAGAATGTTTTGCAGACTGGTTTCTTGAGTTAGATAGTGGAAAACCAGAAAGAAAAACATGTTGGTAGATAATAGCTCTGCTCAGTAAACTGCAGGTTGGAAAACATCTATATTGAATTCCTCCCTCCCAACTGCACTTTTGGACTGCAGCCACTAAACCAGGGAATTATTCGTAATGCAAAGGTCTATTTTCATAAATGATGGATCAGCAGATTCTAATCAACCCTACATCACACGTTTCAACATCCTGTAAGGGATGCAAATGATAGCAGGGGCTGCATTGGCAACAATTGCCAATTGATGAAGAAAGTCAGGAATTTTTGATTTCCAGGATAGTGTTTCAACAGTGGTTGAAGCTTATGGAGATCATGGTGAGGTGTGGGAAAAAATTGCAAGTGAGTTGGATCTTTCATTATCTGTAACACTTCATGATTATGTCAATATTGATGGTGGGACTGAAACAAGTCACTGCCTCACAGAGTGACATAGTTAAATCATTGACTAAATTCAAAGAAAATAATAAAGAGACAAAAGAAGTAAAAGAAGGAAAGGCTGAAACAGTATCTTCAACAGAAGCAGTGAACTACCTTCGGAAGTTAAAAGTATATATGTAGAAAAACATAAATGTTCCAGAAACAGTTCTCAAATCATTATTTGAGGTAGAACAGTTTGTGGAAAGCAACTTGCTGAAAAAGACAAAACAAACTTCCATTGAAAAATATTTTAATGATTGATGTGCATTTTTTAAATTATTTTTGTGTATTGGACAAACTATTTAAAATAAATTGGTTAAAATTGTATTACCAGTATAAAGTATAAATAAAATGATTTTATGATGTACTTTGAGCCAAGATTTCACTGCAGTGCACATTTACTAGAGTGACCTTAACTTACTGTCACTTGTGGATAAGTCCAAAGATGCAGGACTTCTTGACAACTGGGATGACTCTCCAAAGAGAGTTCTTACTACTCCTGAAAAATGACAGTGTAACTCAGAATCAAGTTATTTTTCACAAGTCAATAAGCTGCATTAATTATTTTACCTACCTTTAGAATCAGATGGGAGATTGGATTTGGTACCAATACCTTTTAACGTCACATTCTTCACACCTTCTAATAAGCTGCCACCTACCACATAGAGGTTAACAGCTCAATCAGAAGTTGAGATTGGAATGTGACTTTGAGAACACAATTACAATTAACAGAATATTTTCATAGGAAAAATTAACAGATAATTACAATTTTCAAATAAAACAATAAAGAACAACATGCACTGACAATTAACAACTGATTTGCTTCTGAATGAAGTGAGATATTAACTGAAATGCATTTATGGGTGACAAAAAAAACTTTTGCAGAAAAGTCTGAACAATGATTATTCCATTCACACACCTGCACAGCACACAAAACAATCCTCATGTCACAGGTACACTGAATTGTATAGCAGAACAAACAGTGAAGCAAAATAGGGCTGTGGGAGCAAGTTGGGATGGAAGAGGACGAAAATATTTACATGAATATAAAAATGCATAGAAATTACCGAAATTTTCTATTCAAATTGTTACAATTACTAGCCTTTACAACAAGATTTTTGCATACCATATTCTGAATATCAAAACCCTGACCCATAAGCTATGCAAATTATATTCACTTAAATAATGGAATATAAAAGATGTAGCGACAAAGGCTGTACTCAAATTAAGAACATTATTTTCTCATAAATGTGGTTTTATTTGGAGATTCAAGAAGAACTTGTTATAAGATAAATTCAACGAACATAGTTAGTTATTTTGTGAAAGATAAAAATGTGAGTTTTGTTATAACAAACAATATAAATAATAAGTATTCTCACACATGGAAAATAAATTCATTAAAATTTGTGCAAAATACATTTTTACTAAACACAAATTACCAGCACTTCAAAGAATTGCAATTATCCACAAAATTACTCTATACAAAACAAACTGAGATTCCTGAAGAAACGATTACTCTTAGAAAGTAAGTTGTAGGAAACTAGACAAAAGCAATTAAGAAAGTTCATGCAATAAAAAATGAGTGAAAACTTACAAGTACACAGAAAACCACACTTATGAAAAGATAGTTAAAAGCAATGAAGGATCAAACAACACATTTGTGAGAGTGCATATTATGAAGTGCAATAAAAGATAATAGAAAACAATAAAAATAGATTTTTACAAGCAATTAAAAATATTTTTTTGCTGAAAAAACAAAATTTATCAAAAATTTCCCCATCATATTTTACAATTTACGATCAAAATAAACATCCATCGTTAAGAATATTCTTCATAAATAGGAAATTATTGTATATTACCATTAAACCATATTAAACAGATTATTCATAGTAATAGTAGGACCATACACAAATATTTTACAAATAATTGAAAAACTAAAATTCACCTTATGTAGTTTCTTTAGCACAAATACAGATTTGAAACTTTATTAATTTAAATTGTAATTCAAATAAAAATGGTGAAGACCATTAAGAGTAAGATATTAGTTAACTAATTTGGAAATCCATTTTTAATTTCAACTTTCATGGTAGTTTTTATAATCTAAATAATTAATGATTTTATTTTGTGAGTGTTATTATGTATGTTAGCTTTGTATATGAAATGCAAATGTGTGACTTATTAGTAACAAACTGGCCTGGAGACAATAGCAATTCAATGCCATTAGCAGTTAATAATAAAATTAAGGACTAGTCAAACTTTTTTCTCAATAAATAATATCTTAAAAAGTATAAAAACGAGAACCAAAGGTATGTATCAAAGACTACACAGTCGAGCCATTCGATACTGCAATTTAATTTAAGTGACACTTATTCACCCTTTCAGGGTGCATTTTCTAATACAAATTCTCTGACTTGTTAATGGTTCATCAAATACATTTCATAAAAAAAGTTAAGATTATCATTTCTTAGAAAAGTTATTCTGAGCATACACCATAACTCCCTGAAGGTGTAGGGAAGACTAGCAAATTAAAAGAATTTGCTAACAGATGACTAGATTTATTTAAACTCTCCTGTAGCTTTTTGAAAGTTTTCAATATAACAACACAACCAGTCACACCCAATACAACTATATGACTAATCTCATCCAATACAGATTTACTAACTACAAGTTACTAGCATGAAATTCTTCTAAGAACTGGAAATTTCACAGAAGTACTAGGTACAGAAAAAATACAACCAAATGTATCCAATGTCAATATGTAACCAGTTATGTACAATATGACAACAAACCACATATCTTTATTATGATTACAAATAAATAAGATGCGTTTTGAGAAAATGTGATATAGAAGCAAAAATGCCTTTCCTACCAAGAGACAACCTTGAACTCTTGTAAGTCACTTTAACTGTTGCCATCCTGCCTTAATAAATAACCTGCTATTTTAATTTCTATTACGATAACAGGAACAACAAATAACTTAATGTACATAAAGTGAGAATGTCTGAAGAATTAGAGCTTAAAATTTATAAGCAAAACTAAATACCAAGTATCACAGAAAACACTCATTTACATCAGCAACAACAACAAAAGATTTGCCTACAAAAATATTGAGCAGTCAATGTAAACTGAATGTACGTTAGAGAGTCGTTTAAAAAATTCAACAAGCAAATAATCTAAAAATGAAGACTTCAATATCCTAGTCAATTCACTTACATAAACACAAAACTCCTACAAAGACTAGTACTTTTGAAATTTGCCCAGCAGAGGATGAGCTGATGTGCTTTGTTTAGATCTGTCCCAAGTAAGGCTTTTCCACTGAATAAGACACATATTTTTTAGCATACGCTGCCTTAACTTATGACTAGGTAACATGAGAACCAGCTGCCGTGCTGTAGCCAGAGAATCTGCCAGAGGAAATCGACGAAACATGTATCTAAAAACTGTGCATAAAAGTGGACCCATGCTCAATTCACAACACAAAGAAAAAATTAGAATACAATTGCAAAAAGGGGACAATACAACAAGAGCAGTACTGCTAGGATGATTTGGCAACGGTTCAATAGCTACTGATGAATAGGTTGGGGAGGCACTCCGAAGGCTGAGGAGGCCCTTGAAACAATCTATTAAGATGCCTTTATTATCCAGCAGGTGCTTTTCAAAAACGGCACTCTCGCATTCCGTATCTTGAATTAAGTGATGCAAAACACTGAAAATATCAGGTTTGCAGCAATGTGGCAAAAGAGATTGCGAGATATATATACCATCTTTACTTGATTCCTCTTGCACTATGGAATCCTCCGAGACAATGACTTCTGAGGAATGACGGTCAGTCTTTGTTGGAGAACCAAGGTTTGCCTGCAAGCACATGTCCACCAAAATTTTACTCATAATATAAATGGAAATTTAAAAAAAATGTAATTTATGGGTACTATGTAGCACCATACAATTTTGCCTCTAAAAGAACTAGGAAAGAAACCTGAATGACTACAGACAATTTCTACTAATATTTGTGAATTTTTTTCTTTTACCTGGGCTTTGTCAATTGCTTCTTTGAAAGCAACTGCTACATCCTTGTTTTGGAATCTAATAGCTAACTTTTCTTGATGGATCTCTCCTTCAGCAAAGTCTGCTGCTGTCCAGAACCAACTTTTCTCATCTTTTTCTGAGAAAACCATTTCCGCAGTCAAAAAATGATTTAGACACAGTTTTAAAACCTGTTCTCTTCGCATTACAAGTCTGAAAATAACAGAAATATATCAGACACCTTTCAACAACCTTATATTGTATTTTGTGAACCATTAACACTCTTTCAGTAATACTGTGTTATGAGCCTTTGCTCAAATTGGAGGATCATGTGTATGAGATTCCAAAATGGTGGTTAACATAGTTGAAAATACTTTACTTTCACCAGCACACACTTTTGTCATGCTAGTAAGGGTTACATAGTATTTTAATACCACAATTTTTGTCCATTTCAACACTTATCACTGGTAGTCATTACCAATCATAGCACATTAGGTGTGAAAACTAATTCTTTACATCAACGCAAATTCAACAATACAAAATTCCATTCCATACCACAATTATCAGCTAACTATCAAAAGTAACTCTGATAATTTCAAATTGCATTGCAATTGTATTGCCATTGAAATATTGCAATGTGATATCTAGTAGAAGACTTCAGCCAAAGCAGTGTGGGCAATCTGAACTTGCAATTTTGAAGATTTGCAAATATCATACAAAACTTCTTAGTTTCAAAAACTTGTCATAAACTTATTTAAAAATCTAATTTTGAATAACAGACTTCACAAAGTAAAACATCATGAATAGTGTCTTTGCAATTTTCATTTTTACAATTTTCAAAAATATGGAGTTCACCTTTTGTGAGCCTAACACCATGTTTATATCCTTACTTCTATTAGAAAAAAATTTGCAGAAAAGATTTGGAGACACTGTCAAGAAAATGTTTTTAAATATGCTTTACTTCAAGTTAAAATTACACAAAAATTTCTTTATTTTTCAAAATATTTTACATGACCTTATTTTCAATTTAAATTTATTGCATGATACATATTGCAATAATATGCACATATACAGACGTACAAAACATCACATGCCCTGTGCACAAGACATGAATTAAAGCAATTCTAACTTTTACAATAGAGGTGGTATCAAGTTTTAAACAAAAATCTAAAAAAAGTAGAAATTATTACAACAAAAAAAAAATACGTTCACAGGCAAGACAGAGCGGAAAAAAGAAAAGCCTTTGCTATTTCATTCTAGACTTAACATCCTCTTTAGACAAGTTTACCAACCATTTCCAAAGCAGCATTTTGTTAAGCTCATATCTCAATGTGTTAGATTTCATATCTGAATGTTTAGATTTCCAGTCAAACGATTCAAGATTGTATAAGCAACATACATACAATTTCTCCTGCCTATTTTTTTGTTAAGATTAGGATGAGTGATAATGGGCTCTTTATTGCGGCTAGTTTCATATAGACATTGTGCACAACATACCTGACTTTACAAGTTTGTTTGTGTTTCAAAATTTTTATATCTCCAATCCCTCTTTCCTTCCACATGCCATCCATGAAACGAAACAATTTTGCTCTGTGACAGTACAAGACCTCTTCCTCTTCCTCTCCTGTATGCACTGGTACTTTATCAGGAAGTGGAATGACAGGCTGTTGATCAAAACGGTGAATATAACTTCAATCATAATATCATTAAATAAGCACAATTTATCAATATTAACATTTATATGAAAAACATTATGGTGGAATATGGTGGTGGTGGTGATAATAATAAATAATAAAGACTGAACAGTTGGAAAGGGGGAGGGTACGGAAACGGGGAGGGGCGGTATGGGAAGGGGAGGGGAGGTGAAGAAAGCAAGAGTGAATGTTATGCAAGGGACACTTGGAAGAAACAAGGTTAAACCACATGAGAATGGAAGAAGTGTGCACTAGATATTAAAGCCTGAAAACTGAGATTGTGAGAAGTTACACACAACCCACAGATACAAGGAAACTTGGGACTTAATGACAACATGAATCAAAAGTAGGATATTGCAATGTTTTAGGCAATACTGAAAAACAAGATTTTTTTATACACTTTGGATACAGGAAAAGATCAGAGATGTCAGAACTGTACATGTAGGGATATTTGCATGAGATTTTTACAAACTTACTGAAAAGAATATTGGCAAGACAAGAAGATTAATACTGGTGCATCATCGTTTGTGTGTGGGTAATTAAATGTCAAAAGTTTGCAAGAAAATGTTCTTGAATACTTCTAGAATAAAATATTGGAGTGCCATGTATGGACTACAAAATTTAAAGCAAAAATAATGTCTTGTTCTACTTCCATTTTTCACAATGTACAAGAAAACGTTCCATAAAAAAGCCCATCTTACTTATGTCACAGATAGGGGAAGGTTCATCTTACAGGAGGAAACCAAGCAAAAACTACCAATGGCCAATGTGAAGACGTGTTAAAATTACTTCATTTGTAGTAGCACAAGATGAGAAAGACAAAGGCTTTACACAATCTGTAATTGCCATTAATTTGAAAGTGGCACTGTGCCACTGTCTGCCATGCACCGGGAATGGTGCACTTTATATATAACATTAAATCTGCACTGATGGAACAATGGGAATTTCAATGACAGTTCTTTGAGAACATCATTAGAAGTAAAACACAGCACCATAAACACACATACCACTTGACACTTTGGGGTACTATTCAATATAGTTGAAATGATACTCAAGAATAGTTGACATTCCTATTAGGGAGAATTGCAACCTTGTGAATCTGTTGTCTTCTTATGCTACATAATTTCTCAAAAACTCTATTATTGCAATTTTCTGAGCACTTTTGTTATTTAAAAATTGGTGGATTTTATTTTTAACACATTGACGGTCCTTAAAAAAGTAGTTGGTAGAAAATTTTAATTTATATAAATTATTTTTTATCACTGCCACTCTACAAAAACAAAGAAGCAATTTTCAGTTTTTACCTGAAAATAAATGTGTTCACCTTCATCCTCTTCTGGTTCACTGCCACTATCATCCTCTCCACCTGAAGCCCCAATTACTCCTGGGGATTTAGGAGACTTAACTGGAGATTTGGGACGCACACCACTGAAGTTGAATTCAAAATTCTGAGGACTTCCAAAGACAAAATTTCGAGCTAAAAACAAAAGCACAAAGCTAAGTTTAATGATTTTCTCCAAAAATCATTAAACTTAGGTAAAGTATTGAATATTTTCAGTCAAATTTAGAAGTCTGGAATTAAAAAAAAGAATGTCAATTTCTCTCCTGACTATTACATTTCATAATTTAATAAGCACACTTATTTATACTAACAGAATTAAAAAGTTACTTTTAACTAATTATAGTTTGCGTAGGGCCTTACAGGTAGTGGTTTACAGAGCAAACCAATACATGCATTATAATGGTCATTGAGTGAACAGATATCTTAACACAATATACTCTTAGTTGGTGTAATTTCAAATTAAATAATGATTTTTTTATTTGCTTAAGACTTATATGGTGATAGTTTCAGGCATCGTTAAAGTGCAATAATTTAAAAATGATTTAAAACAAAATATTAACACATTATACAATTTATAAGAAAATACTAAAATACTTAAAACACATGCATACAAAATAATTTATAAAACTAAAACATTTTCATTAGTTCTTCAAATTCATAGGGGCACATTCTATTAAATACTTTTTCAACAAGTAATTGAATTTCTTTTCTTCACATACGTCTTTAATATTTTGAATAAGTTTACTATATAAAAATATGCCTGTGTTGGGAGGGCTTTTATTTGTTGAGGCTGTAGATGTAAATATCCTATGGAAGTTCTATTTGCTTCTAGTATTATAATTATGTGATTTACAATTATCAACCAAGTGTGAGCTGAATTTCTTTCTGAAGAGAGTAATGATTTTATAGACAAAGGGCTATCTCAGTCAGTATGTTGTGTGTTGTGTAGTAATTCTTACGTGACTGTAGGTTATAGTTTGAAAATGAATCCAAGGTCTTTTTTTCTAGCTAGATTCACATGTATAGTGCTAGATTCATAATTCTGTTCATGTTTAGAATGGTTGTACTACTCCATATTTATATTCCATATTCCATTCATGGGATATTATTTAACTCGTTACACCATTACAAGATGCATTATTGCCACCATTAATAAATAAATGCATAACGATTTATTTAACCATACACTCGACAGAATCAGCTGTTCATGTTTGGAGCCCATCGGGAGCTTGATCATCCCCATAGTGATGTCACTTGAGACATAGAAGCTCCGAATTGGATGAAACCGCAAAGCTGATTTACGTCAAGTGCACAACTAAATAAATCACACCATACATGAGCAGTGTTTGCAGTATTGGTAGGAGTTATGCTCCTGAATTTGCACCTTCATTACACTGCTGTTGCTGAAAGCTACACAGTGTGTTTGTGTATTTGAAAAATAAAATATTGAAAACTATTATTAATAATAAAACCAAAAGAAACTGCAACTTCACCTTTAGTTCTCATGCACATGCAGATGGCTGTTTACAGTTTCCAAAATATATTACTTACGTGCAGTGTCACTGGGTGAATCCTTTTCAGTTGCATCCTTTGCTCCGAAATTGAAAGGTTTGTTTGCATTAGGTGTGCCAAAATGGAAAGCTGAAGGCTTAGCATCAAAAGAAAATGGTTTCTCATTTTCAGTCTTAGTGGCAGTAGCAGACGAAACAACAGAAGATTGAGTTTTAGCAGTTGTTGATGTATTGGATGGGGTACCAAATGTCAGGCTAGTTGTAGCTGATGAATTAGCTCCAAAACTCCATGAACCAAAAACAGGCTGAGCTCCACTTGTCCCAAACACCGGCAATGCTGGTGCTTTAGACTGGGATGAACTACTATCCTGACTGACATTCACACCAAATACAACTGCTGGAGAAGAATTATTCACACCAAATGTAAAGCCAGATGTTTCTGTCTTCTGCTTGTTTGCAATATCCTGTCCATCACTTTTTGGTATTCCAAATGTGAATCCTGTAGATTGGCTGGAACTGGAAAATCCAAAAGTAGTTCCAAAAATTGGTTCTTCGGTCTTATTTTTATCCTTTGCAACTTTCTCACAACCTGGTTTAGGCGTAGAACAAGCAGCACACTCAACTGAGCTGTTCGCATTTCTTATCAAACAGACCCCACATTCCCATGAATCTAATGAGGGTTTAAACAATTCTGACAATGGTTTGAGGCCAGAAGGGCCATTCTGTTTGGTAGGAGTAGCTGATGGTTTCTCTGATGCACAAGATGAACAACGCCGGTCTGTCTCTTCATTGCGTGAGAAACAGTTTTTGCATTCCCAGGCACCTTGCTTTGGTTTAAAAGGTTCACTCTGTTGTTTAGGAGGGGACCTAGTAGGCCTATTTTCCCGACAACAAACACAATGTTCTAAATTAGCATCATTCCTAGTATAACAACTTGTGCATTCCCATGATCCAGAAGGAGGTTTAAACATTTCACTCAGCTTCATTTTATCTCCTTCTTGAGGTCTGGTAATTGTTGAGGGTGGTGACTTTGAAGACTTCTTTCCCTGACAACAAACACACTGTTCTGTGTTAGCATTGTTCCTGGTATAGCAACCTGAGCATTCCCAAGAGCCAGATGGTGGTTTGAACATTTCACTCAGTTTCATTTTATCTCCTACTTGAGGTGGTGGTGTGACAGCTTTGGTAGGTTGAGATCTTAGGGCATTGCACGATTGACATGCTTTTGCTTCGCTTGAATTGGAAAACAAACACTTGCTACACTTCCAAATTTCAGAAATAGACAATTTTGATTTATTAGAAGCAGCACTTATGCTGGTGGTGGTCGCAGAGGTGCTGCTTGAGATGTAACTACTACCACAAGACACAGCTACTTTATCATCAATCATCTGACTCTTCAGTTCATCTATTTTGCTGCCAAATGCTCGTGCTTGTTCAAGAGTCTTAAATCGTAACGCAAATAGTTCAGCCTTCACCTCTCCCTCTGAATAGTCTTGGGCAATCCATGTCCATGCACGATCACATGTTTGAAGGACACTAAACACAATGTTTGCTGTAAGAAGATGGTTACAACACACTTTTAACACTTGTTCACGTCTCATGAGCAATCTAACACGGCCACTTTGTGGGTCTTTCAGAATCTTCATGGCACCAGTTCCTCGTTCCTTCCACTGTTTTGACTCGCCATCGTATCTCAATAATTTTGCTCGTTCCTGAAACACAATTTCTTGTCCTTCTTCCCCAGTTTTGACTTCTACCAATTCAGGCATTGCAATAACAGGAGTGAACTCTTGTGTGGGCACAAATTCCTCTTCATCTTCACCACCTCCACTGACATTCGGAGAACGTACTACTTCTTTACTCTTTTTTGAATCTCCAGCAGCAGTCTTAGAAAATAATGGTGTGCCAGCACCTTCAAAACCTTTGAAAGTATTTTTTGTCTGAAAAGCCGGCTTGTCAGAAGCTACTGATGCCAGCGAAGAAAATGTTGGAAGATTAGTAGCCTTAAACATCAAAGGATCTCCTCCACCAGCTGAATCCTGAAAGGGGAAAACCAACAAACTTTTGATAACTTCACACAATAACAAATTTCCATTACTGAAATTACAGGAAATATTGAGTGGCATTGAGTTCAAAACAGTTGTACAGTCAAAGGCTTTTGATGTAGAGATTGAGTAAACTTTATCTATTTGGAACTTTTTATATTCTACCTTAGTTTTCGCAAAATTACAGTACATTATGCAGGATACTACCCTGAATTTTTTGTTTCGTTATTGGGTGTTCCCCACAGGTTTGAATCTAGGATCATTACTGTTTGTGATAAACGATATCAATAGTGGTTGGTTCTGTTTCATTCTGATGTATACTGATGTTAAATTATATTTACCTCTTTCTTCTGTCAATGATTATGTAAATCTTCAAAGTAACTTATTTTTTATAAAAATTATGTTGACCAAATGCTAGCATAATCCTAGTAAATGTAAAGTATGTCATACATTAAAATACACTTTCAGTATACAATAAATGATTATACTTTGATTTTTCTACAGTGGTCAATGACATTAGATAATTGTTACACCTCCTGTCTTAAAAAATGAATCTTTAACAGTGGTAAGAACAAATCTGAGGCCACAAGCCTTGTTGAGAAGTACTTTTGCAAATAATTAAAAAGATTCATTTGATAAGGCAGGTGTTAGAACGACCTAATGTCATTGGCCACTGTAGAAAAATTGATGTATAATCTATAAATTTAGTCAACAATTTGGGAATTACTTTGATAGATACGTCATTTATCCTGCATATAGAGGAACTTGTGATGAAAGTTAACCGAAAACTTAAGATTCCTCATGCAACTGGGGACGAAGATCAAACCTATAAAAGTTCACGGTATTGTCTTTTTACTACTGCTAATCTAAACTGGAATTGCACTGGTCATATGGTCACCAAGTTGTACAAGTCTTCAGAACACCTTAAAACAATGTCAACAAAAGTGAAGTTGTATGCTTCCGCGACCAGAGTCATGTGAATACGCACAATGTCAACAAAAGTTTGCATGTATTCAACAAAAGTTCAAGAATGGTACAGAGAAGAAAAGATCTGAAATAATGGATGATTTAAAAAGAAATCTAAATCCACTAAACACTATTAATAATATTATATTGTTAAAATAATTAAATCTATATGATGAAATTTAAGTATATACAAAGTTCACAACCAATTATTAATTCAAAACAATTACCTTTTCAGGTGGTTTCTCCTTCTGCATTACATCAAGTGCAGGAGAGGAAGAAGTCATAAGTGAGGTCATGTGTGGCCTTCGCAAAGGAGGAAGTTCTCTTTCTCCACTTGTAGTTGTGGAGGTCACACTAACAGATGGTGCACTACTTGTTGCAGATCCGCTTGTTGGAAGTTTTACAAGAGGAGATCCAATTAGTAAACTGGTGGTTTGGTCACTGCTTGCTTTGCTTGTTGGTGCACCAAAAGTGAATTGGGCAAATGGACTGGGTTTTGCTACAGCTGCTGCTTTGTCCTTCTCTTTTGCAGTTTCTTTTTCTGCTTGAACCTTTGAAGACGAAGCTGTTGTGAATTTGGGAGGAGATATGAAAGTAAAACCACCAACAACAATCTTTTCTGCAGGAGATGATGCTGCAGTGGAAGTGGCTGAAGAATGCACAGGAGTAACAGATGTCACTGATGCAGATGTGCTTGAAATTTCTTGTTGCTTTGCTCCCTTAACTGGAGTCATTTTTGCAGTTTTTGACAACTCACAGGCATTACTAAATGCATCCGCGAAAGCATCAGCATCATCAGCAGTCTTGAAACGTACACACAACTTTTCCAGTCTCATCTGTGAACATTAGTGTGAAGTCTAATTTAAAAACAAATAATAAAAATAAAAAGCCAGAAACAACATAAAAGAAATAAGAAAATAAGCAAAGCTTAGAACTTGAAATATTTACGACCTACAGAAAGCTGAGGGTAATATTGTATGTTCATAGAGATCATCCCACGACTTTTAAACTTTTAAAATTTTAACTTCCATAATAATACTGTGAGTGCTATTTACTAAATAAATATCTAATGACATCTTATTAAGATAAGACATTGGCAACCAGGGAACATTTATACACACGAAAAGTTTGAACATTGCTTTTTATTCAAAACCAATTGTAACTAGTATGCCAGCAGACAGGGTCTGGCATCTGGGCAGTAGGAAGTTTCTGAAATGACTATCCTAAGTCTCCATAGGAATTTCTCAGGGTAGCTCAGTTGTCATGATTGTAGGGTTTTGAATGGATTATTTTCAACCTTTTCTAGTAATTCTATTTACACAACGGGCTTACTTGGCCAAATAAAATTATATATTACACTTAGTTGACGCATACAGAAAGAAATATTAAAATTAACTATGGTTTTCCTTCAGGAATTCTTCAACTGCACACACCAACTCTTCATTAATTAAAGATGGGATGCCCACTACATTCGTTATCGTACACTTTGGGTCCTTTATTTAACTGTCAGACCCATCTCCTAACCATTGAATCGCTAATTGTATTTTCTCTGTAAACTTCATAAATCTGCCGATGAATGTCAATAGGTCAAGTGTTCTTTGCATTCAGAAAACGCATTAGAGATCTAATCTTGCATGCAGGAAGATCCTCTATCAACTTCACCATTATAACCAAGCACTATACAGTACAAACAAGATACAGCTATGTCAAAATGGCTCTCTTACAGCAGCTACCAAACTGCGATTGCAATGTTGCTGCGGCATAATATATGAATGGAACTTACTTTGTAGACAGGCTTCATACTTAATAAGAGGCTATGGATTATAATTATATCTTGTTATACTGATCTCAATTTAGGAAGTTTCATTGTAGATGAAGTACAGTAAACGTGATCAAAAATGAATACTAAGAAATTGGTATTTTTTTCCACATTACACGAGGTTCCATATTATATAATGTAATGCTATTGAATTCACATTTCCCATGACTACACTTAGTATTCCCGCTGGACAAGTATTCCCATTATACATGTTCTGCAATGGGCAAGGTTTACTGAAATTTTCTATTATACACACTCATTAATACATACCTGTTCATCTGCAAAGTCATTAGCAACCCACATCCAGGCCTTGTCCTTCATACGAGTAAGTAACATGTCTGGGGTTAAGAAGTGGTTTGCACACACTTTGAGCACCTGCTCACGTCTCATTAGTAAGCGTACTTTACCAGTCTCCTGGTTATGCAGCAATTTCAACTGCCCAACACCACGTTCTTTCCATTCCTTATCCACAAACCTGGATTAGAAAAAAATGAAAAATGTGTCATTACAAATCATAAGATCTCAAGAAAATGACATTAAAGGTATAAACAGTTAACACATTGGATTATAAGAAAAGATAAACACCTGTAAAGAAAATTGGATCAAACATTTACTAAGAATGAACAATGAGAGATTGACCAAATCGGCTTATCTCCCAAAAGGAAAAAGTAGGAAGACCAAAGAAGAAAGTCATGCTCATGATGATGATTTTGAAGTTCAAGATGTGGACTGGCTAAACTGCATTACTCCATAGAAATAAGGTGTGAGGACATAAAAATGAATTAATTTAAACCTATATTAACATACCTAGAAATGTTGAGTGTTCTTACTTCAGAGGCCAAAAGTTACCAATTGTGACATGTGTTGGTTTTTATTTCTATTTTTATTATATTATTATTTTTATTATTATTATTTCTATTTTTATTATTATTATTTCTATTTTTATTATTATTATTATTATTATTATTATTATTATTACTATTTTCTTTTTTCCCTTATCCCTCCCTTCCTCACAACTTCAGATTTCTTATTTTTACATCTTTTCTAGAAAAGCGAAGAAATACTTTTTCTTCCTCAAGATTTCACTATTAAATTTCAAAAGAAAATATTCATTTTCAAATTGTTTATTTCCTTGAAAATTGTTCAAAACTTGAACTTATTTTGTTTCAGTATATACATTCACTTTTTGGTCAGATTTGTTCAATGCTGTATTATGACTGGTCGCTCTGAGCTACTTTCAATACTTTGGTGTCCTTTATGCCAGTTATCCACATTTCTGAACATTAACATTGGTTTTGATGATATATTATGAATTCTCATCACAGTTTTTCTGATTTGTCCAAACTATCTATTGTTCCATTGTTTCCATTACATTTGTTTAAAATTTTTCTATATCGCATTCAAGTCTGTTTCTGAAAAAAGGAGAAATGTATTGATGTGTAACCAATTTTAGAAATGTTTTTCATATCGCCATTTGACACTGGTGAAACAACTATATAAATGCGCACATCTATTTTGCTCATATCCTGGTTAGCAATAATGCAGTCTGCAACAATAGTTAATGACTAGCTTATTTTCTTCTTTCTTTATCAAACAATTATCTTTTTGAAGCAATGACAGTTAACGCATGATGTTATTTCCATGCTACCTCCCTTTCCCTCATCACCATGTTTCGTAGGTAGTTACTACTATACTTTCTATATTTTTTCTGTATATGACTTTTAAAAAGTTTTCATCATTAATATCATCATACATGGTTTCGATAACAAACTTTGTATTCTAGAAACGAAATTCGAAAAGAGTATAATGTGTTTTGATGTGCAAGGCCAAGACACCAATGATTTTTCAATAAAGGTTAATATTAATAAACACAAAGAATTAATGTTTTGTATTTTATTAAACGGCAAAAGTCATTTCTCAACGTTTACTCTTCTTGCAATTTACACAATTTTTTCTTGGACTCATTAAAAAGTAAAGGAGGGATTTTACAGAGTGTCAATTGTATCTTGTTGGTTCTACATGAAAGGTTTTTTCTTCCAAATGTGCACATTTTCACATGTTTACACAATACTCTTAATTCTGCTCGTATTTTGTGGTGCAAAATCAAAGGGAATATTTTCAATACTTTTATTAACACTGCAGACCAGCACCTCCAAATGCTACCCAACCTCAGTTCCATGCTATTTTTATGCGATGTTGCATGCATGTGCGGGTGTTGATTAACTTTCAACTTCACTCATCTTACTGCAAAAGTATATGTAGGTTGTGAAAGGTTATAGGAGTACTGGTGTCAACTAAGTTGATACATATAGTTAACACAAACAATAATGGATGTCTCGGAAATGAGAAGTGTGGTGAGACCAATCTGTCAGCCGTCCTTGCCGGTTAGAAGCAAAAATACAGAAATCTCAGTCTTTGGTTCACAATGTGTTAAGAGAACAGTCATTTATTGACATTTGATACTTACCTAAACAACTTGCAGCGGCACTCATAAAGAACAATTTCCTGCTCTTCTCCAGTTGTAACTTCCACTTCGGCCGGCAGGGGAATCACAGGTTGAAAGTCTGGGCATGGATCATGCTCTATTTCATCAACTCCATCTTCTGACTCGGCCACTGATCCAGTAGAAACACGCCCTTTTGTGGGCTTTGGTGGTGATGTGTGCACTTTAGTGCCCACAGGGGTACTCTGACTAGAAGTGGTAACAGTTGTGGTAGAAGGCGTTCCAGGTTCTTTTGTAGTCTTTTCGAAGCCCACAGCTGAGTACACAGGTGAAGGTACCGAGGATAGTAATGTCTGGGTGGAAATAGGTAAGACAGGACTTAAAGCTGCTGCTCCTTTCTCTAGGCGTGATGCAACAGGTACCTAGAACCAAATGGACCACATGTTAAACTAATACAAGGGGGTTGGATAATTATAAAATTATAATACTATAGCAGCTATCAGCAAATTCATTTTTCAACAGATGTTCAGTGCTTCTCGGATTTCATCATTTAGCTACCCTTATATCAAAGCATACACAAGAGAAAGTGAGCTGGCTTCAGTGTTATGTATGGAACCGCCACATCACAGTTCTTGTGTAGCGATGAGCATTAAAGTTAACTGACTTGTAATACTTATCATCCTTTATTATTATAATTATCTTATAGAAAAAGGGGTGCACAAATAGTGAAGTTTCTGTCTAATAACCCTTCAACATGGAGCAGAGGGTGAGCGCAGTAGCATTTGAAGGCAGCTTTAAGCAAAAGGACAGGTCAGCAGCACTACGATAATTTTCTATGGTAGAAAGCTGAGCACATCCACAGAGGTCTGCTGCGGGAGCATCTCAGCTCAGGCATTGTTGCATTTCCCAACTCTGAAAATGTGCTATTTCCTGAGAATGCATTGCTTCACATCTTCAATAATATGATAAGCAATGATAGTGATTGAATAATATGAAATAATGATAAAATGTTCTGAGTAACCTCAAAACATCCAACATCAGGGTTGCCAAATCTCAAAACATAAAAGGCAACCTTCGTACCACACATCGTTTCCGTTTAATTTTGTCACCTTGAGGTGAAATTCTTTCAAGACAGTGCCTTCCTGACAAGCAATGTATATCACTCACCAAACGATGTTCACATATGTCTCTTTTGGCATGGGAATGAGCAGATAACTGCTCGTGCAGATCAATAGCAAATTTCGAAGATTTCAATTCTTGTCCAAGTATCATTATTTTTCCAGATAATAAATGTATTCAACACAGTGACATTTGATAATCTTCTGAACATTTTCATATCCCATTTCTTGCTTTCTCCCTTTCAGTAAGATATATTTACAAGTACTGATCTTTCCTTTTCTACCCCTCCCATAGATTTAATGTAATCAAGAATTCACGATATTTTTAATTTCTTCTTTTCTCTTTGTAATGACCGTTTTGATTTCATCCTTGTGGGAGGTGCTTACCACAGAAACAGACTTTTTATCCAACCATTTCAACATTGAAATGGGGCCAGAGGGATGGGCAATGTACTCAGCTAGCTTTAGTTTCTTTTCTCACAATAATTTAAGAATTTTTTTTCTGTTTAAACCCAATGTTCCTACACAATCTGTTTGCATTTTTTAACATATCAGCTATGGAGTAATTGTCCATCCATAAAGTGTGGCCCTTATTTAGCAATGGCTGTATTAAATTTAGAACAATTTTTATTATTTCATTAATAGTATGTATGACAGTTGCAATTATTTCATACTATACGCAGTACATAGAAGATAAAGTATTGAAAATTAATAGTTGCTTTATAAAACATCCACAAACAAATAGGAACACTTCAATAATATTAAAATATATGAATTAAAACATGCGAGAAGAAACAAAACTCGCCATAACACACAGCTTGACTGTGTCAAGAAAAGCTGCATGAAAATTCTGGCTTGACAATCCTTGATAACCCTGGGCCTGTGGATGACTTTGTACTTCCTAAAGCAATCTGATCTTGTTTTGCAAGATACCATGCAGTGGTCCATGGAAATTGCATCATTTTATTTAAATTCCAGTACAATTCTCTGATTATTTGTCAAATCCATTACATTTATATTATCCAAATATGTTCCACTCAAAACTTTGTTGGCACAATGATTATGGTGCTATTAGTGATTATTTTTCCTACACCTTTTTTATAATCCATGAACACCTCACCTTGGGAGATTGGCAAATTCATACATTACAGGATATGATACTGGACTTAATCAGTATACTCAAACCAAGCTCTGAGAGCTATTTAATTAATTCATTCATTCATTGGATGATTATTCGAAGTTCGTGTTTCGTGCCTTACACATAGCACTGATTATACATAAATGTTACTGCTAGTATCAATTTCATTAATTATATTTTACCTGTTGATTAATTTATAATAAAATTACACCAATTAATTAAAAATTATACTTGTTTAATATTCAATTTTTTCAATTTCAATTTTTTGGAAATAAAACAATACTATAAAATATGTTAACAGTACGATGACTGATTCATGATACAGTACCTTGATTCACAATACTTATTCAGAATTCTCGTAACTCATTTTTGGTTTGCACTTGCATTTCAAAAAATTTATGTAAACAAAGAAAGTCACACTTAAAATAATTAAAAACTACAATATGAGTTCATCCCAGTTGATGAGCCCAAGGCAATCATGTCTTCTGTTCAGATGACCACCACTAACAGTAATAAGCCAGAGCCAGCACACTTTCTCCTATACGCTATCCCCATATCTTATTATTTCCCGTTTTAACAATAACAGCCTCCGTAACAGGAAATACATAATATATAATACCTGGGCTTGTGGAGGCATGGTAATCTGGAAAGCATGTGGCACAGTGCTGGCAGCTGAATTGACAACAGATGCAGGTGGTAAGGTTGCTCCCAACGCTATTTGACCAGGAAGGGCTGGAGCCAGAGCCCCACCAGGAACTCCTGGAAAAGCAATACCGCCTGCAGGCACCACAGGAGGTACCCCAGGTGGCACTACAGGTGCAACCACTGCAGGCACAGCTGGGGGAGGCACCCCAGCAGGAATGCCTGGAGGCACACAAGGGGGTGGTTGTGCAAGTGCCCCAGCTACAGCAGGAGGAACTGGAACATGACCACAAGGCGGCATAAAACAATTGAACAGAAGCGAAACAATTAATAAACATCAGTGAACTTAAAGAACAAATAGTTAATAAAACTCCTCATCAATATTAGGCAAATGGAATTACTGAGAAACTTTAATTAAATATGATTCAAGCATGTAGTATGAAAAAACTTGATTTAATAGTTGAAACTGAAGGCTCAGTCAAAAAGGCTTAAGCCACACTTACAAATATATACATTTTCTAGTTTTATAACCAAGTGATCTACTTTTATGAATAAATAAATAAATACTATCAATCATTCAATCTTTCTGGCAATCAATCAATCTCTCAGTACAAAGAGAGAGAGAGCGGCAGGAGAGAGGGAGGAGAGAGAGCAGGAGAGAGAGGAGGAGAGAGGAGGAGAGAGGAGGAGAGAGCAGGAGAGAGCAGGAGAGAGCAGGAGAGAGGAGGAGAGAGCAGGAGAGAGCAGGAGAGAGCAGGAGAGAGGAGGAGAGAGCAGGAGCGCAGGAGAGAGCAGGAGAGAGCGCAGAGTGGGAGAGGGGGGAGAACAAAAATGAGATTTCATTTATTTGTCCATCTTACATTCGTAGGGCTTACTCCCCTCTCTGATAGGGACCTTCATACAAGGTGTAATCCAAAGACCAGACTGCATACACAGCTCAAAATGCTCACTGGAGCAAAAGAAAATAGGTTACAGTTCTTAGGTACATCACTTAGTTGCAGTACTTAAATACTTCATTTAGAAGTACACCACCTTGTTCGCCACTGCATGTTGACTCATTGCAAAGGAATAGCCATTCGTGTTACCTGCACCACCCTACCATAACAATTTTGTGGCGGGAAAAATTAAATATTTGGAGAAACAACATGTTTGTGATCAATTTGATTTAAACTTCGAGAAGGTGCAACAGAGCTTTTCTGATTCAAGAAGCTTTTGGAGACACTGAGTCACAGACAGTGTTTTGTACGGGTTAACCATTAAAAATCAGGCCAAAATTCAACAAGTCAAGGCCTGCAAAGTGGCCTTCCTTCAACATCGATAAACGATTCCCAGTTAAAATTGGGTAACAATTGGTACATTCAAATCATTGACTTACCATCCGTGAAATGTGTTAACAGACTGGCATTATTTTGCACCATTTTGACTGAAATTTTGGGTGGGTTGCCCACTGAGACAATGTTCTTGCCATGTGTGCTGACTGCAAAACAAAGAGTTGTGTTAATACCCCAGACCCCCCCCCCCCATTCACCAGATGTGGCTCAATCAGACTTTTTCCTAAACTCAAGAATGCCCTTAAAAGATACAGCTGTATTTCCATTGCAGACATTCAACAAAATTGTAAAACATCACCTCAAAATGATTCTGCAAGCAGCATTCCAGAGCTGAAAGAAGCACTGGATTAGGTGTTATTAGCCGAAGTTTGACTAAAAAATTAGTGTAGAAATAAACCTGTAACTGGAACAGTCTGGTCTTTTTTTGATCACACCTTGTCTGTAGCTGCAACTAAGCAATTTAAAATGTTTCATATTTAATCTAAGATTCTGGTCTAATATATTTAATGTTTAAAGGTGTTGTTTCTTATCAACAATTCCACTTGCTTTATTCGAATTGTCAAAGTTTGTAATTATTTCTGACATTTCAAGGTTTTGCAGAAATTGCCCTGAAGGAGTAACTTACCTGCAGAATGGACAAGTGGCGTGCCCAGTCGATGTTGAGGAGGAATTGTAACACTAAGAGTAGGCTGTGTCTGTGGCACTGTAGTGGGCAAAGTGTCAGATGATGTGATGACCACATTGACAGGAGCTGTCTGAGCTGGAGGAGCGTTTAATTTTGTTGTACCATGAAGTGCCTGAGCATCTGCAGCAACATTTGTAGCTCCTGCAGCAGGACCGAGGCTGAACACAGGACCTGCAGGAGCTCCTGGTGGAGCTCCAGGTGGTGCTGGGCGAAAATCTGGCAATTGTTGTCCTTCAGAAAACGGCAGAGCCCCTTGACCATAATAACTCAGAGTTTGGGGATAAATCAATGAAGGATCCACATTTCGGAAAAAGTTTCCCATTCCAGGTGCTGGAGGAAGAAGCTGCAAAAAACAATACATTCCAAATTTTTTAACACACCATTCAAAACCAACTCAATATATTAGCAACAAGTCTGCAAAGAAAATTACATGAATGTTTCAGTAGAAATAATTTTAATAATGCTTAACCTCTTCCAGCAATCAAAAATTTTCTGCTACCAACAAATTATTAAAAGGGATGAAAAGAACTACGTAACGAAACAAAAAATTATCTAAAAGCATGTCCAAACTCATATTACTCTTGATATCACCATACACAAACGCAGGCAAATTTGAATGTTTACACTTTCAATTTCATTGTGTTTTTATGGTCTGCACTCGGTTGGTCCCAACATTTTCTTCTCTTACGGTTTACAACTTATTCAGGTTTGCAATAAAAACTGACAATCTAGAAAAAGCAATCATTCGTAGGTGGAATAGTTTATTTGAGTAGTTTATTTCGGTTAAACACTACACTTCAAAGAAGTTACATCCTGAGACATCCTGAGAAAGACACATGGAAACGCAAATAAGTCTAATGAAACAAACAACTCCATAAAATGTAAAAGAAATATTATTTCCTTCATTATTTGTAGGAACAGCTGAATTCATCTTATGATTTAGGTTTTGGCTATTCATCTAGGTCCTCAAGAATACAGTGTCAACCACCAATAAGTTATCTTTTAACCACTCATTCTTGATTTTATTAGTTTTTAAGGTCATACACATGCGTTTTCCCAACTTTAAATTTCTGTTTTAAATCTTTGACAGAAAAGTTACTATGTTCAATGTTCTTCAATTAGTCTAATTTTCTCACCCAGAGTTAATTTTTTTGAAGTGACCCCTGATATCAAACGCTTGGTTATACCTGCAACTCATTGAACTGAACAACAGTAAAGATTTAGAATTGAACCCAAAGCAGACATTAAAGGAACTGTGGAAGAATAATTCTTGTCTTGTTCCTTTGTACGGACTTGTGAAAGTCAGTGCTATTACAAACAAAACTGGCTTTCGCACGAGTGGTGTTATAATGGGAATGTGGAAATATGATTTTCGGATGAGGGTAGCTGAAAAAGGGACCGGACAAGCCCAGCTCAGTGTCTTGTGGTATGGCTCACCATACTTCCAAGTCCATGTTTAATTTTAAAACAGAATGTTTCCAGTGTTATCCAGAATTTCTGAAGCTATTGTTTAAAACCAGGTTAGGCATGTTTCTGGCTCATCAGCATTCTTTGCCTTGAAAAATAGTTCGTTCTAAGCTTTTTTCCAGCAAAGGCTGGTTTCCACCTTAGATTTTTTATGTAATTGTAAGTGGGTAAATCAGTTAATGACAAACTAAAATTATCTGAGAATAGCCTTAAGATCACTTATTTAATATTTGAGCAGCCACAGCAGCAGGCAAAGATGGGCCGGCCCTTCTCACAATAAATGCTGTCTCCTCGAGAAGGTTAAAACAACTGAAAATATGCCTAGTATTTGCAAGAAACTGCCCCCCCTGCATAAAGATCTAGTGAAACAATATGGATGCGGAATGAAATTGAGGTGATCACACGTTGTATGGACTTCTATAGATACAGAATACTGACATCCGCAAACAGAGAGACAGAATAAAATTATGAAACATTTTGAAGTTAGTCTTTAAAATATCTACAATATTAAATATCAAGAAATACCTGGGGTGGAGGCACTGCACTACTACTGTCAGCACTAGAAGGTGTAGGGCCGTATGTAACAGTACTTGAGCCCATCATGCCAGGAAGGTGACGATAGCTGGCTCCTGCATAGTTAGGGTACTGTGGAAAGGCCTGGTACTGACCTAGATGACTGGCAGGAATATTCACATCTTCTGAATAGTCTTCATCAAATACATACAAGTCATCATCAGGATCTCCAACCTGGCCAAAAAGTACTCGATTCATCTTCACAGAACAACACAGATCTAATAATAACCCTTTCCAGAAAAAACAAATATTGAAAAGATCAAATATTCTGATTCTGTACTCACTTGTGGAAGATCTGAATTCATTTGCGATTCACTTCTCTTGTGATTGTCCTTTTTAATTAGCTCTTGAATTAAGTTCTAAACAAAAAAGAATCATATTGTTCATTCTCTACCTTTAGTACAAAGCAATTCTAAAAATAACTGGAATACAAAAAACATTACTTCCCTAGATTCAATAATAATTAAACTATAAATGAAGATTAAATGGAACTATGAAGGTGAGTTAAGCAGAACTGAGAAGAAACTTTCTCTGGAGCAAGAAACAATTTCAAATAGTAAGGCTAAATGTATCGACACTAGTTCAATTTGCCACCACAACGTAGCAGCACCAGAATAAGATAAAATTACTTAACTAATAATGACGAAGTGGCCTGATTTTCTATGAGTTAACAACATATGATTTGCATTTAACACTACGCCTCTTTGATATAGTATAGATTAAATAGTTCTGGGAAGAAATTTAAAAATGTGGGCTTGTAGCAGGATGGGGAAATGCTTCCTGAATCCAACGCTGCATCAACTGTGCAAATCGGCTGAATAGACACGAATTGAAATTTGGCAAAATAGGGGCCCCCTTGGGGCATGGAAGCATTTCGTAGGAGGTAGGAGGAGCAGGCTGGGAGCGAGGCAGGCTGGGAGCGAGGCAGGCTGGGAGCGAGGCAGGCTAGCACGCAGTTCTCTTGTGGCCTGACTAGGATTTGTCATATAATGATTTTGCTACTTTCCGCATCACAACATTAGTTTTACATTCTCATAAACATATGTATATACGGAGTAATATATGTAGTATAGAGAAAGTTATATTGTAATGGAGCGGAAAATAATTTCAAGATTTCAATGAAATGCATGGCGGCAATGGTGTAACGGTCGGCGGCGATGGTGTAACGGTTAGCGTACCGGACTGTTGTACCCAAGTTCAAGGGTTCAAACCTGATTGAAGCCGTGGATTTTTAAGGGCGAAAAAATCCTTCGTACGCCTTCCTTCGGAGGGGAAGTAAAGCCGGCTGTCCCATGTTAGTAGATTTACTTGCATGTAAAAGATCCTCAAGCCTAAATGACACCTCTGAGCTAAATTCAAATCGCCTGTTTCTCGCCCAAGAAATACCTCCGTTTTCTGCTAGTTGATGAACGGAGTGTAGCGAAATTTGCGTGGTCAGATGGAAGAGCGGGCCTGATCCCGAGTCTCGCCACGTAAAATAAAGCAAATTCAATTCAATTCAATTCATATTTTGGGGTCCCCTGATACCAAAAAAGTGTTGTTTGTCGGTCAGCCCATCCGTGAACAACACTAGGGCCGAAACTGCAAGTATACCTAGAGTTTTATCAAAAACGAATAGTCACTGGTTGATCTGGCCTGTCTGAAAGCTTTACGAGTTCAAAAATGATTCTTTAAAATTTGCGGATTCTTTAAATGATGCCCCTGCGACATGTTGTAGGATTAGTTGTAAGAATTGCAATATGCTTCTCAAGATGGCATAGGTCTGACGTTTACTTCCGATTTTTTGAAGGTTACAAAAGTTTGAATTTTTCTTGGTGTCGCCTCACAACAACAGTACTAAAGATGGAAATTTTTTCTATGAATGAAATTTGTTTTCCCTGATTAGTTCTTTAATTGATGTCCTGCACATTACTTTGAAAATTTTAGTAGTTTTCATGTAATATTGCATGAAATATGTGCTTCAAAAAAAATTAAAAACAAGAATTACTCAAAAACAGTTCCAATTTTTTTTTAACTTATAGTAGGGATGATTCTAATTGTCCCGTGTAAGATGACATAATGTTCTATTGCTCCATTCGTTTGTTGTTGCTTTTCAGAACATACACAATTGATGTTTTTTTTAACATTTTTCTCATGTTCTTAATAATTACATTACCAGCGATTTTTACACATTAATGCATACAACACATTGCAAATAGAGACCGAAAAAATATGTAGTATGAAACGTCACAATATCTACATAAATATGTTATGAAAACAGTAAGAATATGAAATAAATATGTAAAATAGGATAAAATATGTCATATTAAGATACACTAATTATTACACTAAAATTTACATAATACAAAATTACATGTATAAAAAATTCTGAAATAAATTTTAAAAATAATACAAATTTTATAAAAATAATTTGAGGTTTTTTTGGAGATAATTTGGTATGGTAAAAATCAATGCATGCTTTGTACCATACAACTTTGTCATCTGTAAAACCTTCATCTACTTCTACTATTCAGTAGTAGTTTAGCAGCCAGGCTAGACACAATAGAAACCGTCCTACAAACTGGCGATATCTACGACCAGCAAACAATCACTGCAGCGTGCAGCATTGTCAGCGAACAGTCACTCGTCGACAATCGGCAAAGTTTCTTGGAAATGAAGGTTAAAGTTCACGAGACACTGCGTCAGTGACACTTTTCATACCTGAAAGTGAAATTTATCTCAATCACTGATGTGCACTTCCCGCCACTGAGATAACTGATGCAGACGAGCAGAACTGTCAGAACATCCTACCGCGTCTTCATGTAGCGAAACTCACGCAGTAACAATGTAGTAAATAAGAATGTTCTTTTAATACTACATTTCATAAAAATTAGTCATAAAATTGAAGAAAATCGATAGTATATATTTTTTTCCCTGAAAATAGCACAATATGTAATATAGTTCTAAATATGCAAAAATATGTAACATAAATTTTGTGACCGTGTTAGTATGGCCACGATTTGCTAGGATTAAAATTTTTAGATCAGGAAGTAGAAAGACAAAAAATATGTAATTGCATAAAAATCCAGTCTGAGAAACTGAGCTCACAGTTCTGCATTTTGAGAAATGCTCAAACGTTAGTTTATTACAATTTTTCAACGAAAATGTCTGGGTATGTGTGGTTTTACATTTCTATAGTATTCTTAAAGTCATGTTTCGGTTCTATTATTAAGGAACCAAAAAATTGAAAAGAATGTGACAAAATTATCTTTAGTGACAATGGGTGGTAGCTGGGAAGAGGGGAGTAAATCTGTAACATTCTAAAGCAACACTAGTTTATTTTATTTCACAATTCAGACTACTGGTGCAATAATTTTCTTTTATCCTCTCTAACCGAAGTATAGAACTTATCATGAAGAATTGTGAGTTTCCAAATAACTGTGATTTTACCCTGTCATCCTTCGAACAGGTCCCTTAAACAAAGGTGACTTGGTGGCTCAAGAATTACCAGTAGCAGTGATAGTGGAGATGGAGTGGCACGTATAAAGTGAAAAAGGGCAGCAAGCAAGCGAGCCAATCAGTATGAGTGAACTTAGTAAGTAGGTTCGCGAAGTTATCTGCGCAAACCACAGTTTCAGGGCCGTGTTAGAAAATATACATTTATAAATTATAAAAAGGATAAGCATACACTATATTTAACTTTTTTTTCCTCTTCTCTTCCTTCTTCAATAAGTTGTAATAATGCATATTATTACAACAGAGCCTTATTACGTTCTCTACGCGTCCAGCTGCTGTGAAGGATTCAGGCATGCAGGTGCTAAGAAGGAATTCAAACAACCGTTGCTTTACTGGGGCAGTGCCAACAAGTAGGTGTCATTGCTCCAACAGCCTATTCACACGTTCAAAAAAATGTTTGATAACCTCAGACTTACAAGTGTACATACTGTCATTGTTCGGAAAAAACTGTATTGTGCTACGAAGAGAATGTCAAACAAGGGGCCATCGCAGGAACAGGAAAAGTAGGCAAAAACCTGATCCAGATGGGGTATTTGATACAGAAACTGAAGTACAATAATTGTTGCAGGTTCTTTAGAATTATTCACTCCAAATGGTTAACATTACATTACATGTCACTGTTAAAATTAATATTACTTTCCTTTTGGAAGCTTGTAATAGTTTCTTATTCTATATAAACAGTTGTGCAGTAGAAAAGATTTTACTTGAGGCTTAAACTTTATTATCAAATTTAATCTTTTAATGTCATCAGCCCAAGTGTTGTAAAATAATAAGCATGTATTGTACGTAAATGTTTTGTGGTTACCTATTGATACTGGCACAAGGATTGTAAATTGAAACATTATATAAATTTCATTTCAAAATTTTATATTCAAAATTAAAACATAACCCAAAATCCATCTGGTTTAAGAATCTGTAACATATTCACAGGAGGAATAATTTGACTTGACAAAGCACACTATTTTACCAGTTTTTCAAATTTGTCCGGAAGTACGAAAAAAGTTTTAAAATTAGCTTCAGCTATTTTCTCAGGGGGAAAAAATCTTAAAGGGCATTCTATTAAGGAGATAAATGGCGTTTTGAGATCAAAAATAGAGTCGTAGGATAAAAGTGTTTGTGCGTAATATCTGCTCATTCTTTCCAGTGGTGGAATGATAACGGAAGATCTTAGAAATAAAATATATGTAAAATAACATGTCAGGATATGAAATATTGGTGGTATTGACACAATTAGTTGAATTTACTTTTTGAAATCAGTTCCAAATTAAGTCGATATTTTGAGTAATATCTCAAACAATTTTATAACTGTATCCAACCAAACAAACACCATGACTGCAGTGGCCACCTTCAGTGGCGGCAGGGTCACGGGTACAGTATCAGGTGCAGCGACTCGCTGGCAACTGGCTTACTTCAATTGTGGCACTGTGCTTATATTGTCTTGCAGATCATGTTTTCTTGCTTCCTTATTGAGATTTTGAAGTAATCTATCATAGCACTGTCATGAGATTGGTGAAAAAAGCAAAGGAATAGTGAGAATGATGGCATTCTCCTTCATGGTTAAAATAAGAACAGCGTGTTTTAATTGATTAAAAACTACTTTTGCAAGTAAGCTCAAACGGCTCAAGGATGTTTTACATTAATTGCATATGTCACAGGCTACACCCTTTTTACAGACCACCACCTGCTGTCACCAGCCCCACATGGACTCTGGCAGGACAAAACAAAGGAAATGGCAACATGCAGGTGTAATGAGCACATGGTTCTTAACCCTAGCAAGCCCTTCCAAATACTACTTTTTACATGAACTCACCTTCAGTTCCTCCAGGCTATGGGCAACTTTGTTGAGATTATCAGCCACCGTGCGGTGTGACTCCAACAGAGCCTTGTTTTGTTGCATAACCTGCTGCATCTGTGTGTCACGGCCATGCATTAAGTGGCGAATCTGGGCCTCCAAACGCTCAGGACTGGGCCGTGCCTCCTGGAACACATTCTCGTTATGTCTATGTCCATGAAGGAATTTGATCAATTTACTTTTCAAGTAAAAGGAACACTATGGACAGTCAAAATGATTCTTACAAAGATCAGGGAAATTTTGAATTTTAAGAATTCTATCCTAACAGAACCCTGTTCCCCTCGAAATTCCCATTCAATACTATGTCAACACTGCAATGGTAACAGGCAGACTACAGTTAAATGAATTTATTTTTTTCTTGCTTTTCAATATATTTGATACTTGGTACCATATGATTTGTGTATTTTCCTGCAAACAATTGTTTAATGTCATTCTTTCAGTTTGATAATGACAGTGGTTTATGAGTAAACAGTGATTGCAGAAACTGAACACCGAGGCATTTTGCTGTTCTAACACAGCCAGAAAGAAAGAGAGAGAGTACACACGCGCACGCACGCACACACTCTTGCACCCGTCCACAATAATATGCAAACGCGCCCACACACCCAATTTAATTTTTGTTATTAATTTTTCAATCTGTTAATTATTATTGTTATTCGAAGATTTCCTGGTGCAATTCTTCATTGTATTTTAAGTTGTAAGAAAACTGTGAAGTCTTTGAGAAAATATATTTGATGGGTTTCCAAATATTTTAAGCTAATAACCGGGACTAAGTATTTCCACGAGAGGAACCCTGTAAAGCAACAAGTATCCACAGATTTTGACTCCTTGAAGACTACTAAAAAAAATAATTCATATTACTGATGAAAATTGTTCATTAACAATTAAATTAAATTTCATTTCTCCGCAAAACCAGACAATAGTGTGAAAAAGATGCACTTTAACATATCTTGAAACAATTTGAAAACAGAAACGATTGAAAATCATTTTTGCAGAATATTTAAATTTAAAAGATTAACAAACATTACCGTGCGTCTTGAATGATCATGTCCAAGAGTGTCCGAATCTATTCTGTGACTGTGATTATTGCGGTAGGGAGTGCTGCTGAACCTGCTGCTGTTAAGATGCCTTGGAGTGAGGTGCAAGCTCGTGTAGCCATACGTTGAATTTCCATTCTCTCCTACTGATGGTCCAGATGAAACACTACCATCTGATATTCCATCTAAATCATTGCGGTTAACTGAAATTAAATACATAATTATATTTTAATTACTAATTTTAAGATCTGCAAGAAAACATGTATCATATAAACATGGATGATATGATTTAACAACAATTAGGTATTGTTTTCATAGCTTCATCTTTATTGTGAATCCTTCCTGACTAGATTTTTCATACACTGCTGGAGTTGTATGATCTAACCACTTTCCACATTCCAAAAATTTGTAACCAACAATTTGTTTTTTAATTTTTTATTTTCAACTAACAAAACAAAGTATAGCACCAAAATGTATCATGCTATACGATCCTCAAAAATAAGGAAAACCCAGATCAACTAAACCATCATGTTTGACTGATTTTTTCCCCTCTTTTCCCCCATATTTTTCCTTTTGAACACAACATCCTGAACATCATGTATAAGCGTCACTGTAGGAATCCTTGAAGTAAACTTCACTCACCATCACCACGGCACACATCCGGATCTATGCGGGCCAACTGGCTCTCAATTTCTTCAATATGTGCACTCAACTCTGCATTCAAAGGGTGCTTCCGGTCAACACCTGGACTGCGCAGGCGGTCCAACGTCAAGTACAAGCACTCGCGTACCTGCACACAACCACAACTCACACCATCTACTCTCAAAACTGCATAAATACTTTTTCTAACACCTATTTCATTTCATTCCCTTGCAATTTTCAAAGAAGACTTTCCAATCAAACATAAATGAAGAGAAGTTAAAACACACAACTGTATACCAGGATGGTCAATATTTTATTAAAGTTTGATCTTCCTTCATTATATCTGAAATATAATAAAAATGATGTATGCACTGTTATAATAATGATGATGAAAGCAAAGTTTCGGATCTATTTTACAATGCTGTGTCATTAAGCAAATAAAAGTTTAATATATAAGCAATTCCTGTACCCCCTCCCATATTAATGCGACACACTATACTCTTGGCTGCAGTATAGCTCTAAAGAAGGCTACAACACAATGGCTGAAACATCGGCTCAATCGACAGAGACGCGACTCATCTCTGACAGACAGGAATCAAATCAATAGTACACATATTTTAATAAATTTGTTTACAACAAAAGGGTGAAATTGAAGTTCAAACTGTCATAAAATAAAAACCACCGTACAGTGTAGTGATGGTTTAAAACAAAAAGCTTCAATAAAAAATCATTATCCTGGAATCACAAAAATATTCCTTAATTGCCAAATATTATATTGCCTTTGATACAATACATACTTTTACAATTACTTTTTTCTTTTCTGGTATTGCTAAATGTCTATAGACTTGATGAGCGAGATATGCCAATCAATATAACTTTTCATTTCACCAAAATTTTAGAAATACAAAAATGACGAATAGTCGATAGGGTGATCAATTGCTGACATTTTCTGAGGTGAAGTTAATAAAGTCAACAAAGAAGATGCATATTGTTTACAAGAATTTAATAGATTCATAAAAATGTGTCTATAGTTGCACTGTAATGTAGTCCACAAAAAACTAAATGTAAGTAAATAGCTCAACAAAGAAACATTACTTCACGAATAAATGTGACTCTCCTTCCATGGATCTTCTGACATAAAAAGATAAAATATTTCGTAACCGGCTTCATTTTAAGAGCCAAAATGGGCAAAATTATTTTGACATTTTGAAGTATGCAGCATATTTAGATCATATCTACAGACTTTTTGCTTCTTCATATGAAATAAGTCACCATTACCCTCCATATGATGGGTTATTGTAAAAAACGTTTTAGAACTTCAAATGCACACAGCTGAAAAGGAGACAGCATTCATGGTGACTAAATATGCTATTGTGGAAAAGCTATCCCTACATTAAGCTTGGCACTTACTGGAAAATTGTCAATTTGATGATCATCAATAGTGTGGTGAGTATTGTGACATGCTAGTACTGTAGAAGTGCACACAGAGTGGCAATGGAAGTGGTCACGCATAGTGTAACTGCAGTCTGGGTTTCTGATGTTGAAGTTTATTTATGAAGTGAATTTTGAAGTTGTTACTAGTATAGAAATGAGCAGCAATGATATGTAATGTACCCCAAACTTTATAACCATATTCATCAGAATGTAATGTGAAGTACATCAGAAAATTACTTCATAAAGAATGTCAATACTGTCATAACTTCAGAGTTAGACTGATCTAATTTGTCTCATTGGCAAGTAAAGTATGTTGTTGTTGTTGTTGTTGTTGTTGTTTTTTCCCCAAGACAAAAAATTTCAGTTTCACTGCTTGTGAATAAAAACTTGTTTTACACTGGAAACAAAACTTCAGCTAGCGTTCACAGGAACAATCAAAATATTGAAAAACTGAAATTTTGCATCTTTAAACTGGCTCTTTTGAGAGTATTACACTCACTTTAGTAAGCAAGATGATGTGTCTTGAACGCATTTCACTAGTAATCAATTCTCCTTGCTGTTCTTCCAGTTCAAGGGCAGCCAGTTTCTTATAGATCATTGCTTGATGAAATGATGCATAAGGAGACTTCAGCTGCTGGAAAGCTTCAATAGCTTTCTCATGTTTATCTTCCTTCATCATCTGGCATGCAAGGAAATAGCGGCCTTCCTCCAATAATGTATTAATTTCAGCCATTGATAAGTCCTTCCTGCATAAATATGTACAATACAAGACTGTCAGATCAATAGAACTCATTATAAGGAATGTCATTAACAATACAAGTAAAACTACATCTTTTGAAAATTGACAAGCCAGTGGTGAAGTTGTGGAAAGTTTCTGAACTTTACTGAATATCATTTTAAATTACATCATCATTTGAACAAAAAGCAAAATGTTCCTTTGATATAGGGTAAAATTAACGTATCGCTCATCACATCATCACATCATCACATTAAATCAAAAGCAAAAGAGAAGACATGAATTTAAGGGCATCTAGCATATTAATTTAACAGTGTTAGGCTTACTCCATACATCTAAGCTATTTGTTTCCCTCCAAAAGGTTTGCACAACATTAAATTTACAGATATTTGTTACTACAAGTTGAAAGCAGCTAAGTAGGCCACTGTTTTGCTGCAAAAATTTTCCCTATTGTCTGGTTCTCAGTTTAGAAAAGGACTTTGCTTATAACCCAACACCATGTCCAAGCATTAAACAGACAAGAAATAGACACTGGGCAGTGCTCTTAGGATCTCATGCACAACCTTTAGCTGTAAAGCAAGGTCGCTCTTAGCTGTTAAGGCATTTATAAATACTGGCAGGCTATGGTTAGGCAAGTTAAAAACAAGTATTTTCATAAAATTGGGACCACGCTTAAGATGTAGACATAAACATGATAATTGGAAAACAAGTTGTTAAAAACTGACAACAAACTAGTGACAGAAGAATTTTCAAAGTAAATTTGTTCAGACCAAAAAGATTATTTCTTGCTCGGTTATAGTGTTCATCTAACTAGTATGTCACTTAAGAGTCAGTAAGTGATAGGTGAATCAATCTCAATGACATAAACAAGTCTCATGCCTACATTATCACTCACCCTTGATATTCAAACAGCCGAGTGTGTGGTGTTCGCACTGTTTGATTCCGCTGTAATTTGTCCAATAGAGGCAAAGCTGAAGTCCAATACATAGCAGCACGTGCCTCAACTTCTGCCATTTCCATGGGAGCATGAGAACGTGTAGCCATTACAGATGCCTACACACACATAAACAATTATGAAATAAAAGCAAGTAATTTTTTTAAAACATGGTCTGTAAAACAACGGCTTTTTTAACTAGAAACCAAAAAAATATATGTAAAGCTAATAGAAAGGTAATTAAAGCGTCCAAAATTACAAAGAGAGGTCTATAGTCTATATAATTAAACATAAAATAGAGCATAAAACCCACAATTACATAGAAATTACAATTGACACTATTCATAAAACTTATTAAACAACAAAATGTAGAACATTTAAAAATAAGAAAAGAAATAAAATTTTTCAGTAATTAAACAATTGACAGTCTATATTTTGCTATATTGTTGGCAAAAAAAGCCAGTCACACCTCAAGCTCGTAAGGCACTTTTCAGGGGAGGGTGACATTCATAAAGTACGATAATTTGTGCAGAATTTTAAAGCAAAAATATTTTTGAAGAAAATAACCTTCCATTCACCACTATTATGAAATACTACAACCATCAGCCAACAAAATACAGCAACGTGTTATGCAGACTTATTTGTAATTACAATACTGCAATCTAAGAAATACATGGGAAAGAATGCTTAGACTCCTACACTTCACATTTCAAACAATAATAATTGTGCATCAACATTCATCCACATATCATTGTGCCCCCTAATATAACATCAAATTGGTCATATTGAAGGGTGGTTACAAAATTTAAAAAACAATTTTCCTCATTTTTTCCTCCTTTGAGATCAATTTTCCTGACAAAACTTTAAAAACATCAAGAAATTAATTTTATGAAAGTTTAAACGCGTCTGACAGTCTTTTTTTTTTGTGTCCTCTTGTATTACGAGCTCAAAGCTAAAATTCTAATCTGCCGCGCTACTGATCTAGTGACAGAGCTGACACCGCATGGGAGATACCTGGTGACTGATTTCGGGGACGGAAGAGAGAATCGATTAATGAATGCATGAAGCAGAAGACTTATAAAAAGCTGTTAATTAACCTGAAGTAAAAACTTTACGTGTTGTTTTTCATTTTTATTACAGGTAATTTATTTATCCATTGTTTTATTGTAATTATTAAAAATTGTGGAAATTATATCAAACTGTTGAAGGTTATAACCATTAAAAATGGTATATACATCCGTCAAGCAGAAGTTGGCAATTATGAATTGAAAGGCAGCATATTAATGTGAAAATTAGTTATCATTTGCAATTGTTAACAATGAAAAACAGAAATAAACAGAGATGGAATTGGGATGTAACAGATAAAGAATGGAGTACACTTACATAAATAAAGAACCACCAAGTATATCACAAAGTATACATATGTTTTAGGGCATTCTTATTTTAGACAGACAATAGTCATAAATGTTTGTGAATAAAGTTAATTCCAACATGGCTTTAATTCTGTTTGTTTTATAACAGTATTAATTATATTACTACTAGTATTAATTGTGCAATTTCAAACACAATATCTCTGGGATTGATCTTTAATAAAATGTGGGTACATTATCCAAAATGGCAGGGCTATCAAAATTAAAATAACGAAAATATGAAGGTGATATCGAGAAATTTAGTTTAATTTGTGCCTGTCGTATTAATGTTATTAGCAGGTTTAGTAGAAGCATGTTTGAAAAGCATGTGTTCTTTCTCTCGTATACATAGCAAAGCCAGAGAAATCATGACAATTAAGGAAGGAGGAAAAAAAAAAAAATTCTTTATCTGTTAAAGACAAATTTTTGAGAACCCATACCATTTTGGATGAACAACCCAGAAAATATTCAAGACTTATCTCAGAGACATTACATATAAATTGAATCTGAAAGTACTACATAAAAATACCATACAGTATGTCTTTTAATACATTATATTGTCGTTTTGAATCAACCATTTACTTCAATTTTTTATTTTAATATTATACAATTATTTTCCTGTGCTTACCAATGATTTTTATGAAAAATTTGAATGAAAGAGATATTTTAGTATGGCAGCCATTTAATGACGTCTCATCAGTACAGCATTGCATCATTTTTTTTAACTGGATTACAAGGGGTTAAAAAAATATAATGCCATCCTTATACCTATGATACGTAGTATGTACATGGCCTATGACAAATTGGACATCTTTGAATCAGTATGGCAGCTACTTAGAGACACTCTGAAAAAGGTTTAGTGTAGTCATAATCAGCAATGAAAAAGATTTTTCTCCCATTAGATTAAAATATTACCTTTGAACTCATAATACAAGAGGGCATATTAAAAAAAATAACACTGAATTCAATATGGTGTAGAGTTTGAAACACCACATCAGTACTTTCATACTTCGGCTATCTAACCAACAATATAACAAGAAATGTGTACTCATTCCCCAATGGCAGCTTTTTTTGACACATTAAAAAAATTGCAGCGCAACACTAACACCTAGAGGCCGCATGTACATTTATTTCTCTGTTACTCGAATCACTGGCTAACTTCTCAATAAGTTGTATCTTTGAGCTTATCATATGTGGATTTTCTTGCTGGGTCCCAGTCTGTATGTGCAATAAATAAGTTAAAGAAATATGACACTTTCATGCAAACAGATTACAATAAAGGGGCGCAACTGAAAAAGCAATTGAGAGAAAAATATACATGTTATGATAAAATGAAATTTATTAATTCCACATAAATGAGTTATTTATCTTATCTTAAGTGAGTTATCTATCTTCTTAGCCAGATTTGATTACACAATCTGAGTCAATCTGAAAGTTCAATATTATTCCTAGTAATACCTATATTTTTTGGTCTGGTAAGGTAGTGAGATCTAAACTTCGCTTCTAAAGAAGGCAAACATTTTCAAAGATTTGTTTCTTATATCGTTAGTGTGAACTTCGATGTTTAGACTTTCATCTATTGTCACTCCGAACCTTTTAGGGCCTGTTCCATGGCTGATACCAGAAATTGAATAGGTTTGTTTTTTCCATTATTTACCCATTTTTCCATTATAATTACAGGGAACAGTAAATACTGATATTTCTTGATTCAGCACATTTAACCACCAATATAAAATTGTGTGAAATAAAACCAAATAAGTTAACAATATAGTAAGAAATAATAAATAGTAGTACCTATGGTAATATTAAGACACCTCCTCAAAAGTACAACAAAATAAAGCTTACCTCAAATAAAAAGCCCAGAAAATAATCAAGTAAAATATGTAAGTAAGTAGACTAAGATGGAGTAAGCACTAGTTGAGAGCTGAAGTGGTACCTTTATCCACAAAGCAGGTGTACGTAGCTTTTAAAAAGCTAATAGATGAGACCGAATACTGCTTCTGGAAATTTGTTCCAGGAGTCCACCACTGTTAGAAAATTTTTGTATTGTAGCAGCTCAAATTTTGTCCTCATTACTTTTATAGAGTGGTCGCTAAGCCGAGGTCGTGAACTTTCTAATATTCCATGAAGATTGACGTTATAATACAAATGTAGGATCTTGATCACATCAGCTCATTTTCTATCACTCAGCACTAGCAATTCAAGCTTTGCTAGTAGCTGTTCAAATGGAATTTTCCTGACATTAGCTGGAATAGGTGTGGCCCTCCTTTGCACTTCATTCTAGCAACACACATGTCCTTCATCCATAGGATAGTGACAAAATCATTCTTAATCATTGTAAAAGATTTGCCAATTACCTCTTTAGCTTTTTTGACAACTTAAGATAATTCGGCATCCTGTTTGAAATCTTTAGTGATAAAAATTCCAAGCTGTTCCATAATTAATGATGGCATCAGCACACTCATACCAATACGATAAGATAGATTAGGGTTATTTTTCCCAACATGAAAAATCGAGCATTTGAGGAGATTAACCACAATGAAGTCCAGCATGCACCCAGCATCGCATGATGTCCAATTGATGTTGGGGTGGTTGGTTAGTGGGTTAGGATAAAAATTTATTTGCAAGTCGTTAAACAAGATCAATAAAATTGGGTCGCATTCAGATTGATTCATTGATTTTGTTTATAGGGTGCGTCAACTGCCAGGGTGATTGGCACCCATATCGTAATAAAAAAGAATTTAAAAAACAAAAAACAAATGTAATAAAATAAATTAATAGACGAGTAATAAATGCATAAAATAAATTTTAAAACTTAAAACTGAATACAGTACAACCCAGTTTTTACAATCCTGCATTTTACGTAATTTTTCGTGGGTTCCATCAAAAAGCCTATACTTACACAATGCATTCTCTTCCCACAATTTACAAAATTAATATCAAGTGCTTCCCGTATTTTACATTTTTTTTTTTTTTTTTTTGTGGCATAACTGATTTTTGAATCCACTTCAGCTGAAGTTGCAACATGTAAGCCGTGTTTTCACGTGGTGTCAGCTGTTTCCCATTTCCGGGTATATCACAAATTTTGTAGACATAGTGATAGTCTCGTCTCGTAATCAGCTTGCTGTGTTTGGTGTGATTCTGTGAGAGGTGATCGTTGAAGATACGTTGTTGTTGAAGATAGTGGAAACTCTAAAATGGAGAATGGAAGACAGGAAATGCATTTCATTGAAAGAGGTGATAGAGATTTTGCAGCGTGTTGATGTGCATATGGGAACACGTGTTCAGTTAGCCAAGGAACTTCAACTCTCTGTTTCCACATTGAGCACTATAATTAAAAACAGAAACACGATTTAACACAAAACAGTGTGCTGCTATGCCAACAAAAATAAAGTACGTAAGATCATCATCTTACGATGTGTTGGACAAACTTGTGGCGGAGTGGTTTACTGCCATAAGGACATCAGGTATTCCACTTGATGGCAATCTTTTACGAGCGAACGCCCTATAGTTTGCAGCAATGTTAGGGATTACAGAATCCACAGCATCAAATGGACGGATCAATCGCTTCAAGACCTGCCATAGTATTGTTTATAACCAGGTGAGCAGGGAAAGTTGAAGTGTTGTTGGAGATACCATTTCCGAATGGAAACCTGAACTTGTCTCAATTATCCAGGGCTACGAAAGAAAAAACATTTTCAATGTTGATGAAACAGGACTTTATTGTAACGTTCTGCGAAGTAAGACATTATGTTTCAAAGATGAAAAGTGCCATGGCGGGAAGCTCAACAGACGGTAACTGTTTTGTTAATGGTGAATGTTGATGGCTCTGAAAAATTACCACCGTTAGTAATAGGAAAATTTAAAAAACCAAGGTGTTTTAAACACATCAAAATGTATCAACCAAATATGAGGCACCCAGTAGTGCATGAATGACCAGCAGTGTCCTTTCCTCCACCATGCACGCTCTGGATGCGGAAATGGGAGCAAGAAATCGGAAAGTGTTATTACTGCTAGAGAGATGTTCTGCCCACCCTACAGATCTGCAGCTCCGAAATATAAAATTAGTATTCTCTCCCCCGAATTGTACTAGCATTCTTCAACCACTGGATTTGGGCATAATTCATTCTTTTAAATGGAAGTACAGAAAAATACTGGTTGAAAAAGCTTTGTTTATGAATGATAATAGTATGGATTCAAAGTAGATGACCATATAAATTCTTGATGCCATGAATTATGTGGCCAAAGCATGGTTAAGTGTGACTCCTGAAACAACTTAGAACTGATTCCATAAGGCTGGTGTCACGTTTGTAGAAGACAAGAATTTTGAACAAGAACATTTGGTGGAGCCTAATCACTGGTCAGTGATGGCAGGATCTTTAGTTCAAGTTGTGGAGGTGATAATTTCCAACCACCTGGAACAAGAAGTTAGGGAAGACACCGATCCAGAACCTGTTGTCCCGACAACTGACAAAGCAATGGATGCTATCACTACTTTGAGGCAATTCACTGAGAGTGGATCAGGTGGTGAGGATGCATTCAAAGCATTGCATATACTGGAGAGGCAGGTAGCAGAAATTCATTCACAGAAAAAACAAAAACAAATGACAATTTTAGATTTTTTTAATAGTTTAAGTGTAATTTGTGAATTTTTAAAAGTGTAATATGAGTAATTTGATTATGTAAACAAGTCCTTGTAATAAATAATGTAAGTACTTGCTTAGCCTATCGTGTTTTAAGTTTCCTGCATTTTACACTTTTTTCCACCAGCCCCCTGAAAAGTGTAAAAAAGGGGTTTTACTGTATTTAGAGGCCAAATAAATAAGAGATGCAGTGATTTGAACAGCAGTGAACCAATAATACCCTTGCCTCTCAGATAATGTTATATATATTCTACATTCCTATACAGAAAGAAAGATGTTTGAGAGCATGGACTTGCCATTGCTGAGCAGCTTCCGAAGAAAGTTGCCCAGATGATGTCTACATCTGCTGCAAACAAACTTTCTATAGCGTACAAGGAGAGGGAGAGGTCCATTTCACATGTGTCACGAATGAGGGGGAAGTTGTGACACACGGAAACCTTGTAAGAAGTGACACTGACCGGCGCGAAGAGGAGTGACATTTAGGTTAGTTCTTCACACCTTGCAGCATGGTAAGAGAAGCACCAGGGATTTACCTAATTTACAAAAATGGTTATTAATTTAAAAGTGGTTTTGCAACGCTGTCTGCCATACCTGAATTGAGTGTTTCAGATTTTTTTGAATCTGCTGATGGGACATAAGGAATGTCAATAGATGACTTCCGAGTCTGTTTTTGTGGCTTGGTGAGTTTCTCATTACCTGCGATTTCTACTTGACCCAGTACCAAACACTACAAGGTCATAGTGGCAAGGCAATAGATGGTGAAATAAGTTGTATTTAAGTGATTTATGGGAGTTAAAAGTGACTGGAGTGCACTTCGGGAATGCATACACCTACTTGTTTTTTGTTGAACCCTCAGAATTTTGGAAAATTGCAAAAGTTACAAACAATACAAGAAAGTATCTGTTGTTGTAGCACCACTAGTTTTGATATTTAAATAGACCATTTGAAATGCACAGATTTTTAAGAATGTAAGATCAAGGTCATCTCCACTGACAAATATACAAATTGATTGATTAGTTAATAATAAAAGTAACTGCACTAAAAAACGGTATGTTATGGGGAAAATTTCTTTTAACTGGCTGGTGTATTCAAAATATTTTCAAAAACCACTTTTTCAGATAGTTGGATTTTTGACGAATATAAATATCTTCCTCTTTAATAAATAAATTTTTCAAGAAGTATTTAAAAATAAACCATAATATTGTGCTAAGAGATCTAAATCTGACAGGTTTATTGTCATTGGTTCCTTAAGCTTACATTTAAGGAACCCAACGATAATATGAAAGAAGAACAAAAATTAAATTTGGTACATAGTTATTTTTAATAATCATTCCTATAATTTTAAATAATTTTAATAATTTGGACCATAGGACCTCCCGGCCAGAGCCACTGCAGTGACATTAGTCTATGCCCTATGCCACCTCTGCCTGGTTTTCCTGGTCTGTTGCTACATTGTGTTAAATCAAACTTCATTTAACCTAAATAAATATAAATTGGAAAAAGTTATCTTCTCTCCATTATTAAAAGGTAATTTCCTCACTCTCCATTTCCAATTTTTCATATTAATTTATTCAATTATTTTATTTACTAATTCATTCAACTGATTTTTATATTTACTTATTCAACCAATTTGAATTCTTATCATTTGTTTGAACCACTGAGTTATTAAATTATAAAGCTTACCCTTTCACTGAAGATTCGAGCCAATTGGACTATGAGTCGCACATCCAATCCATGATTGCCTAATACCCTGATCACTTCTACTCCACGTTGAAGGGTTTGTCGTATCTCTCCCAGATCTCCACGTGCTTGATTCGTATAAACTCTGTGAGCAGCAGTCCACCTATGCAAGAGCACAATTTTAACTGTAATTCTTCTTAACCATATAAAATTTGAAGATCACTGCTTGAAATGAACTACAAGTCAGTACACTGATTTTCCAGATTGAAACTGTACTTCTCCCCCATATATCACACAAGGTTTTTACTGTTCATTGACAAAAATGCAACAATGCATTAGAAAACATTACCTCAGAGCATTACATTGTTGTAATCCCTTAATAACACCTGTTTTAAAAAAATTATGAAGGATAATCTACACACCATTAATTAGCAGATTTAGAAACTTCTATTGTCCAAATAAAATTTCTGTGTTCTTGACAGCTAGCATCTGACAGGTGTAACGAGTCAAGGTAATTAAAGACTTTCAATGTTCGTGTCCACAGCCTAGCTCTATAAAAATGACATGACAGATACCATGTGACAGACAAGACACCCCAAAATATTAAAAAATAAATAACCAGAATTGGAATGAACGTCTTATATCCCAGTGTGATATATCCTTATATCACAGTGTGATATATGGTCAGATGGATGATGAAATTTTATGAACAAAAAGACTTTTGAGTTAAAGACTGAGTAATTTAATTGTCAACAAGAAATGCATGACTTGGAGAAGCTGGGAAGCTAGGGAAAATATAAATGATATTTGATGACTGACGAGTTGTGCACATGAGCAGGAAGACTTATATTGAAATATGAACAGACCATAAAGATTTTTTTCTTTTAAATGTTTGTGTAAAGTAGTTCTTGTTATTGTTTCCTTTTCTAAGTATTGTTGAATATTGTAAATGTTTCATTTTGAAATTGAATCTTGAATTATTTTTTTTAAATATTTATTTAAATTAATTAATTTTGATTTAATGTAATGGTAAGTTACCTTTACCAAGTTTATGGTGTGTACCATAAAATCGACCCTGAAATAAATAAATGGTCTTTTTTTTCTTTCCTTATTAGTGGATTTATTTCATTAAAGAAAAATTTAGAACCATCACACCGGGAATGGGTGTTCCGTTAGCTCTTCTGTAAAACTTCAAATTCCGATAATGTCACAGCAAAGTTGCCGATACTTATTAAGAAAAAATTAAAATCACAGCATGCAGCAACTGAGAATTGAAGAGCGCCATTACCTCTTTGGTTCTGCATCTTGTGTGCGGTTCTGTGTTGTGTGCTCTTATGGCAATTCGGTTCATGCTTCTGCAGCTGTTATTGTGTTGTGATGTCAGAATGATCACAGGACCACATGTCTGCCGCCTGAGTAAGTGGCAAAATCGCTCTACCCCACCCTCAACTGTTCAGTAAACAGAAATATTATTTAGACAATACGAATCACTACATCATTTATTGACCAAGTGAAGTAGGCCTGAAATAAAAGGCTTCTTGTCCTACCATACAGGATGCCTTAAGAGCTCTTCCTGTGCTGAATAATTACTATCCTTCAAGCAGCATTAATAGGTATTCATCAATTTGTTCTTTATAATTCGCTACTTCAATATATTCTGAAGTAAATTGTGTGTGTGTGTGTGTGTGTGTGTGTGTATTTTGCTTACCATTTTGATTGAGAGATGGTGCATAAATAATCAGTGATGTTTGCAGGTAGAGTTTGGGGCCGATCATTACCTCTAAAACCTGCAGCCTGTTCCTCATCCAACGTTGCCTTCGCACAAAGAACTGAAAAAGAGTTTATTCATTAACTAGCTGAAGTACCCTGCACTGCCAGGTATTCATCGTAATCCTTTTGCCTCACCTGTCCTACCCTCCCCCATGATATGTTAGTTACAATCATTGCACACCAGTATCTGAGTATATACTATACTGCCATGGGCAGATTTATAATTGCAAACATTCATTAACTATTTTGTCCTAAAATTACTCTGAACCCAATGATGCTGTTGAAATGAATAAGAAAGCATTTTGTAAGAGATTTTATTGGCTTTCAGATATTGAATTCACTTTAGTGCTGAAGAATCACTGTATTCAGGATAATACAAAATGTTCACTTTTAACATGAGATGCTCAACAAAACCATTAATCTTGAATTCGTAGCTCCCAACCTAAACAAGATGGCAAAACTGCATCACCAAATTTAAATAATTGCACATTTCTAAAGATATTTGCTTAAAAGTCATTTTCTTTTGTCTCCAAAAACTTATTATAGCCTGTTGCTTCCAGCCTAAATAATAGCAATGATGCATTTTACAGAAATAACAAAATAGTATTTACTATCTTTTATGATATGCAATTATTCATGTTTTAAAGTGTCGTTAGTGGTCACAAAAGACGACGACGACGAC